ACGCATCTTAGGGAAAATCCGTAGTTAATGTGATTGTGCCATTTTTTTTTCTTTCTCTGGGGCAATTCTATAAGGACATGTCTTTGGGAGGCAAGTTGAACATTCAGCTGACTTTATTCTAAGGATAGTAATTTCTATTTAAAGTGCTTTTGGTAGTGACTACATTTAATGAATAAGGTACTGCTTAATTAGATGTGAAAAAGGTCTTGTGTTCATGATATACTTTATTTCAGTGAGAAATTGATGAATTGGACTATACTGAAAAACAAATATTTATAGACTTAATTTTCCTGTTTTCGTTTTAGGTGCAGAACAAATTGGTTTTGAACTCGTAGAGAAATTATTTCAAGGTCAGCTAGTATTAAGGACTCGCTGTTTGGAATGTGAAAGCTTAACAGAAAGAAGAGAAGATTTCCAGGATATCAGTGTCCCGGTACAAGAAGATGAGCTTTCTAAAGTTGAGGAGAGCTCTGAAAGTAAGCAGATGGGAGCCTGTGTGCACCATGGCATAGTCAGTTTTCTCCAGAATAGTGTAGTACCCTTGGTATATAATAAATAGCCTTCCTGTTTCTTGCACCATTTATTAATTATATTTATGAAATTGTAGCATTTTAATTTGAAATGTTGAAATGCAAAAATGAAATACTTTAACATTGGAGACCCTAATATTTGGTAACTGGAATTGTTTAAAAATTAAATATTTGAGCCACTGTTGTGTTCAGTGTAAACCATGAAAAGTATAGACTGTCCTGAGGAATCATCAGGCCAGCTTTACTGGAGATACTGGCAGTTGACTTATACTTAGCAGAGACTGGGCTGACCTGGCTTTTTTTCTTTTTTTAGCTAATAATATTTAGAAGACATGTATGTACTTTCAGGATAACTGAAAACAAATGAAATCTTTTTAGATGTTGGGGATGGGTTATTTGAAATTGAATGATTATATTGCACATGGAACCTTGTTTAATTTTTGAATGTCTAAAAGTTACAATGAGTGAACAATTCTGTTTTATAGTTTCTCCAGAGCCAAAAACAGAAATGAAGACCTTGAGATGGGCAATTTCACAATTTGCTTCAGTGGAAAGAATTGTAGGGGAAGACAAATATTTCTGTGAAAATTGCCATCATTATACGGAAGCAGAGCGAAGTCTCTTATTTGATAAAATGCCTGAAGTTATCACTATCCATCTGAAGTGCTTCGCTGCTAGTGGCTTGGAGTGAGTATTGTGAATGAACTGAGGGTCTGTCAGAAACAACTCTGCTCTCCGCAGGCGGGGTGTCAGGGCATGCATCCTACATAACTGTGCTCTTGGGGGGCTGGTGGTATAGCTCAGATAGTGTGCTTATCTAGCAAAGGTGAGCTGGCTCTCAGATTTGGTCTCTAGCACCAGAAGAGAAACAAAAAACTAGTACAATTCTCAAGTATATCCTTTCTTATTCATTATGTAGGTGCCAGTTGTAGGATTCTGCTTTAGTGGAACTGACTGAAAAGGAGAAATCTTTAATTTTCCCTTCTTTGAGACAGAGTTTCACTGTTAACAGCCATAGCTGGCCTCAAAATACAGCTGGCCTCTTGCCTGAGAGGCTGAAGCTAGAATTAGAGGTGTGAGCACTAGACTCCTGCATACTTTTGGGGGGGTATAACAAAGCAAAATTCTTTTCAGTTTTAAGGAAAGTTGGAAATTGAACTCATCTCTGAAAACTTTGGGGAAATTTTGTAGTTGGGAATTTGTCTATAAGCTATTAAAAATAGATATAAAAATGGATGTTTTGGATAATCTGTCTTTTCTAGCATACTGTTGCACACTCCATGGTCTTCCACCTGCCTCTGCTTCCCAAACGCCAGGATTAAAGATGTGCACTATTACACCTAGGTTCTATTTTAATATTTTTGTGTATGTGTTTTTTCAAAATTGAGGTCCTAGTCTGTCTTTGCTCATAACTAAACGTTAAGGGCTTAATACTTGATTTCACATTGTGTGTAAAATTTTACATTTAAAATGGAATTACAGGAAACCTTTTTTTCCTTCCAAAGGTTTGATTGTTACGGTGGTGGACTTTCCAAGATCAACACTCCTTTATTGACACCTCTTAAACTGTCACTAGAAGAATGGAGCACAAAGCCGACCAATGACAGCTATGGATTATTTGCTGTTGTGATGCACAGTGGCATTACCATTAGTAGTGGGCACTATACTGCTTCTGTTAAAGTCACTGACCTTAACAGTCTGGAACTAGATAAAGGGAATTTTGTGGTTGACCAGATGTGTGAGATAGGTAAGCCAGAGCCACTGAATGAGGAAGCAAGGGGGATGGCTGAAAATTACGATGATGAAGTATCAATTAGAGTTGGTGGAAATGCCCAGCCAAGTAAAGTTTTGAACAAAAAAAATGTAGAAGCTGTTGGACTTCTTGGAGGACAAAAGAGCAAAGCAGATTATGAGCTGTACAACAAAGCGTCTAATCCTGATAAGGTTGCCGGGACAGCATTTGCTGAAAATAGAAATTCTGAAACTAATGATACTAATGGGACCCACGAATCTGACAGGAACAAGGAATCCAGTGACCAAACAGGCATTAACATGAATGGATTGGAGAACAAAATTTCATATGTTGTACAAAGCTTAAAGGAGTACGAGGGGAAGTGGTTGCTTTTTGATGATTCTGAAGTAAAAGTTACAGAAGAAAAGGACTTTTTAAATTCTCTTTCTCCTTCTACATCTCCTACATCTACTCCTTATTTGCTATTTTATAAGAAATTATAGTGAGTATATTTTCCTTGTGTATATATTAAACAGACCTGGACAAACATTGGTAAAGTTGATTACACCTAAGAGTCTTTAGTTTATCTTTTGAAGCTATTGGATATTATTGGTCTCTCTAGGCTTTTATATAAATAGTGAGATTTTTAAATACTGAAAACCATGTTAATTTTTAGAATCATTTTCCTTAGTAGAGACTAGTGATGCATAAGCTTCTGGGAACAAACTTGTATAGGTACTAAATAATCCAGAATAGAAGTTTGAAAGCAGGCAACACTTTTGGATTTACACAATCTTTTGTGTTTGCTTTTTAAAATAAAGTGCTTGTATTTGTATTCTTCATATTTTGGGGGTAATTATCTACTTGATGTTTATAGGTCTGGCTTTTTCACCTGAGAAACAGAATCTCATTCAGTATATTTAGTTCTATAGTAGTCATGGAGCCAAATCTCTGGGCTGTATCAGAGGCACGAAGTCTAGAATGTGTATATTCACAATGATGTATATTTTGTGCCTTCAATAACTTTGGAAAGTGTCTCAGAAAAGCTGGCAGTCCTTCTATCTTCATACGAATTTTATATGTATTTATGAAGATGACTCTAGTCAATCTTTTGGGCATGACTAATTTGTATCTCTTCATATTCATTCTGCACGATCTGTAAATAGTACATCGACCTAGAGGTATGACCTTTAACTTTTTTAAAAACTTGGAGGTCAATAAAATTTAAGCTGTTTAACAATCATGTATATAAATGTGTGATTTTTAAATGCGTATTTTTATCAAATATTTGATATTTGATTTTTTTATCAAAAAAAACCAAATGTGTACATACAAGAGAGAATAACCATGTATAATTACCTTCAATACTCAATTTCTGGCAGTGGAGAGCAGAGGTGAAAAGCATTTTCAGAGAGAAACTACTTAAGTCCATCCAAGTTATCTTAGTTTTAAGACTTTATGTTCAGCACACATAGAGGTTGACAAAGTTTTAAGTCATTCTAAATCACTTGGTTTAGAACCACAAGGGACATGCTTGTCATTAAGCTTTTCTTAGAAATGAGTAAGTAGATAATGCTATTGGAATAACATTTGATTCTGATAGGAAAGGTTGCTTATTCCGTTAACATTCTCCTGCAGATGGTGCATGGGAATGAAGTCTGCTTGCCTTCTCAGTAGCTGACAATCAATGGTGAATCTTAAAAAAATCCTGTGCTATCAGTTAGAGCTGCAGAGAGTTCCAGGCCAGAAAGGTTGTGTTTTCAGAAAACATTGCCAGGAAATACAACAAAACGGAGTAATAAGTAATTCTAACTCATGAGAAAATAACTGGTATTTCATAATTAAATCATAATTACATAAATCTTACAGTCCTGCATACTACCACTGAGATGTGAAACAGTTCAAGTAACAAAGTGAGAAGTGACAGGTGTGTACTTAGTGTCTTCTCCCTAATGCTTCCTCCTTTACCTCCTACAACCCACCAAAGAGGGAAAGGGTGCCATTTCTAATGACTCACCAGTACTCAGCACTTAAGGGTATTATCAATGTTGCTGTTCTGTAAGCCACATTGCCAAAAAATGTTTGAAACATCCAGGAAACGTCAATATTCACTGGAGTAACTATGCCAAGTGTGTAAAATGTTGATTTTTCTCTGTGTATCTTTTTCATATTGAAATTACAATTACTTTGATGACAGCAACTAATTTATGCATTTTGTAAAACCACGTGATTTCTCACAATTGGTAGATTAAACCAATGAAGCCCTTAGCTCTGTGTTACCGTCAGTGATAAGAAATAGCCTTAAAGTAGCTTCTACTTAATGGTTCAGTCAGTGAACATTGATAGGTTAATTCGAGGCACAGAAATCAGTTCAAATTGCTGATTCATGAAGTTAATACTAATAAATGATCCATAAAGATCAAGCTGCTGTCATTACCATAATGCCAGTATTAGATATTTTGGTATATAATCATTTATAGAATTTTTTTTCTTTTGAGACATGGTTTCTCTGTAGATTAGGCTGGCCTCCAACTCAAGAGTGCTGCCTCTGATTCTTGAGTGCTGGAATTAAAGGCGTGTGCCACCACTGCCTGATTTTATGGAAATGTTTTATCAAATACATTTTTGGCAATTCTTAATAGGTCTTTTTTTGGGAGTAGAATCTGCCACCAACCATTTTTTGAACAATTCATTTTTTCCCTTTGTAATAGAGGAAAAAAAAATCCCACTCATTAAAATTAGTGTAAACAGTCACATATTTAATAGTACCTTTAAAATAAGCATTACTACATTTAAAATGGTTCCAAAATGAATGAATCTATAAATGGTAATATAAATTAAAAAATAAGAACTTAAAGTAAATAAATTTAACATTAGCTATGGTATAAATAATTGTAAATGTGTACTGTACCTTTGAATCATTAAAACTGTTTTTAAATGATGACAGCATGTTACCAGAAGGTTAGACACCACAGCCATGAGCCTGACATGTAACAGCCTGAATCTGGTAGCACATTCTTCGGTGAGTAAATGCTATTGCTTCCAGAATGACATCCAAGTCCTGTGTTGCAATAGACCTCTCAGTCAATGTTGAATACATGGCTCGTTTCAAGTGACTAGAACAAGGTGTATACTTTAGAGTTCCATTTTTCGAAGGCTCATTCGGCTGAAGGAATCTCTGAGGAAAATAAGAGAATATGGTTAAGAACAATTTTTAGAAGGTACCATGTTTTTTTTCCCCTTCATAAACCTTTTTTTTTTGTTTTTGTTTTCCCTGCCAGAGACACCTCAATATTATAAGTTCATCTTACATTTTCTATCATATTCTGGTTTACAGATTTCTCTACAGATTAGATGTATGTGATAGCAGCCACTTTTGCCAAATCTATTGATTATTTGTCCAAAAGGTTATTTGGATATCTACTTAAAGGTGCCATGGGAGAGATTTCTGAAGTATTCAGAATTAATGTGTTTTTTTAATCATAAACTTGAAACCAAACAAGTGTTTCTCAAACTATAGTATCTTCTATGTGGATTTATATATTACTATTTACCATTTTTGAAATTAAGGAAAATTTAAGTTATTTTACGAAGTAGCTGACTATGTTATTTAAAAAACAAAACAAAAAACTTGCAAGGGTCAGGCATGGTGGCTCACACCTTTAATCCTGGCACTCAGGAGGCAGAGACAAGTGGATCTCTGAATTTGAGGTCAGCCACGGCTGGGCGGTGGTGGCAAAGGCCTGTAATCACAGCAATTGGAAGGCAGGCCTGATTTACATTTAAAAAGAGTAGCATTCATACATAATGTCTAGCTTAATAGAAGGCCTAAATTCTCCAACCTGCTTCATCAGGTCAGTCATCTCACCCGGTCTCTGGAAAAGTCCGTTCTACCCATATGAGAGTATGAAGATGATCAAGGTCCCAGATCACATTTGACAAAATAACATTTCAGGTTTTATATTTTAAGCAAAATTAAATCCTAAGAAATTTTTATTTCTTAGATTCTAAAGACTTAAGGATTTTATTCATAAAATGTCTCTAGATTTCCTTCCTCATAATTGGTCCTTTTGCTCATTCTTTCTAATGTTAGTTAAGTAGGTGCCGTGGGAGTTTAGGAAAGGTGGCAGCAGTTACAAAGAGAATGACATTTAGCTTTGAATTCAAAGATTGCTTTTTTAGTTCCAAGGGAGAATTTTAAAGGCTGGATACTAATCAAGAAAACTCTCCAACTTAAGAGTGCTTTCTGCCCTTGCTCTTATAGAAGACCCAGGTTAGGTTCCCAGTACCCATAGGTTGCTCACAACCTTCTGTAACTCCAGTTTGAGGAGATCAGACGCCTTCTAGTCTCCAAGGGAATCTGCATGCACATGCTATACATAAACCTGTGCATAAACACATGAACACACACACACACACACACAGTCTCTGAGAGTACTGGGGATGTAATTCAGTTGAGTGCTTGCCTAGCATGCACCAAGCTCTGGTTAGTCTCCTAAAACCACACAATCTGGGTCTAGTACCCTTGTAATTGAAGCACTCTGGAGGTGAGGCAGGATGATCAGAAGTTCAAGGCCATTCTCCTACTACAGATTGAATTCAAGGCCAGCCCTGAGTTATAGGATACCTGTTTCAAAAGAATTAATTTTGATTTTTAAAATAGAAAAAAGGTTCCTTAGATCTGGGCTTTGCAATGTATGCCTGGGCAGCAGATGCAGGAAAATGGTCAAAGGTCAACCTGGTTTAAGTAGCAACACTTCAAATCACTGCCACCTTACAAACAAAACCACCAAACCAAAGAACAAAACCCAAAAATTCCTCAGAACCAAAAACTGCATGCCAATATTAAGTTCAGAGGACTAGACTAGGGAGATGACAGGAGCCTGAAACTATGTTGTGCTGAAGGAACGTCCTCCAGCTGTAACAGCCTCAGCACAGGAAGGACTGGAGAGTGAGGGAGAAACTGGAATTAGAATTTGCCAATTGCTTGATTACTGGATACCTTGCACCTTCACATCCCCTGGGCTCTCTGACCTGCTGGGGCCAATGGAGATGAGTGCAGGCAACTGGAGATTTCAGAAAGTGAAGGGAAAACTAAAACTAAAAATGGAGGTGCTTGTTTTCTCACTGGGAATTCTGAGAGGAACCTTCCCCATCCGTGGATGTAGGATAAGAGCATATATTTTGTGCTTCCTCAGTAGTCCCTGGGGGAGACAGAGATGCTCCCTGGAGGATGTGACATAAAGCAGGCCCTTGACTGATTTCTTCTTTCCTTTTTTAAGGCAGCATTTGTCTATGTGGCCCAGACTCTCCTTGAATTTACAGCTCTGCTTCTCTAATACTAGTATGACAGCAGTATACAGTGGCTGTTTTTCTGAATGGATATGTGAATTTGTTTCATTCAGTGGCTTCTCAAAGGTTTTTAAACAATGTAATTGGTTCATTAATACCCTTTTTCAAACAAAAGGGTGATAAAACAGTGCCACGATAATCCAACAGATAAATAGAAATTAAAAAAAAATGTGCAAAAGGGCAGTTTATTTTTATCAGTTTCTGCCCAGTTTGCAGAGCTCAGGTGTTTCAGAATGAATGACTGGCATCGCCATGGGTTCTTCATCTGCAATGGTATCTTCACCACAGTCCGCCTCAGGTACTAAACATGGGGCAAGTACTTCTCATGTGGAACCAGGATGCAATCGTAGAAAATTCCAAGTCCTTTTTGACTTGTCAAAAAGAGAAAACTTCTGATGCCTCTTGGACAGTCAGGTCACCTGCTTTAATCTGTGGCAAGGTTATATAGACTATTAGTGGCCCTGGCTGAGGAAAATGAACAAGCTCACGAAACATTCTAGTGAATTCTCTCACAAAAGTGCCAGAAGCTGGGACAGGACTTTGAATAGGTTTATGAAAGCAGATTTAGGAGTACTGTTCCAGTTAGCATATCTTCCACAGAAAAGGCTGACTTTCAGACTGATCAGGGGACAAGTGGCAATGGCTCATATACTAGTTGAATTTATTAGGTTTTGGGGAACACAACTTCTGAAATTTTATAATAAAAGGCTGTAAAACTTAAAATTGATCAGTTTTTCTTTTCCTAAGAAGCTCCAAGGAGGAAGCACCGAGCGTACCTGTGGCAGGTGACAGGCAGCACTGCCTTGTACAGCTGAGGGATTTTTCTGTTTATCAGTGGCTGCAAGGCCTCTTTAAGGCGGTGATAGTTTCTCTCCAGTTCTCTTTGATACTCCTTTTGATCTGGCCCAATTAAGCTCTTATTTTTTCTTAAGGCATCCTCACACCTAGGGGGTAAGAAAATACATGTTTAGATATTTCCCTCCTGGAAATTCATAGTCTTACCCACCCAAAGACTACTATGATGACATTCCATATTTCAGCTGATGGCAAATGATTCTCTCTTGTTTTAGGTTTATGGTAGTGTTATGGTTTGCGTAGAATATGGCTCTATAGTCTTCATGTGTTGAAGGCTTTGTCCCCAGCTGATGATACCGAGAGGACTGGATCATGAGGGTGCTAACTCCATCGGTGACTTATCAGGAGGGTGGGTGGGTGGAGAAATAGGAGTGGTGGTGCTTCTGAAGGTCTACTGTGTTGCTCACTCTCTCTGCTTCTTCTCTGTGATAGAATAGTCATCTGAATCTCTTTAAAATCTGATAAACACTTCCTGTACTCACTATTCCTGCACTCATTAAATTAAATACATATTTCATTAATTTGTAGCTCAGGCTGGTCTAGAACTTGTGATTCTTCTGCCTCAGCTTCTGAGTACTGGGAAGTGTGTGCCACCATATCTGGCTTTCACAGTGATAGGAGATCAAACCAGAGTGGTGGCACATGCCTATAATCCTAGTGGCTGAGAGTCCAAAGCAGGAGAACAGCAAGTTCAAGGCTCACATGGGCTATCTCAACACAACAGTCATATATCTCCTTGCTTGTGGATGCTTAGGCAAATGCATAGTTTTAAATGCTTATATTATAAAGAAGATGCCATCAAGCTTGACAACTTGTCTTCTGGCCTCAAAAGCAGGTCCAGAGCATTTGCATGTGTGTGCATATACAAACACAAATGTAATTTTAAAATTAAAAAGAGTGTTAGTTTCAAATAGTAAGCAATTTGAACAGACTAAGCTTAAAATATGAATTTAAAGTGTGTATCACCTAGGTGAACACATGAACCCCAAATCTCTTGTATATGTGGTATCCCATTCAGACATTCTTCTATGTACATGTTTTGTATTTATATATATGCTTTGTAATAGGAGCACAGCCAGTAGTCTCCAAATATATCTAAAATATACTAGCTAGAGGGAAAAAAGTCCATACATTCATATAATGGAACACACAAAAATTAAGTAACACAACATTCACAATCACTTAAGACAGCAGCTGACGGAAACCAGTACACACTAATTTATGTAAGATTAAGAGAGGGCTGGAGAGATGGCTCAGTGGTTAAGAGCACTGCCTGCTCTTCTAAAGGTCCTGAGTTCAATACCCAGCAACCACATGGTGGCTCACAACCATCTGTAATGAGGTCTGGTGCCCTCATCTGGCCTTCAGGCATACACGCAGAAAGAATATTATATACATAATAAATATTTTTTAAAAAAAGATTAAGAGGATGTAAAACGGCACAGCACTCAGGGATTCAGTCATTTCTGATAAAACTAAAAACAAGAAAACAAGAACAGAACTCAGGACACTTCTGGAAAAGGAGGATGACAGCAGAGTAGAGAAACATTTAATTCAAGATTAATGAAGATAAATTTTAAAAGAATCTCAGACCAAAAGTTAGTACATAGACAGTATTATTTAATTGAACAAATTGAAGTATGAAAATTGATCAGCAAGAGACACCCTATTTATACGGGTTTTAATAAAGCTGGGGGCTGAGACTAGAGTATTGGCACTCATGGCATTATTAGTGCTGAGACATTTTGGGGTGTATATTAAGAGCCAATAAAAATGTTTATTTTGGCTCTGATTTCATGATGGAAATTTTAATTCAACAAAAGAAAGAAGACCCACTGTGCTATAAATTACATCACATTTAAATTCAAACTGAATCAAATATCAAACCAGTTAAATTGATGAATATCACCATTTAAATAATGGTTCTAATTTTAACTGAAATATAGTTTAAGATTATATTTAAACTGTAAACTATGATAGTATGTGTGTTAGTAAAAACACACAGCTAACAGAAAAAAAAGGCATGGCATGGCAGGGCAGGCATGGTGGTGCACACCTTTAATCCGAGTACTTGTGAGGCAGAGGCAGGCAGATCTCTGAGTTCGAGGCCAGTCTGGTCTACAAAGTGAGTTGTTACACTGAGAAACCTTGTCTCAAAAAACCAAAAAAAAAAAAAAAGGTATTGACTCTAATTTTTTCTTCCCCCAGCTTCCCCACTCTTTTTCTTTCCAACAAGTTTTCAACCTGAGGCCCAAGTGGAGTGGACCTCATTGTATAACCCAGGATAACTTCAAACTCACAGCTTTCCCTGTTTCAGCCTCCAAGTGACTTACAGCCATGTGGTACCAACCAGCTATGTAACTTTTTCTCTAAGGTTTATATTATGAAGCATTTAAAAACTTTTGGCCTTTTTTTTTTTTTATAATCGAAAAGGAGAAAGTTCTCTGTCCTGACAATATCACATAAGAAGTCCTGTTGACTATAAGAATTCATTCCTCTGAAGTAAGTTTCTTTAGGGTTAGGATGCAGCTCAGGAGTCCTGTGCATGCCTTCTTTGTGTGTACCTTTTATACCAAGTACCTTTTATACCAAGTACCAAAAAAGAAAAAGCAAACAAAGTAAGTATATCCAAATAGATAACTGTTTACAATTGCAGTCCTGATAAAACATCTTAAAACAATAGCATGCAAAAAGTTAACTGCTCATCTATTAAATTACAATGACTGATAGAGACCTGTATTATCCCATGATCACCTGGCCCAAAGACAGCAGGGTTTATTTTGTTGTTTTAAACCTCCTAAATAATGAAATTAATGCTAGCAATCTGTGAATTTCATAAGTATGAAATATGTACATCTTCCAGGAAGTGGCACAGGTCATGTGTCCACATAAGTAACTACGTTTTCTGCTATTTTCTAAGATCAATCCTATGAGGCCATCTAGCCAAATGATTACATTATAGGATACATAAAACTAAATAAAGCTCTTATAGCAAATTCAGGAAATAATCAATGGAGTGAAGGAACAACCTGCATATGGGCAAAAATATGTGCAAAATATAAATGACAGAGTTATTATCTAGGGCACATAAGAAAACTCAAATGTAAAAATCCAACAAAAGACAAAATACAGATATTGATCTCAGAAGATACACAAATGGACAATACATACACAAAAATTAACAACACTAATCATTGGAAAAATGCAAATCACAACCACCTCATCCCATTTAGACGAATGGCTATAGTATAGTAAGTGATGGTGAGAATGTGGAGCAAAGGCTGCTTTTGTACACTGCTGGTCAACACACTCTCTATAGTAGTGTGTAGCTCTTCAAAATATTTATTTATTTATTAATTTATTTCTACAGTATCCTGCTTGTATGCCAGAAGAGGGCATCTGATCTCATTATAGGTGACAGTGAGCCACCACCACATGGTTGCTGGGAATTGAACTCAGGACCTCTAGGAAGAGCAGTCAGTGCTCTTAACCACTGAGCCATCTCTCCAGCCCTTCAAAAGCACAAGAAAAGGAGCTGGACAGGTGGTTCAGCAGGTAAGAGCACTAGCTGCTCTTGCAAGGGCCTGGGTTTGACTAGGGCACACACATGGTGGCTCACAATCATCTGTAACTCTAGTGCATGTAACTCCCTCTTCTGGCCTCTGCAGGCACCAGACACACATATAGGCAAAACACCTGTACACATAAAAAGAAGCTTTAAAAAAACAAAAACAAAATAGAACTACCAAATGGCAGAACAACCCATAACCAGGTCTACCCCCAAAAGAAACAATCAGTCTGTTAGGCAAAAAGACATTTATAACCCACCCCCACTTCGTTCACTGCAGCATGATTCACAATAGCCAAGAAGTTGGAACAACCTACGCCAGCCATCTATCAAATGATGAATGGGGTTAACGGGTGGGCAGCAGATGAGAGAGGTAGAGGGTGAGAGAATTCAGAATGTATTACATAAATGTATGAAATTGTCAAACAACAAATTTAATAATAAAAGGGGGGGCTGGGGAAGTGGCTCTCTAAGCCTGAAGACCTGAGCCCAATCCCCTAGCACACAGGGGTGGGGTTCCATATACAAATTAATCTCAGTGGTGGATGGGTGGAGAGGAGACAGGAGGAGGCATGGGGCTCACTAGTCAGTCAATCTAGTTTGTTCAGGAAGAGACTTTCAAAATATAAGGTAAAAAATGCTGGAGGAGGATACCCAATTTCAACTTTAGGTTTCTCTTTGCATGCATATACAAATATACAAACATGATACATAAATACAATGGAATACATTTTAGCCTTAAAATCGAGTCTTATTCACAACAACACATGAGAAAACATATTGTACAGAGTGAAATAAGTCTAGCTCAGGAAGACAGGTATTATACATGTGTAATCTAAAAATGTGATTCCCAAAGAAGTTGGGACTAGAACAGTGGTTACCAGAAGCTGGGGAGAAGGACGGGGCAATGGGCAGAAAGACTGGCAAAGGATGCTTAGCTATATCAGACTGGAGTGAGACACCGTGGTATGCTATTACAAATTAGGGTAACCATAGACAACAGTGTGCTATACTATACCCTAAAAGGTTAGCAGAAAAGATTTTGAATATTTTTGCTACTAGGAAATGGTAAGTGTCTGAATATATATATATATATATGTATGTATATGTATATATGAATGTATATATGAATGATGTAGTGTATTCACGGATCAAAACATACCAATATATCAGTTAAAAATAAATTTACATTTAAAAATCACAAAATTTCATAGAACTGATTAAGTTTGTTTTGTTTCTGTGACAGAGTCTGGTTCAGTCCAGTCTGGCCTCAGTTGCCAGATAAAAGATGTCCCTGAACCTCTAATTTTCCTGGATGTACCTCTTAAGTTCTGAGATTAATTATAGCTGTATGCTTAAAAGTTTTATGTTTGGGTGTCTGTAAAGCTCACGTGAAAGGAGCGGAGAGTTCTGTAAAGTAATGCAATGAAAAGGGAAGTGGCAGCACCATCCACATTTACTGATGATGATAACCAATGTCCAGTGCTGTGGGATAATGCTTTTGTACACTGTAAAGATTTGTCACTCATATTGGTTTAATAAAATGCTGATTGGCCAGTAGCCAGGCAGAAAGTATAGACGGGGTGACCAAACTTGGAGAATTCTGGGAAGAGAAAGGCAGAGATGCAGTTTCCACACAGACACAGAGGAAGCAAGATGAGAATGCCTCACTGAGAAAACGTACCAAGCTTAATTTAGATAAGAATTATGGGTTGATTTAAGTTGTAAGAGCTAGTTAATAATAAGCCTGAGCTAATAGGCCAAACAGTTTATAATTAATATAAGCCTCTGTGTGTTTCTTTGGACTAAATGGATGTGTGGGACCAGGTGGTACAGGAACTTTTGTCTACAGTTCATAAGTTATTTATAATTTAATAAACACATTCAATAAATGATTTGACAAGATAAACCATGTTAGAAAGTACGAGACAGGGTTCTCTGGCTCAAGCTCTGATGCTTTGTTAGCTGGAACTCAGTGACAATGGTCCAGTGGCTCTTGCAGAAACCTTCGGTAGTGTGGGGGACTGAATCCAGTACCTTGGATGTGCTAGGGGAGCGCTCTTCCACTGAGCTGCAGCTACAGCCCATGGCACTGTTTCTTTAGTCTGACTTCTAGAGCTTCCTAGGTGTTTCTCAGGCCCTTACCCCACAGCTTCTATGGTTCAGCATCTGCATTACTGACCATTCTTACACAGATACTAAAGAGGGCTCATGCTTTTTCCTATTCAGTATATTCTTTTACTTTTTTAATGTCTAAAACCTAGAATTAATTCTTCAAGGTCCACATAAAATGTGTGGAATCTTTCCTAACAATGCCAAGTTATATTAATCATTCTCTCTTTTGTGTTCATATTGTTAATAAATAAAAATTAGGAATTAAGTAATGAGTTGATAAAGACTTTTTCCTATTGTTACAAATTCTAATATTTATTAAAACCTATTATGTGCCAAATATTAGTCTAGCAATGCTTTTAGGTTGATTTTGTGCTGGGGGAAGTTAAGATTATACACCAAAGTTGCTGTCCTTAGAAGGCCTCATTACAATGCTGACCTTTGGCTTGCCTCTAGGAATCTGGATCTGGAGAGGGTTTGTTGTTCTAGATATTTTGTTACTATATGCCTTCCTCCTGCCAGTTTAGTATGCCATCCCCAACACTCTGCTAGTTTACTGCTGGAGGAATGCACTGGCAGAGGGTCCTCTGAGCTCTGTACCATGTGTTCTTGCCCTTGCTCATCTTCTATTGTGCAACAAGTCACGGTGACCAGAACAGCGACATGCTGAGTCCTGTGAAGGGGATGCACTTGAGGCCCTAGACACCCGAGGATTATTTAACCCAGTTTGTAAACCTCTCTGTGAGAGGGAGATTACATTATCTTTCATTTGTAGGAAACTGAAGATCACAAAGACTAAGTGACCTGAGGAAGAACATAAATACACTGATAAGGTTAGTATTTCGACATATTTTTCTTCCAGTTTTTTGAGGGAGGGAAACTGGTGCTACACACTGAAGAATAATACTAATTGTTTTTGGCAAAAACAGCAGCTTTCAATTTAAAAGTTGGGTATGAAAGGGTGTAGGTATATGCTAGTAAAGAATAGAAAATGCCATGCATATTGCTTATCACAGGGAACAAATTCCTAGTTTCTCTTTTCAACAGTTCCTTGTGGCTCTTATCTTAAATTGCGGTACTGGCCACTCTTAATTTGAAGTTCTTTATGCAACAAGCCTCAATTACCTTTTAGTAAAGTCTTTGAAGCAAAGACGCAGCTTGTTGTGATGTCTGAAGAGCTTTGGGTCACCAGGTATTTCAGACAGGAAGACCTGGGCAACCTCCAGAGGTCCCTGAAAAATAAAAGGGAATAATGAAGTGTTTTTATTCTTTAGAGTTATGGAGTTTACCCACAGGGCCATGACAATGACAGGGTTGCATTTACACTGAATACATGCATGTCTATTACGACTCTTCAGGGACAGCGACTACTTCAGATTTTCCTACAATTAGATCTTTCTTTCTTTCACTATTTTATGTGCATGGATATTGTGCATGCACGTATGTGTGTTTGTATATGTGTATGTATGTATATGTACATATGTAGGGCTCACTGGATGCCCTGGAACTGGTTAAGACATAGGAAAAACCTGACTAAAGCTTTTCTTGATGCTTCTAACTAACTAGGGGATATTCTTTAAGACTGGGGCCAGGCCTAAAGTTATGAGCAAGACGATCTGAGCAAACCAACTGTAGGAATATCATAATGGCTTCCAACATGTGTGATAAAATAATAGTGGTATCTTATATGTAAATGTTATTACATTTTCGAAAATAGTTTCACATTATTTATTCCATAGAACTCATTAGGGAGAAGACCAGGACAAGGAAACACCATCAAGAATTTAAGAGAGCAGAGATTCACATGTATTCAACACAGCTCTGGAATGAGTCTTTTTTGAATCATGTATATTTTTTAGGGGAAGATTCTGCTTTATGAGACAGGGACTCATTATGTAGCCTGGCCTGGAACTTGCTCTGTAGGCTGGCCTTGAACTCACAGAGATCTGTCTGCCTCAGCCTCTCCAGTGTGTGTCATCACAACTGTCTAGGAAGGAATGTTTTACGTGATCAGATCCCTACAATATAACAGATATAAGCATAGGCAGTGGAGAAGGCAGATAAGAAAATCGTAATGAGATGCTATTACACTTCCATTTCTCAGTTTATCTCCATTTATACTTCGTACCTTGTGACTAATCCACTTGATATGATTTTGTTATTCTGTAAACATTACACTATTACTCCAAGTCCAGTGTGTAAGTAAAACTGCACACATTCAGCAAGAAACACAAACCTGGTTCACAGTTGTGCCTACAGACCCCTGGAGGACCATCTGAAGCATTTTCGGGTCTGCTGGATCCTGATGTGTTGCAAATGCCAATTCCTGCGTCTTTTTCTGCATGTCTTCGATAGCAACTTCAATTGGTGTTAAGATTATCTGAGTAAAGTAAAGCAGTAGCAATCAGTTCAGTGTACTGACTAAAACTACCTAATGAGCTTTAAATAGTAAAATCAGAAGAAATGGGGACCCATTATAAGCTTTCGTAACAAAATCTAAACCTTAATCCCTAAATTAATAAAAACAAATAATCCCAATAAATCCTTAAGAAAAACCAAAATCAAACTGATAATGAATTAGAGACTCAGAAGATAGCCAAAAATGAATGAATAATAATGGTAAAATTATATTATGTAAAGTAGATGGGACATATTTTCTGCTAAAACCATATGCTAATTCACAGCGTGTATATACTAATTTCATGAATCCTTTTTCCTCAGTTGTGGACTTACCTCTTCTTTGTGAGTGACATTGACCCTTGTTTTAATGTAAGGAAAGGCATGAGACGTTGTCAGAATGGTCTTCCGTTTGAACTGTTCATGAAGTTCCCCATGGGCACGGCCATCTAAAGTGAAGGGTGTACAGTACATGAACCGGCGGAGATTATAATTCTTGTCAAAATAAGTGATTCTGTCCTTCATCTCATAGGTGTCAAAGAATGGCTCCACATAGGTAATCTGAATGTATGCCTGAAAAAGGGAAAGGTCCTTATTCACTAACAGTAATCTGTCACCTAGTAGATGTCAAGCAAAACGTTGTGGAGACCTTCAGAGATGCAACTACACATTATTACAGTCTGATCAACCTACCTTGTTAGGATCTAATTTACACTTGTCTACAGGATTAGAGTCCTTGATGACTTCAACCACATCCTCTCCAAATCTTTCTCCATAAAATCCCTGTAATGAAGAGAAGGTAATCTTTTACATGAATTTCCTAGGATTAGTAAACCAGAGTAGGTCCTGGAGGGAGACGCCTCAGCAAGACTGGGATATTTGGCAAGTTTTGTTCTAACTATATCATTTCCATCTATACAATTAAATAACAGTCAAAGAATTTTTTCTTCAATAAAAACTCAGGTTTTTTACAGGGGGTCCTCAAAAGAAACAAGACTGAGCCGCAGCTTGGGCAGTGGTCATGGCTCTTCAGAAGGAAAACTAAGCCATTGAAAGAAGAAGGTGACCTGTGAGTCCAGCCACTCAGGAGGCTCTCCACGCATTAGCCCCACACCTCCCACAAAGGGGCTTCATATGATGAAGTTAGGGAAATGTGGTCTCAGAATTTCTCAAGACTTACCTATTTCATAAAAAATAAAAAGTCATAGTTTGAGCCAGATTATGAAAACTAGGCAGAGTAAAGTGGGCTGTAAGGATCAAGACCAGCAGGGAAGAGAAACAAAGCCGAGAGCCCCGTTTCCCAAGCTGCTCTGTATACACAAGAGCAGAGATCCTGTCAAACTGTAGACTCTGATTTAGTCTGAGGTGGGATCTAGGATTCTACATTTGAAGCAATCTCCTGGGTGACATTAATACACTCGAGGCACAAGCCACACTTGAAGCAGTAAAAGAAGGTTAAGAGGAGCAACTGGAAATGAAAAATGTGTTAACACAGTGAACACAGAGGTCATCTAGAAGGAAGGAGCTCTCCAGAGGGATTCTATGAGGGTTTCCAGGTGTGACCACAGCGGGAATCTTGGAAGACGTCTCACTGGATGGCTAGGCCACAGAGACAACACTCGAGTAAGCTATTTCCTGGACCTCTGCTTTCAATTCCATCATACACAGCTACTTAATATCTTGTCTCTTTCGTAAGTGTAGACAAACTGGAGTAATTCTGAAGGATAAAGTAGCTTGGAAAATTTGTGTGAAAATAAAGCCTCAAAAGTATAGCTAATAATAATTTACTGTTGTCATAAAAGAATAGAAGGCTTTGAAAAGGTGTTGAGTTTACCTCTCAAAAATTCTTATATACCATAGAAGTCTTTTATCTGGCTTATTTAATAATAAAAACTGGATGTGAAAGTCTATTCATTGTAGAAATATAAAATGATATTCGTGAAGCACCAGCATTCACCTCCAATCTGTGAGAAATCTCTGCGAGTTTGGTTATTGCAGGCTCCTTGTACACAAACTCCTGTTCATCCAAATCCCCGAACTTGGTTCCATAAAAACCAACACGGAAATAGGTGCCAAACATCCGCTTACCATCCTAGGTTTAGGAAAATGAGAAAATTTAATATAAAACCTTTTTGTTTTTTACATTATGCTTAGATTGTTAGATTGTAAAATTTTCAAAACACTGTAAAAAGTTAACTCAAAATTATGTTTATTTTTTGAATGAGAGTAAAAACAAAGAAAATGATTTTTCTTCATTATTTCTAACAATGGTTATACAAATTAGTTTCTTTATTTTTTTTTAATCAAATAAAACAAAATAGTCTTTGCTTTTAAGTTCATACAGCTGGGCTACATTAATTTATTTTCCTTACTGAGCCAAACAGTCTTAATAGAAAAGCACACCAAGTTAAATAAAACAGCACTAATATATTTTTAAGTCAGCACTATCCTTCTCAGAGTCCCTTTGGGTATATTAAAAGAGCCAAGGAGAGCATCTGGCACACAGCACAAAATCAGTGAGGTGTCAAGTCCTTCAGAAGCCCTAACGTAAACATCACTTCATTAGTGCCATTCTGCTGAGTGAACGTATAGGGAAGAGGAAAAGTGGAATAGAAAGGAAAAAATGTGAGTGCAAGGCAGTAATAACATTTTGAGATGACTTGTTATTTTAAAGACTGCCAAAGGCACTCACTAAATTCCCAATTTTTGATCTTTTTATGATAAGACTCACTATCCTGCTTCTGACATCTCAGAAGCACACAATGCTGTCACAGGACTTAACTCCAACCACAGACTGAGAGCAGCTGCAAGGACAGAAAGCTCCACGACTCTCACAGACTCAGGGAGAGCCAACCTCTCAGCGAGGACAGCACCTGGGTCTCCCACGCAGCTCTAAACTGTTTCAGAAGAACTTTGCAGTGACCCCACATATAAACCACATAAAGCATTAAGTTCCTCTGAATTTTCTTTAAGCCTAACTTGTTTTGTATTAACTTTTGCTTTACAGAAAAGACCAGATGGCAAATACATTTAAAAACTGAACAACAAATATAAGTAATTAATCAAAATGAGAAACTTGGGTCCTAATTTATCAGTTTTATAATCCTCACATGAGGAAAAGTACAATGATAACCTCATATTCTCAGCCATACTCAGAAAAATATCTTTGGAGCTAAAGAAATGAAATTTCTAACAAAAATTTTCTTCAGTTACTTCATTTGAATTTAACATGAATATTAATTGATTCTTATAGTAAATGAAATGTCTGGATGAATTAAATTTTATAAAAATTTTTATTAGAACCAACAATAATATACCTTGACACAATCAAAGCAAGAAGACATTGTAGGGAACATAAAAATCCAAGATAACTATATACAAAATATATGATTAATTTTCAAGCCATGTCTCATACATAAATAATTCTCACTTCTTAAAACTAAAATTACTAGAATATTCAATTCTAGCTGTGTGGCTCAGGATGTTTCAAGTTTAAAATGTTATTCTAAATCTTTAACATTATTTAAAGACAGTAGTTAGGACTTGCTTCCCTTAGCTAAACTTCCCAATTCTCAAACTTTGTATAATAAGGATTACTTTCTTGCTTCCATTTTATTGATCTTTCTAGTGACATCCCAGAACAGACAGACATTGTGATGTGACCTGTTGGTGGAGGGACCCAGGAGCTCACTGTCTCACTAGTCTGGACTCTGGATCGGACTAGAACTTAACTACCTCTTTTAACATACTTTTTACATTGATATTATTATGTTAGCTATTATTAATCTTCTCTAATAGAATAAAAATAAGACTTGCTCCTCAAAATAATAAAATATGAAATCAAATAATTACAATATAAATTGGTATAAACTAATGGAGTAGTGTCAAGAATGAAAGGTTAATCTTGTTGAAGCCAAACCACAGTTAAGGATTCAGTCATCCACAAGGCTCAAAAAAAAAAAAAAGTGGAAAAAAAGAGTGGACATTCCAGTAGACAGAGAAGAAACAAAGCAGATCCTGTCATAAAATAGGATGTATGTGATATGACGGAAAGCGTCCATTTGAGTACTGAATGCCTATGACACGCTAATTCACCCAAGGCAGAGAGGGATGTCTCGTCAAGCAGGTGACAACTGAGGGAAGAGGCGCTAACTAGACACATACATTTCCTGGGGGAAGTTTACTGCAGCCAAAGGCTCTGAGGCAAGAGTCTATCTGGGGTATTTGAGAAACAAGATGGTGAACAGTGTGGGTGGAGCAGAGGCAATGAGAACAGGAGCATCAGAGAAACAAGGAGTTCCTGAACCATGTGCGTGTGTGTGTGAGCGAGTGTGTACGTATGTGAGTACGTGTGTGGTGTAGAGGGTGAGGATAGACAGAGAAAGGCCAATAATCCCAGCAACCATATTCCAATTTAGAGCTCACTGAGTGTATCCAGTTTATCAAAGCTTCATCCCCATTAAACACACTCAGTTTTGATACTTGCTTTTGTTTTGAATTACTTTCCTGCAATTTATCACTCTTTCCTTTCCTGTTCAGAATTTATTCTGAATTTCACACTATACATAGCATATTCTTCCTAAGCATTTTACTCAGGGCTTTCTTGACTCTGTGGGTGATGAAGCTACGCACCAGGAAAGAAAATCAGCTCCCAAGTCAAACACATTTTACATCTGTTCTAGCTTTGTTTTCTGTACTAAGGAAGAACCCTTCTGCTGGGCAGTGGTATATTCCACAACACCACTTCTGGAGCGGTTTCCACTATGCTGGCTGATTTCCATACAGGCACAGCAGTCATCTCCTTTCCCTTCTGTTAGGTCTATTCTTCTTAAAGACCATTTATCAGATTCTTTGAGCCACGATTTCCACTTGGAAACATAATACATGGAGCATTTTATTAACCTAATTTTTTTTGAGCGGACCGGGGAGGGGCACATGGGGATTGATGCTGGGGCTTTAGGCAGGCCCTCTACTAATGAATGACATCTCAGCCTTGTTTTCCTTTCTGTTTTCTATCTTGAGACAAGGCCTTGCTAAAGTTTCCAGACTAGCCTCAAATTGTAACTCTCTTGCCCCCTCCTCTGGAATAGCAGGGATTATAGGAATGTGCCACTGCACCTGGCCTATTAGCCTAACTCTCATGTTAAGATTTCAACAGGAGCTGGGGGATAGTCCAGCATTTGCTAGAATTCATGAAGTCTATGAGTCTGACCCCATTATATCAACAACCAAACCAACACATTTCAAGTTACAGTAATGGTAAAAACAATGACGTAAAACACAGCAACAACAAAAACTGACCTCCAGCAGCTTCTGAGTATTTACTATGTTGTAAACACTCTATATGCATTATATTAACTTCCTTTTCATTTCTAGTTTTTGTAGCCTATGCTGGCCTTTGTAGCCTATGCTGGACCAGAATGCTGAAATTACAGGCACACAACAGTATGCCCAGCCTACATGTATTACATCAATATTTAGCAGAATTCTGTGATTAGTACCACTATTTTTTTTTCCATCTTACAGATGAAAAAAAAAAAAGAGCACGAGAGAGTGACAACCTTCCTATGATCACACTGTAGGAAGGGATGGAGCAGAAGTGAAACTCCGGCATTGTTATGGGACACCCAAATCCAGGCTCCTACACAGTCCATACCGAGTACAAACACCCGCACATGAGGATGACCTTCAGCTGTCGTCATTTCTCTGGTGGTTTTCTTAAGAACTCTTGTGAATTTCTCTGAGTAATTCAATTTATTTTTAACTTTTCCCCCCTGATTTTAAAACAGTGCTTCTTGTAATCCAGGGTAGCCTGGAACTCCCTATGTAGCCAAGTCTGGCCTTGAACCCCACCTTCCTACCTCAGCCTCCTAGGTAACTGACTACAGAGTTACCTCCCCTTCTCTGTTTTATCTTTCTTCATGTTATAGTGCCATCCTCTACACTTGTTTGTGTGTGTGTCTGTCTGTTTTGTTTTGTTTTGTTTTTGAGACAGGGTTTCTCTGTGTAACAGTCCTGGCTGTCCTGGAACTAGCTCTTGTACACCAGACTGGCCTCAAACTCACACAAACCTGTCTCTGCCTCCCAAGTGCTGGGATCAAAGGTGTGCTCCACTACCGCCTGGCCCTGCCATACCTGTTTTCTTACATTTTGCAGATCTTTCTTGTACAATCCAATGTAAAGATCAAGTGGTAGTTTAACAGACATACTTTTCTAAGATACAGCCTAGCCAGTTTCTTATCAGAGGTTCAGTTATGACCATTACATATCCCCATCCCCCAGAAGATGTCATATTCAATATCACCTACAGTTTGCTGACGTCAAAGCCAGCAGAGGAAGCAAAACAAAATGGTTTGGCATGTTCTCACTAGACCCACCTTACAGTCTACTACCAGGGAGGCACCAACTGCACAAAGCACTCCCTCTCACTCCCTGCCCCCTCTGCGTGCTTTATACCCATATTTCTTCTCTTCTTGTAAAATGTCACACATTCCCCTCACTCAACTACCTCCAAGTACCTTTACGTTCCATCCTCAAAGAGAGAGAGAACAAAAAAGGGATAAAACCTTTCAATGTTCATTCATCTCCTCTCATTTTAATCGGCTATTTCTAATTCTGCATGTATTTTATTTACTTGGATGAATTACAATATTTAGCTCAACATTAGTGTAGAAGCCCAAACTGTATGTAGCCAGTGTTTCTGAGCACACAACAACCAAAGCACTAACTGAAATTTATGATGTTCATCCAACTCAGTAATAAGTTAAGGGAATCTCTTCAGATGCCTTTATGTCAAAGGTTAGGGGACAGCTCTGTTTGGTAATACATCAGGAGTTATCCTTATAAGGTAACTTTATTTTCTCTAACAGTTCTGGATTCTAAAAGCTACATGAAATAGGATATGGTAATGTATTTAAATGAATAGGTTGTGATAATTTTTGAATAGAGGAAATGTCATGTAACTATGTTATCAATATTTAAAGAGAGTTTTTTTTTTTGAAAAATATGAGCTTCCAGAGGTGGATCTCATCAAACAGACTGATAACTATTTGGCAAATGAGCAAATTCATCTTTTAATAATAAATGGATGCACACAAAATGTGAAATGGTCATGACATTTCATACAGAAATGAAACATTTTCTTTTAAATATAATTTAAGCACACCATAGGAAATTATTTATTTCCTATTATGCTAAGAACAAGCAGGCTTTGGGGAAAATGATAGATAAAAATAAATATAAAAGCAAGTAGCAAACAGATATGGAGGAACAAAATACAGTAGTCAGCACTGGCAGCTCTGGAGAGTTTCACAATGTATCATCTATTTATAAATACTTCAGTAAACTGCTAAATATCATGACTGAGGGTTTTCTTACACACATACACACACACACACACACACACACACACACACACACACACACACACTTTGCCCCTCCAAAAAGTTTTGCGAAGTCACATAATTTCTCAGAATCAAGAACAGAATGTAAAATGAGGAACATTGCAGATTCAAGAAACTTTCTACAATATATAAGTTGTCCTTACTAGGTATTGATCCAATGAGAGCTGTATGAGAATACTAAGAAATTAGCTAAGAAACAGTTTTAAGAAAAATGAAGAGCTGTCAGAGTCAAACAGGAAAAGATTCACAAGGTAGGAACTTACCACAATAGACAATAGTAAAAGTAGGGAGGAGGCCAGCAACCAGGGGCAAGAGAGAGAAAACAGAAAGCATTTTAATTAGGGGAATTTCAAAACATTTAAGCAGCAAATGGCAGCAAACACATTTTTAAAACACAAGCATCCACTTAAGTTTAACAAGGGATAGCAAAAAAACAAAAACAAAACCAACCAACCAAACAAACAAAAAACCACACGTGCAACAAATTCAGATGCTATGAAGCTGAAGATCCATAAAGGCAGTGACAGGAATGCAAATGAGGAAATACGGTCTGTGCAACTTTTACCATGCAGTGACATGAGGGGAGAATGGGATTAATCTCAACCAGTGGAAAGAATGTTGTCCAGGGGTCGATTTAGCATCAAGCAGACTTGTAAAAACTGCTCAGAGGTTTTAATGTATTCTTTATTTTATGTCTAGTTTCCAGTTAATTCTATTTCATGCTAGAATATCCATGAGGAACTTTATCCCTGGAAGACAGCTGTGGCAAAACTCTGTCTGTTTATGTCTAGATGAAGCCACAAAATGAGAGATTCTATTTTAAACATAAATAAGGGCATGCACATTTAACCTGGAGAATGGAGGTAGATGTACAAGTACCAGCTCATAAAAAGACAGGCAGAGGGTAAGTGCTTTTTCAGAAACAGAATGACATCTAGTAGTCACATTGGTCTCTGCGGTTTTCTATTGGGTCCCCAAACAAGGACTGTAAAGGAACCAAAAGCTATTCAGGCAGCACAGGTCTAATGACAAGCTGAGAGGCAAAGCCAAAATCTTACCAACACACCTAGCCCAAACAGACCTTATTCACTATTAGGGCATAATTTATAGTATTCTCCCTTTACAGAAAGAAGAAAAATTACTATAATCAGTTCTCCATGGTAATTTCAGGTAAGATTTAGTTTATATTTAACTTTTCTAAATTTAACTACTACATAATAGGAAGTACATGTAGCCTTTATTATATAGTAATAAACTATAAGAATATGAGGTCAAATTAAATGTTACATTTTCTCAATGTCTTTATCTTGCTTCCCCAACTAAATTTAAGTGACCAAAATGGATTTCTTTCCAGGGGTAAGGGTGGGGTGGGCTATATACAGGGCAAAGTGACTCAAGATCAAATTAAACACAATTTCTTCAATTCAAGATGCCTATTCTCTGCCCACATTTTAGTTATCACCAGAGCTGACCTCCATCTTTACTGACAGGATGCCCAGTTTAACAGACAAATGACTGTTCTCTTCACACAGACATAGAAAATACTATGTCCGCTAACGGACAGCATCAAACAAAATACACTATTTTCTGTTTATACCTCTGAGCATTGTCATATAAATCGACCTCTGTGAATGAGTGAGACAATGTAGTTAAGGGAAATCTGTGTGTCAGTGTGGATGAGAGAAATGCGCCAAAAAAAAAAAAAAAACCAAAAACAAACTGAAGTGACAACAGCGGCTCATTTACCAAAGAATCTCATTAGTGTAATGGTTTCCATGCACTGCCTACAACCTCTAAAGCAAAAAGGTCTTAAAATAACTTACAGAATTTAACAAAATTTCTTTGGTTAATGAATTCAGTTGATAAGCAGACAGCAACAGAATGCCCACAGCTAGCACATGTGGGCAAAGCATTGGCATAGGAAATCTGGTCCAGTCCATCTATTAGTGTCTTTAACTAACTAAAACATTACCTACCTCCCAGCCAGTACTCTGTGTAATAAAAAGTAAAAAAAAAAAAAAAGGGCAAGTCATAAAAAACTGTTCAGAAGATAAAAAAAAAGGCCAAAGGAAGTTCAGTTATATGGTACCATACCACAAATTCCTTATCACAGAGGATAACAAATATTTCAAACAGCAAACATTTTTTCATTTAAGACAGACAGAAATTTTATAACCTATTTGTTTAAAACTCAATATCCAAAATTTACCTTTGAAAAGATGTTTTAAAAGTGAAAGTACTTTTTAAATAGAAGGACACATTTCAGTGAACGAATCTACCGCCTGTTCTGTCTCTGTGTCTAACTCAGATCTCTAATTTCATTCCACTGAAATATCCAGGTTAAACAGAACATACACTGCAATTCTGCCAAATGCCAGGAACTCAATCAAATGTATGGAACTTTCTGGAAAACCACTAGTTCCATACTGAACACATAATTTGCATCAAAGAGCTCTCAAGGCAGATGAAGTTCCTTGTAGTATGTGCATAACTGATTATTTAAAAATACCTATTATCATCATGAAACCTAAATAATCTTTTGCAACTCCAATATCTGAGAAGATTACAATAGAGTCCTGGCTTAACAAGAGCAGCCTAGTTTACTTTCAGATTCTGTCAACTCATCTCTTACCGCTTGGCCACTGAGGTCAAGCTGGTAGACAGTGCAGCAGTGCTGCGTGCAGGAGGGGGTGGTCACTGCTCCACCGTCCTGTGGAGGGTGGGGCTCAGAGGGAAGCAGATCATTGCACGGGAGGAGGCCCAACAGGAAAATTTCAGTGGTGCCAATCACTCAGTCAGAAGGTGCCAGCCACTAATTTCACTTTCTAAGGAAGTTTAATTTGATTCTAATTTTGATCATAATGTGGCCTACACAGTGAAGTAAAGTACTGAAATCACTTTATAAATTACACAAGAACTTTTTTGTTCATTATTTTCATGTTATAAATACACCATGGGTAACAGTGCAAATGTAGGAGAAACAAACATAGCCACAGCAGTAAAAGATACCAAGATTTCATTAGAATTTCACATCACTCAACAAAAAGTTAATTTATACACAAAAACTTTTTGGCAACAAAGGAACAGATATTAATTTAAGTATCAGGTCCATAATTATAATCCACAATGTATTACAGAAAATAAAGTAAGATCATGAAACATTGCTGGATGGTAATAATTCAAAAGTTGTATGGGGAGTCATTTGGGAAGTTTCTAATAATCATAACCATTTTAGGTCAATTCACTCATTGTTTGTTAATGAATCTGGCTTAGCTATGAACCTTCTTTTAGCCCAAGTAAAATAGTCATTTCATGGGATCTGGCTAGACAAGAGCACCAGGTTTCTAGACTCCCCCGTAATAATAAAGAGAGAAGTCGGGACTGTTACCTGATGAACGATTTTGCTGAATGCTTCCTGAAGTTTACCATGGATTGTAGAGAGCTTCTTTGCATCCCGATTAGCTTCATGAATAGGAATGAGTACTTTGTAAACCTCATTAACTGCTTCGTACATGCCAGCCTACAGAAATAATGTCTGTGAGAAGCTGCTTTCTTTTAGATCAATGAGAAGAGTCACTACAATTTGTAAATTCACTGTATTTTTTAAGATAACACCATTGAAGCTATTCCAAGAGGTTTAATTTTTAATCGTATTAAAGCTTAAAAACCAATTTTATGTAATGTATCCTTTCATCTGGAAAAACTCAAGTGGGTATGTGTTTATAACTATATACATATGAATACTTACAATGGTGAATAACTTGACCTGGGCATCTTGTTCCTGGTTAGCCTATAATGACTTCACTAAGGTAAACATGTGTGTGCATATACACTCCTGAGAACCAATTCAATTATTACACTGGTCACAGATCCCCAATTCTCTTACAATCAGATAACCTGTGGCCTCTGGGAAAACCTAAATCATTTGCTTTTCACAAATTGTAAGCTGGCACAGGAAGTTGCTTACTAGAAATTCGTGGAAAAGTCTTTAAACACTTTAAGGCAGTGTGAGGTTCTGAGCGCTTGCTCTGCTGTTGCACTGACTCATAGCAGACTACACTGAAGTAGGCGGAGACAGCAGCTTTCCCAGGCTCCACCGCTCAGTAAACATGTTTTCTGTAAGACTGCGATTCTGACACATGTCAGGACTGACCACAGGAGGGCCTTGAAGCAATAATGTAGCTTCAATAGGGAAATAAATTTAGCATAAGTTAAATACTCTGCAAATTATCTTAATAAGTTAACATTTTTAATTAAATTAAAAAGAACTAATATATACTTAATATATATTAATAATATGATAGCAAAATAATTTCTGAACAACAGACCACTAGTCTTTAATCTAAATGTACTTCTTTGGATGATTGAAATTATATACATATACAGATACACAGATAAAATTCACTGAATTATTCTGTCAATAGCAAAAACAAAACAAAACAAAACAAAATAAACAAACAAAACCTTGCCCCATGACCCCAGCTAGTTCTCTTCAGTTTTAGGCTCGCACGGGATGGTCATGTTCCTTAGAGATATGACATTTTTGAAAGAACTGAAGTCTGGAAAATATTTTTAAGAGCTTGAAAATTATTATACTTAAATATATTGGTTCTAAGGACCAATAACACTAAAGATGGTAATGATGCCAGTGTACTAGCACTGAATAAAGCAATGAACACACACATTCTATCTCTATGAACTGACTTACTCCTTCCTCATGCTAACCTGCAGTACAAATTACTATTAGATGTGTTTAACAGTTAAGGAAAGCAAGACATAAACAGACTGAACAACTTATATGTGAAATAATACGGCTGTTAAGTGTGGAGCGCAGACTGAACTTGATGTACTGAACAATACACTGCAGGGCAAGCTCAAGGCCTAGAGAAGAAATCTAATTCCCAGGGAAGAAGAGCAGCTATGCACATCATTTCAAGCTTTGCCCTTACCCTTTCATGAACCTTATGGTCTCCTGAACCTTGGTGCTGGGACACTGAACACTAAGCGGTAAAGTCAAAGGAAGCAGGGACTTGATCAAAGAGGCTCAAGAAAGTTAGGCTATGTTCCTTCTATAAATGTCCTGTCTGGACTCCCCTTGACAGCTTCAATTCTTCACATACAGATGGGAGGGAACAAAGACTGGCGTTATACAAACAGAACAGGCCCATAAGGGATGCAGGATGCACTCTGACAGGCAAGAGCCACTCCTCCAAAACCTACCCAGGGAGGACTGCTCCACAAGCACAGCTCAATGGAAGGGGAACCTCCAATTCCTCTGGCAGAAACGCTGCAAAGTCATGTTAGTCTACTCTTAATAGAACTTAAAAACCTCAAAGAAGTTTTATTTTCTTCTTTTTCAATTTAAAGGTTTCAGAAAATATTTTATAAACAAAGAAAATAACTGCTGCAGATTAACCCAGATTGGCCTGGTTCAAAAACAAGCAAATGAAAACACTGGGCAAGCCACATATCATTACGATACAAAGAGCAGCAATAACAGATCTGGATGGAGAGTTCTTAAAGACACATGGAGCAAAGGAAACGCAATGTCACAAGGCAGGGAACACTGACATACATGTCATTTATGGATCAGGAAACTGTGGGGACAGAATAAGCAAAGTCACCTACCATAGAGAAGGAAGCGGCGGCTTGTTCCAGTAACCCCACGAGCCCTGACTCAGTAAAGTACTTTCCAGAGCAAATACCTTCTTCGTCTGGAGACACCACATCATCTGAGACAGCAGATTCTTCTAATACATTAGATGAAATATTCTAGGGAAAAGTAATGAAAAGATTTTTGCAATGAATTACTTTCCTAGCATAAAAATGTACACGGGGAAATAATTGCTGGTTAGATTTAACTGAAGTTAAAGAAAAGCAGCTGGGGTGAGCCCATTCTCAGCTGTGCGGGACTCTGGATTCTGCCCGGGTGCACACCTTCACAATGGGAAAGAGAAATCTCTACACCACGCTCTATTTTAAGATAATAAAATTACAACTGTTGCTAAATAACTTCCCCAAAAACCAATGTGGGAAAGGTTGACTTCTGACCTCCACAGGTCAGGTGTGTCATGGCACATCGTGAATGAACACACACACGCTCTCTTTTAATTTGTGAGAAAGAAAATAAACAGCTGGTGCTCAGCAGCTAGGAGCACTGGGTTCTTTCAAAGGACCTAGGACTGAAGCTCTAATTTCAGCTCCTAGTTAAAAACCAAGTCGTCGGGTGGTGGTGGTGGCGCATGCCTTTAATCTCAGCACTCAGGAGGCAGAAGCAGGTGGATCTCTGAGTTTGAGGCCAGCCTGGTCTATGGAGTAAGTTCCAGGATAATCAGGGCTACATAGAGAAACACTGTCTTGAAAAAAATAAATAAATAAAAACTAAGTCCTCTTTAATAGGCTGGAGATGCAGCCCGGTGGTGGAGTACACGCTTGGTATCATGAAGCTGACTAAATTCTCAGAACAGAAACAGAACAGGTAACAGTGCACTGCTCACTCACTGTGCTGGCCACTGGCCTTATCTCCTGCTCAAGAAGTCCACAGAACCAGGTTAAGGATTTACCTTGATCTCACACACATACAACAAATTCCTACCTGGAATGTTACACAGCCAACAGGAAGGTACTTCCGGTCCTCCAGCATGCTCAGATATTCAGCGACCAGTGCTGCTGAGTGGACCAAGCACTGGGCGGCTTCAGCATGATTGCTTCGTTCGGAGTGTTTTCCAGCCATGTTCTGAAGCCAAGTCAGTCGCAAGTCTGGAGAGGTCTGGTAGCCCTTGGCAATTCTAATCAGAACAGAAATGCTTCTCAGACTGGTGGGAGTTCAGAGAGTCATGTAGAGTTTACCAGACAAGTTCCTGCTACGGCACAAACCTGCCACAGTAAGTGTTTAAATGGCTGGAAATGTCACAGTATACAGAAAGAATCACTGTGACACCTAAAATGGGCACTACTGCTTTGGATTGGGGTAAAGAGACATGCTACATTAAAACTTGGCTGCTCAGAGAACGATCATATTTAAATTAGAAAATATAAAACAAGATATTTTTACATAATATATAAGGAAAATTAGAAGATATATAAGGTAGTTCCATCACATCATCTTTGTCTGAAGAGAAATGCTTTTGTGTGTGTGTGTCTTATGATGGGTAAAACTGTGAAAAAGAGGGCCACATAGAAAGGAAAATCCTTGGTTTGCTGCTGTGTCTATCAAGATACAACGGGAATAACAAGATTCTCAAAATCTATACCTAGAAACACTATTTTTAAACAATCATAATTTGAAATTATGACAATTTGTATTACATTAAACATTCACATACTGTGTTTTCTGAAAAGATTGTTTTTTATATTAAAAATATGGGTTTGGAGATTTTCTAAGAAGTTCAAGATCTAAGACACCAAATTTATTTATTAAAAATTCTTTCTTTTATTTTTTTTTGAGGTTGAATATTTATTCAGGGGGCTATGGAGGGGGAAGGGAGAAAGGGGCAGAGAGAGAGACAGAGAGACAGAGACAGAGAAGGGGGGAAGCGGAGAAGTGGGGAAAGAGAGGCAGAAGTGAAGCTGCCTCTCTGAGAGGAAGACAGAAAAGAGCAATTCTTTCTTTCTTTAGACAAGCATTCTGTACTTCTGAGGCTCTCTACCTTTAATCCCTTGTACTGCAAAATCATAACATACAAGCAAACTGAAGTCAGTTTTTAACTTTTACTTTATGTGTATGGGTGCTCTGTCTTCATGTATATCTACACTCTGCAGCTGTAGGTGGTTCTGATCTGTCACATGGGTGCTAGAAACTGAACCTGAGTCCTTTGAAAGAGTAACAAGTATTGTCAACTGTTGAAGCATCTCTCCAGTCCAAACTGAACAGTTTAAGAGCAGTGACAGAAAATATTTAAAAGCTGCCTTAAAATAAAACAAAAAACCAATCTCCCAGCCTCTGCAGACATCACACATACACATGGTCACAGACATACATGCAGGCAAAATACCTACACACATACATAAAAAAGTAAAATTGCACTTGACCATTTAATTAACATTAGAAGGTCACTTCAATAATTTTTGCATATTTCTTCTCATCAAACATTTCCCCGGTGACTTACTAATCCCATAGCGTGAGTCACACGAAGGCTACCTGTACATGAGATCAATCAGCATTTCGGGATCCTCCTGGTGCTCCTTCATTTTAACAGTGTCAGAAAGGATCATATGGAGATTAAAAACCAGATCTTGGACCTGTGGTAGAGATCATATGAAAAGTTCTTTTTGTTACTTAATAATTTTGTCACTGATTAAATGAGTTTGTGAGCCACTTCAGAGAAGCTTCTAGAATTTGAAAAACAAGTTATAGCGAGAACATGGGTGTGATGAAGGGAGGACATGCGCTCTGCATTCTGCAGTGGTGCTGTGAGCAGGGGCAGGGAAATGAGGACCACGAGAGCACGAGGAAACTCCCTAACTGTCTGACAGGGTAGCTGGGTGAAACCGGCTTTATTAAAGGCACACTAGCACTGGACTAACAGGCAGAAGTGTGTCATCATTGTGTCTACTCTGCCTGAGTCCACTGTCCTGTTACAATAAACAGAATTAAACGCAACCATATGAACAATTTTAAAAACAAGGCTCTGTGGAGATGGTTCAGTTGGAATAGTACTCTCCACACAAGCATGAGAACTTGAGCTTGTTCCCAGCACCACAACACAGGCGTGGTGACTGGCAGGATTCCAGTGCAGAGGGAGGTAAACACAGGAGGATGGTTGTGCCTTACTTGTCAGTCATCCTAGCCAAACTAGTAAGCTCCAGGTTTGGGGAGCTAACATCTAATCTTGACCTTTGGAGCTTCCCATGTATGAACACATATGTGCACACAGACACAGATCACTTACCCATGTTTTATGAAACAGTCTTTTCTAGGTTACTGTGGAAAGAAGTACAATACTCCAGGAAAAACCACTATTTAAGAACCTGGAAAGTACCTATTTAGCAGTTTTATTGCAAATTAATAATATAAAGAATAGCATTTCTCACCTGATCAGGAAATGTTGTCTCCCTCAACTCTAGATCTTCTTCAGCATATGTCAAAATAGTTTTTAGAGAGCGTCTTAAGAATTCTTCATTAAAATTCTGAGATGTACCCACCAAGGAGGACAGTGACATTGTTACTTGCATTTTCACTCTGGCAAAGTTCTGTGGAAGGGAAATTGTTGATATATCAAGCACCTGGTGAAAAACATCTAAAAAATTCTGAAGGAAAAATGCTTTAAAGTAATGAAATCTGAAATCAATGCATTAAAATCTGAATTTGAAAAGGACACAACAAACTCCCAGGTAACTAGGCAGATTCTCTCCTACAGTCTTTCTTTGTTTCACTCAGAGATGGTCCCTCTTGGGATCCTTCTTGCCATGCTGGCCAGGAATCACTTACGTGATTTTCACTCTCCTTCCCGCCTGCAAACCCCAGTTCCCTAGTCTCACCCTCAGCTTTGTAGCAGACCACCTGCTATGGCCCCTCCTTCCTGTCTGTGCCACTTCCCTGGAGCTAAGAAGATTCTCTCCTACAGCCTTCCTTTCTAGCCCCTCCCTCTGTCTCATCCACCAACACCAGAGACACTCTCTTTCTAGAAACCCACTGGTGACCAGGAAATCAGTTCCTCTGGGGAATCAGATCCTTGTGGCAGACCAGCTTTCCTCCCTCCTACGGACCTTCTCAGCATCCCCACATTCTAGCCCATCCCAACTCCTGTGTGTCAGCTCCCATAACCTAGAAACAAGTTCTACTTGAGAACTCCAGTGATCACACATCAGGTATTCAGAAGCACCCTCTACCAGGCAAACCACAAGCTCCACTTGCTCTTAAGATCCAGAGGGTAACAGAAACCAAGGAACAGAAAATCAATCCAACAAGAACAACAACAAAAGACCAGATACCAACACCTAGAATTACAGTCATCACAAACCCAGGTGCCTAGATGCCAGTGTAAAAACACAAACAATAGTCAGGACAGTGCATCTCCACTTGCAGCCTGAGAAGCCTACTACAATAGGCCCCGGGTGTTCCAACATAGCTGAAGCACAAGACAAAGACTTCCAAATAGCTATTATAAATATAACGAAGGACTTCAAGAGGATATGAATCCACTAAGGAAATCTATGAAAACACAAACGGTGGAATAAAATGAAGAAAATAGTTCAAGACAGGAAAGTAGAAATGGAGTCCATAAAGAAAACCTAAATTAAGGCAAAATTAGAAATGAAAAATTCAGGAACTTGAACAGGAAACTGAGAACATAATACAAGTATATATGCTCTACCACTAAATTATGTTCTGACCACCATATCTATAGTCTAAAAGGGACAAGAAATATTTAACTCTAGCTTACTTCACTAGGTCCATGCTATCATAGTTTTTAGTGAACTGCATTCTTATGTAGTGATATTTTTAAGAGTTTACATTTTATCTTCTTTTTTTTATAGTATAAACTCATTGCTGCTCCATTATTCCCTACTATGAAACCACTCTTATAACTAGCTGTCAAATCCAAGTCTGACAGTTTTCTACTTCGCACTTGTGGTATCTACGGTACTGGTTACCGTCTCCCTGGAATCTCTGGCTTTACCGTCAGTGGCCTTGCACTCTCAGGTTTCCCAGTCTTTGTGTAGAGCTAGGGACTGTGTAGGGCTCTGCACAGTACAGGAAGTCAAGTGCTCCTATACTAAGCAACGTTCCCTGCTCATCTTATTCTTTTTCGACTTTTTTCTGTCTTCTTTGTCTGCTATCTATTTTAAATCAAAATTGTGATGTCTAGTGTTAATTTTTAACTCAATAAACTCTAGAATCGCACAGGAGATGAGCCTCCAGGCACATCTGTGAGGGTGGTCTTGATTAATCTTAGCTTTTAAGAATGTTTGCTAGGGTTCTCTTGATTACACTGATGTGGGAAAACTTGTTTTTAATTGTAGGTTAATCTATTCTCAGAGCAAAGGACCCTGAACTACATAAACATAAACAGAGAAAGAACAGAGCAGTGGCCTGCATTTATCCCTGTCTGAAGGACAGACTAGCTGCTCTACGTCCTGGATGCCTTGGCTTCCCAGCCACGACGAACTGCTCCTTGAACTATGAGTGGATACAAACCCAGTCTCCCTTCAGCTGCTTCTGTCAGGGCTTTTATTAGACAACAGGAAAAGAAACTAAAACACCAATGTTCCCTGTTTTGTCAAAAATTTCTTCCCATGTGATAAGTACTAAAGAACAGCCTTTCCTTGGATGAACATACATGCTTGTTAGCACTCAACTCAGTTCATACTCCTCTGTAGAGCTCTAGACCATTCTATTTTACTCAACAATTCCATCTGGATAGCGCACAGACAACCTGAAGTCAGTATGGCCAATGTACCTTGTTTTCTCATTGACTTCCTCAAACCAAAAATCTAGAGGCCAGAATAAACCATATCCAGTCCCTGCTGCCCTCTAAACTGCCTACGTTTCTTTCCTAAAGATGCTGCTCTTGTCAACAGCCTTGCCATTCTACTCTAAGTCATTGTAGTTAAATTTTAGGAACTTTAAAAACGAAATGCAATCTGTAAAGTTACTAGAATCTTTTCTTCTGGGTGATGAGAACCTGGCACCTAATAAAAATGTGGCAATGTGAGTTGTATTGCCAAGCACACACCATACACATGCATGTACATATACATACACACACATTTATAAGACATCCACACGATGGGAAACAAAGACATTCTAAGTTCTTAATACCTGTCTATTAAAGCTGCATTTCATTACGAACCCAGACAATTTTCATGGCAGACACTTACATTCCCAATCTCAAAGTTCTGCCTCATGAGCAGGTAAAGAGAGGCACTAGCATGGGACCGTATGGTACTGATGCTGCTGCTGCAGTGTCGGAGAAGCCGGAGGCACAAATCAGCACACTGCTCTGTCTCTTCCTCAAACAGGAGCTCAGGAAACTGGAAGGTTTTAATACAGAGATGTATTAATATAGCCTGACTTGGGAGTCTGGTCGGTTGGCCGAGAAATTAAAAAGAATGGTTAAGAGACTCTTTTAATTAAGGTCAACAGTGCACACCACAGTCAGACAGCTTGGGCTAAAATACTGAGGAGGTCACTTGTTAGGCAGCAGTGTGACCCTGGGAAGGTTTCCTTTCTCCATGAAGTAGGCGTAATAATATTATCTGGATTGTTGTGAGGCCTCAGTGCGGTACCGTGAACACAGCATGAACATATAAGAGCTCAACATAAATAAATAAATACAAATGCACATTTTGGGGAGAGGGGAAAACAGCAAATAAACCTCTGAGGCATCAGAACACGGAGCCACCTTTAGACAGCAAAGGGTGTGAAAAATGCATTAACTTCTTAATGAACGAGATGAAAAGGAAGATACATGGGTGGGTAAAGCTTAGTGAAAGGGTGCTTGCATCACATGTGTGAGGACCCTGGCTCAATTTTCAAAACCACAACACCCAGATTTCAGGCTCTTCTCAAAACAAGATCTTAAGATTTTTAAAATTGTAAGACAAGAAACTGATTATCGATAATTCAGATCAATTCAAGTTCTGAAGACAGAAGCAGAGACAGAGGATCACGGTAAACACATTAAGTTTTTAAAAACACATTAAGTATTTAAAATTAATTTATAATATATTGACCAGTGAGCATGGCAAATGACCTTAGGCAGTGTTAAAGAAGGAAGTAAAGTCACATAAGACCACAGGTACAAGATCACCCACCTTGGAGACCAGGGCTCTCTGCGTGGCAAAGCAGTGCTGCAGATACACTGCGCTTTGGTTGCAGGCCATGCTCTGCAGCAGCACTTTCAGCACCCCACCCAGAATGCTCTCCTTGGATTCTGTTACAGAAACAGTCTGCAATGTAAACACAAAGACATTAAGCAGGCATGCACCTATAATGTGGGTAGGTAAGTAAAATATGTATAAAAATTCAAACATTTACAAGAAAGGGAAATGGTAAAAGCCAGGAGGACTTCAAGAGATGCTGAGCAGTATTTGGATGGAAGAAAAAAAAGGAGTAAAAGGGCCACAGAGACTTTTAAGTTGGGTGCTGGAGCGGGGATTACAGACATAATGACAAGAAAACATAAAGTATGTTCTAGGAAAATTTATAAGTAAACTGGGACATCTGACTTGAGGTACATGCAGAAGATGAGCTAAAAAACTAGAGTAAGTGCCCAAGGCAGATGACATGGGTTTCATATAAAAAATCATTTCCTTTCTTTCTTCCTTTTAAGATCTAGAAGCCTGGTTTTTGTCTGAGTCTAGGAATTAAGCTCAAAAGAAACGTGAACTAAAGAGAAGTTGTGTTTCTACATTTAGAAACACAAGTCTCTTCTATGCAGTGAAAGGCAGTGTAGTGAGGAGTGAAGCCTGAGCAAGCACCCTGCACAATCTATCTTGGAAATACTATTTCTTATCATACTATTTTTTCTAGTAGTTTACATACACCTAGTCCAACTAACAGAGCACCAAAATAAAAAGTGTGGTGATACTTTGTTTGTGCTTTAATAGTAAAGCTTGCCTGACAATCAGAGTACGGAGCTAGCCACTAGTTAGCCACAGAGGCCAGGCAGGGGTGGAACACACTTTTATTTCTAGCACTATGGAGGTGGATACAGGAAGGGATTTGACTTGGCAGAGAGGAGACAGGAGCTCACGCCATTAGGATATCCCATTTGGTCTGAGGATTTTGTAGAGGGAAGAACTAGTGGTTGGATGCTCTGCTTCTCTGATCTTCCAGCTTTCAACCCCAATATATCTTACTCCAGGTTTTTATTATTAAGACCAATTATATTTACGCTACATCTGGCCATATGTGGCTAACATCTGGCATCCAATGTGGTGCAATTAAAATTCACGCAACAAAAAGTCTTTTAAAATCTAAAGAATTTCCCATTTTGGTCATTAAGCAATCAAGAAATACAGACTTTAAAAAGCCATTTATTATTAATTTGTGCATATTGTGTGCCTGCTTGTACAGTGGAGGTATATGTGTACAAAGGTCAGAAAAGGGTGCTGAGTGTCTTCTACCACTCCCTGACTATTCTCTCTCAACCCTGGGCTTATATTCCTGGCTAGGCTGAAAGTCAGCAAGCCTCAGTGATCCTCTTGTCTTCACGTCCTTGGAACTGAGGTTACGGGTATGTGCTAGACATAGGGTTGTCATGTGGTGCTGGGAATTTGGTCTGCAGTCTTCGTGACTGCACATCAGGTGCTCTTACCACTGAATTGTCTCTCCAGCCCCAAGAAATACTGAAATATTTATGTTTTAAAATTTTCAGTCAGGGTAAGTCAGTGAAACATAAGAAATATAATCTCATGGAAATGAAAAGAACAGGCTATGAAGAAAATACAGACCATTATGAAGTAGTAGCCATTATAAGAGCACTGAATTAAGAATACGACAAAGTGATGGTACAGGAAGAGAAGGGAAGAAACCGGTGACACATTTACTGAAACAGCTGGGGCAGCCTGGTAATGGTCACATCTGGTTCTTCTACTTACTTCCTGTGCGACCATGGGACACTGCTTAACCATCTCTGTGGCTAACTACTGCTATCTACAAGATGGGGACAATGGTAATTTTCATTGTCTGTTTCTTATAAAAACCAATAAGTTAAACCTTATGAAGTGCTTACTTAGTACATTGCTCAAAAAACTCCATCAATGGTGCCTGTTACTGACAGGGTAATAAGGTCTAGAAAGCTACGGATAAGGCAGTTTGCATTTATGTAAAATTACCAAGTAGAGTAATTACACATAAAAAACCCTAAAATACTGCTTAATATATAGAAGACACAGACTAAACCTAGCATAGCTCTGGGTTGCATGTTAAATATATTCCAGTGGGACACCCCAATATAAATACAGAGTGGTTACTGGAAACACAAGAGCAAGCCAAAGACTTTTTCTTTTTTGTCCAAAAGCAAGGGACAAAGAGATGTGGATTTTACAAGCACCTTCAAATAAACATTTACAAACTGTGGAAAGAAATAAAATTTACAACTAGAGAATCACTGACTACTCAGAACTACCTATAACTATTAATGCCCAAGCATCATTATAAGGGTCACACTGACTCTAATTCCGCCTGCCGAGTCTCTGCTTACACCCCCCTTGCCTGTCCTTACCTGAACGATGATCTCTAATGTGTCTAAGATGATGAGATTCGCTTCAGTAGCCAGGTTTCCATCAATCAGTGCTTCATGCTCTATCTCTGCTCTTGACCTAATACAAAATATTGTAAGAAATTTTACTTATCTTTCAAAAAGCCAGAAGTAAAAAATGACTTAGAGATTCATTAAAACAAAAACCTTGAAAGCATTAACTTTGCTTGAACAAAAACATAAAAAAGGAAGAAAAGGCAGTAATTCATGCATTAAAATGCTTTGTTTCCCTACATCTTGTTGACTGTATAGTAACATATACCTCTCTCCCTCTTTTTCTGACTCTCTCTGTCTCTCCTCCCTACCACAGACAGGTTCTCACTGTGTAGCCCTACTGGCCTGGAACACTTATGTAGACCAGGCTGGTCGTGAATTCAGAGATTCACCTGCCTCTGCCTCCCTGGTGCCACTATGTCCAGCAATATATACATATATACATCTGTCCCCAACAACACAGTGCCACTAAGGGCATATGCATTTGTTTTGCAAAAAACATTTTTTTTTTTACAGTCATTGGTATAGACACTAGGTGGGTGCTAATATATACTACTGTGGTACGTAAAGCAACATTCAAAAATATTTATCTTCAATTCCAAACATTTTCAATGTATTTGGTAAATAAAAGCACTCGATTTTTCTAAGATTTTATCTATTTTCTGCTTAGCTATTCACACAAATATTCTCAAAAGGTAATTTAACTCTTTTTTAACTTTTAGTTTTTCAGGTCAGGGCATCTCTTTGTAGCATTGGCTGTCTTGGAACTCACTTTGTAGACCAGACTGGCCTCAAACTCACAGAGATCCACCTGCCTCTGCTTCCTGAGGGCTGGGATTAAAGGTGTGCACTACCACCAGTGATTTAACTCTTAAACAAGACAGGCTGGAATTATATATTAGAAACAAAACATGAGGCAATAATGTTAATAAACCTGATTATAATCATTACACAACTGTATATAAATCAAAACTCACACTGTATAGCGTAAATAAACTTCTTGCCAATTATAACTCTTTAGAGAGGGAAAGAAAAACAATTTGATGCTGAAATCAGTTGCCAAGTAACTTTTCCACAAAAAATGAGTTGGGTAAAATAGTTTTGCTGTATTTACTTAAAAGTGAGTTTTTAAATATGCAATGTATTTTACTATAACATATAAAATTATTTTCTCAAATAGTTTTAAAACTAAAACTTAAATATTTATCTTCTAAGATATAAATGACTAGCAGAAATAAACAGCTACCATGACTGACTTCCTTTTCGCAGTTAGAACATGGCTAGCCCATCAGAACAGATTAGAAATAAACAGCTACCATGACTGACTTCCTTTTCGCAGTCAGAACATGGCCAGCCCATCAGAACAGATTAGAAATAAACAGCTACCATGACTGACTTCCTTTTCGCAGTTAGAACATGGCCAGCCCATCAGAACAGATTAGAAGGTCACATTACTTATCGAGCTTCTCCGTGTTCTGGCGCCAGTGAGTCCTGTCCTTTCTCCACCGCAGGTTTTCTTGGCTCCCAAAGGCACTTCCAGATGGGCTCCTCTCTGTGAAAGCAAAGTCAAAATGGTATTTCAGGTGGAACACATGTACATATATTTGAAAACATACAAAAATTAGTATATATCTTTAACTTTATAAAATCATTTCTTTCAGTACAAGTGGAAGAAATGAACAGTGGTATTTTCAGTTAAAAGCTTTCACAATAATTAAGGAGAAACTATTTCCTATACAGGTTGTTTCTTGGTAAAAACCCAATCTCTTAAGTAAGCAAAGAAAGGACCTAACATGAGCTCTATTATAAGGCTAAAAGAAACGGCCCAGTTTCCTTGAGGGTACTGAGTTGTGTTGAGTCATTCTACTCTCTTGCTCTCCCTGTGTGCATAGGTAGTCAGAATGGTCTCATCACACAGGATCCTGATTAAAGACTCATACAATGGCTCCTGAAACTTTTATCTGATTGGTCGCTCATAAACTTGCACTGGGTAAGCACTCACTCACCACCTCTTCAGAAAACCTTTCCCCATCCTCCAAGATATCTCTGCCTAAGTACTTGCTTTGCCTGTGCTCATAACACTGACTGTTAATTTTTAATGAGACAGGGTCTCACTCTAGCCAGGCTGGCCTGAAATACACTATACAGTCAAAGCTGGTCATGAATTTAATATAATCCTCCTGCCTCAGCCTCCCAAGAGCTGGAACAGATGTGAACTACCATACAGGACTCCATAGCATTTACTCATACAAGAACACGTTTTTGACAAAAGTGATGTTTATTTTGTTCTGCATTTCATAATAAAGTATCTGGAATACAGTGAGTGTACAATAAGTTTGTATCCGCAACAAAACATAATAAAGCCTGGGAAGATAGACTTATGATTACAGTGTTTGCAGTGCAAGCAAGGAAACAGGAATTCAGATTCCCAGAACCCACACATATGCAAGGCAGATGTGGTAGTTTGTTTGTAATTTCAATTTTGGAAGTCAGAGACAGGGAACCCTTGAAGCAAGTTGGCTAACAAGATGGTCATACTGGAGCACTTTGGGTTAATGAAAAGACCTTCCCTTAAAGAATAAGGAGGGATGACTGAGGGAATTGTCACATCAGCCTTAGGGTCCACACAGGACATGTATGCATGCACACACACAACCTATACAGAAGCACATATATACAAACATGTATATATACACTACACAGATATGAAAAGATTAAAAAAAATCTGTAACAAGAAGATTAAATTTTTTTAAGAAAAAGACTGTGTGTGTGTGTGTGTGTGTGTGTGTGTGTGTGTGTGTGTACATGTATGAGAGAAGGGAGGGAGAACACTCCACAGAAACCAGAAGAGGGTATTAGATTTTCTGGAGGTGAAGTTTCAGGTGGTGAGGTGGCACAAGAAGCTGTGAGTTGCCTGACATTAAGTGCTGGGAAGCAAACTTGTATCCTCTATAAGAACAGTTTACAGTTACTTCTTGGTTCTAAAGGAATGGGGTGGGGGACCTCTTCCCCGAGGACTTTAGGTCTGAAGGCATGGGTAGTCTTTTAATAGGCACCATACATTTATCCTGCATGGAAAAAGCACTGAAACTGGTGGGTAAATATACAAGCATGTGATGGACTCAGATTTCAAGCTTTCAACTAGGAAATGAAGATACCCACATTTGAAAATAATAAGATCGAGGACTGTTTGAGAGGATGGAAGAACAATGAAAGTAGAATTAATAGTTCACATAGAAATTTTAGAAATTCTAAGAATCAGGGATCATTTCATACAATGACAGACAAGTCTCTATACTTTCCTATTGATTTTCTTTCCTACCTTTCTTAGCTTTTTAATTTGGAGGGTTTTTTTATAGATTTATTATTATTAATCATGTGTCTGTATGTGTGTATCTGTGTACTCAAGGGCAAGAACTCACTGAGGTTCTCAGATGATTGATCTCCTGGGAACTGAAATTACAGGTCGTTGTTAGCCATGTGACACGGGTGCCAAGAACTGAATTCGGATCCTCTACAAAGTGTAGGAGCACTTAACCACTGAATCACCTTTCCCTTATTTTGAAATGTATTTTGATCATATTTACTACCCCCAACTTCCTAGCCACCCCACTTCATATTCTTTCTGTTCTTTTTAACCCACTGAATTCAATTTGTGTTACTCAAATACTCTTGGATGTAGAGCCTACCTTGGGGCATGGTCAATGTACTGGATCCTTAAAAAAAACTAGTTCTCCCACTCCTGATATCTATCAATGCTAAAAGCTCTATGTTAAGGTAGGACTTTGCTATGGAACAATCCTTTTGTACACTGTGAATATTTGTTGCTCTCATTGGTTTAATAGAGGACTAATTGCCCAATAGCTGGGCAGGAAGCCAACAAAAGGAGAGCACAGGGATGAAGAAGTAAAGTCTCCAGAGACCACAGAGAAAACAGGAGATGAACGTGCCACGTTGAAAAAGCTACCAGCACGTGGTAGAGCCTAGGTAAGGAATGTGGGTCAAAATGTGAGCTACTTAGTAACAAACCTAAACTATCTGCCAAGGATTTATAATTAATAGTAAGTCTCCATGTTGATTTTTGGGGAGCTAGAGGTCCTGAAGAAAAATCCCACCTACAAATGGCACCCAATGCCTAGCACCTACATCCACATAGGCCTGAGAAAACTTAAAAGAAGGCTTGAAAACAAGAGCCAAACACAGTTTCCTAGTCTTGCAGTCTCTCATGCCGGATGTGATACACAGATACATCTTTCAGTCATTGCATGCGGGTTTGACTCACCAGTATGAGTGTCACCAACACACTATAAGCTAAGCTGCCTGTCGGGTTTAAGGTTTTGCAAATGCAGACAGAAAAGGTTACAGATATGCAGTAAAGACAGATCCAGATGGGTAAAACTTCTAAATGGGATACAGTGCATTTGACTCAGTGGTTAAGAGCACTGACTGCTCTTCTGGAGGTCCCAAGTTCAATTCCCAGCAACCACATAGTGGCTCACAGCCATCTGTAATGAGATCTGGTGCCCTCTTCTGGCCCTCAAGCATACAGACAGACAGAACACTGTATACATAATAAATAAATAAATCTTTAAATAAAATAAAATAAAATAGAAATGATGAGATATATAAAAGGGGAGATTACTGAATCTACTTGAAATCAAGAAGCAACTATTAATCTCAAAATATCTTATACTGGTATGGATTTTGGTTTATTGATAAAAAATTAAAAGTTATTTCTGATATACTATATGTACATTTCTACTCTTGTTTGGGGCATGCAATTCATTTAAAAATGTAATGTATAATTAAGAAATACAGGTTAATAGTTAGTCATTGTTAGTCATCTATAATAATCAAACTTATAGTCATATAAGGTATAGATGGTCTTCAAAAACTTCAAAAACATAGAGTATTTAAGATGTTTCATGACAGTGAGACAAGTCTGCTCTAGGCAGAACCAATTTACTTCAAAAGAAGAGGATGGGCACTGAAGGATCTCTGTGTGGAACTTGCTTTCTTTATGGCAAAAGCTAGTCATTTGGGCAAGAAATTGTACTTGCTTCAATTGTACTTGCTGATGGTATGCTGTCCAAACTGGACCAGCAGGAAGCAAAAGAAAGCAACTGCAAAACTGCCAAGATAAGATACAACAGACCTTCAAAATCCCCTTTTCTCAGACTTCAGATGTATTAGGCCTGTAGGACAAAGCTGGATGCCCCAACTCTGCAGAGGAACTTTGGGTGACTGTCTAGGGAGCCAGATGTCTCTATTCTTAGGTAATATTACATCCTTCTTGGGTCTTTGAGAGTTAAAGACTAAATAGCTAAACGTACAGTTTTCCTTAGTTATGATAAAAAGTAAATTAGTTCTAAAACTTTAGATTCACAAAGATAAGATAAAGTATTTTCTCTAAATTTTTCAAGTACAAATGGACTGGATACTGTAACTGTAATTCTTACTTAATAACTTTATATTATATATAATTTTACTATGCTACAGTTTAAACCTTCCTTTTTAATTAGACAAAAGGGGGAAAATGCTGTGGAACAATCTTTTGTATACTGTGGTTATTTATTGTTCTCATTGGTTTAATAAAAGGCTAAATGGCCAAGAACTAGGCAGTTGGCGATTAGGTGGGACTTGCAGACAAGAGGAGAGTGTGGGGATAAAGAAGGGCGGTGTCCCCATCCCCAGTGGAAGCAAGAGATGAATATGCTGTGATGAAAAAAGGTACTGCCACATGGTAGAGCCTAGATAGGAAATATAGATTAATTCAAATTGTTTAAGAGTTAGTTAGCAACAAGTCTAAGCTATCAGCCAAGCATTTATAGTTAATAGTAAGTCTCCATGTCGATTATTGGGGATCCAGCAGTCCTGAAGAAAAACCCAGCCTACAGGACTTCTTACACCATCCTAGGAATGTCTGGCTTGAACTCTATTATTTCCTTCCCAGGCTGATTGTGTCCTACTCACCATTAAATTTTAAACACATACAGTATATAAAATCTACCTATATAAATGATTTCTGAAAGTGAAATGTCAGAAAATTCTAATTGTGCTGGTGTTGGTGGTGAAACACCTTTAATCCCTGCACTCAGGAGTCAGAGGTAGGTAGATCTCTGAGTGTGAGGACAGTCTGGCCTACAGAGAGAGTTTTAGGACAGCCAGGACTATACAGAGAAATCCTGTCTTTAGCGCCCCCCCCAAAAAAGTAAAGAGCAAAATTCTAATTAACAATTAAAAAATTATAGTTCATAAGCCAGATGTGATGGCACACACCTGTAATCTCAATACTCAAAAGTGAGACGGGGGATCACCAACAGTTTAAGGTCAGACTGTTCTACATAGCCAGGTCCAGTCACTCAGGTATAGACCATCAGACAAGACCCTATCTCAAAATAAATGATTATATAAAGGAAAAAATAAAATTCATTTATAGATTCATATTTAACTCAATAAATACATACTAGACATTTAGTACGTCTTCTTTACAGATGACTAAGCCATTTCTGACACTACAAAACATATCAATATTAGTATTTATGTCATTTTAGCATTTACAAATGTTTGCACATATATTATCATCACAAAGATGATAAAAGCAGGTAGTTACCCTACCTTCTAAATACGGAAAACAATTACAAAGAGGTGAGGAAAAGGAAGTTGGGAGATTAAGTATCATGGCTATGGTGATACGGTTAGAGGAAGCCAACCTAGGAATAGAAACAGACATTAACATGGAACAAACTATTTTTTTCTACTTCACATGTGAGTCTGTGGGCAACATTTTTAAACTAATATACACAACATATTAAATTACACTACAAAACGAAACATTTAACAATAAAGGGGCATGTTACATAGAATGACCTCTGTCATCCCTGTGGGTGATGACGTACTGTTGTTACCCACTGTAAGAAGTGTGCTACTTCTTACACAATGACAATGGAGGAAGCTATGCGTGTCTACACAGAGGATACACATAAACGTCTGTCCTTTGTGTTCAATTCTGCCCTAAATCTAAACTAAAGTGTCTATTTTAAAAAGGAGTGGGAAGGAATGCCACACATAAGGACAGTAGGCAAAACTGAGACCATCCAAAGCTAACTAGGACACACTTATCTTTTTTATTAGTTTCAAATAGCATCTTCAGAGAAGCAATTATTATGTTGACTCAGTTATGTTCAAAGTGTTTCTAGAAAGTCACTGTGGACTTGCAGCAGCAATGACTACAGAACACAATCCTTGGAACTGACACATCCCTCATCAAGAGAAGCTGTACCTACCGAGCTGCCCTCGGCTCCGCCGCACCATTTCCTGCCTGGCACCGATGCTTCCCAGAATGGCTTCTTCAAGCTTGGCTCTCATATCTTTTGATTTCTTAAAGGTCAAACTATTCATCCTTTCAAACACCTTTTTCCCCTAAAATTTAACAGCAGAAGAGGCATTGAGAACACTTCTTTCTTCCTTTCCACATTATTTTACTTCCTTGTAAGTTTCAATGGTCTAATAGCTACTTACTTTGTACTCAAAACAAGATACACATAGATAAAGCAGATCCAGCAGCCGGTTCAGCTGTAGGACGGAGAGGTCTGTAAACCACTTCTGTAGAACAGTTTCATCTGCGTTCTTGAGAACCCACAGCAGGCAGATCAAAAGGCTGCGGCTTGATTCTGCTGAGAAGGTGGTATGTTGCCTGCCGCTCTGGAAACAGAAGAGAAGCATAAGTCCCGCTGACCAGTGATCATTTCACTCTTGTTGACACACACCTATAACTCCAGGACTTGGGGCACTCGGATAGAAGGGCCCCAAGTTTGAGAAAGTTTGAACTACCTAACAAGCTTCAGACATATGATATCATATGAACAAATAAATACTACTAGAAAATAGAATTTTCTTAAAAAATAAACTAAAGAAACCATTTGATTTAGATAACACATGGGAAAGCCAGCCATATAGAATCCTAAAGTCTGAAGTTTAATGAATGGCAGTAGACCCTGGCTTTATTGTGGTAGAACTGCCAGCAGAGAACAGAACAAGTTAAGAAAAAGCATAAAGATAAAATAAAGTTTCTACTATTAACACCCAAAGAACATATCATAGGATGTCAGAGATGGTAAAAACAAAGGAGCAAAGCAATTAACTCAGAAAAGTTGTAGGAAGGATAAAAACTAATAATATTTATAAGGTTTAGAGGAACACTGTCTGTTGAAAATAGTCACTGACATAAAGGGAGAATGTCCCCCACAGTCTCAGGCATGTAACCACTTGAGGAAGTTGAGGTGGCGCAGTCTTGCTGGAGGAAATACATCATGGGGCAGGCTTTGAGAGTAAAAGTCTTGAGCCATTTCCAGTTTGCTTTCTCTGCTTTGCACTCATGGTTGAGATGTGAGCTCTCAGTTTCCCATTTCTGCTTTTGTGCTTCTGCTGCTTTCATGGACTCCTACCCTCTGGAGGTTTATGTTAAAATAAACTCTCTCGTCTTTAAATTGCCTCTGGTCATACGTTTTATCACATCAACAGAAAAGTAACTAATATACAGATAGTAGAAAATGCTATTTTTATTTATGGCATGAAAGGGTGAAAGGTATTTTCAAAGTGTGATCTATATCAGGACACAGCAATGAACTGTACATGAAAACCAAAGCATCTGAGCGTATTTACAGCACCAGTGACTAAGGATCCTGCCTGTTTCAGCCACTGCACTAAGCCCTTCACACATACTATTTTAGTCCTCCCAAAATGTTACAAAGCAAGTTGTCTCATCTCAATTTGGCAAATAAGAACAGAGAACAATAATGATGCTGATAAAAGTAAAATCTGCAATGTGTTAAGCACTGTGCTAATAAATTTACTGCACTTTCACATCTGTCTTATGAGATGATATTAACTATTAGTTTTCTTAAAAGGTGAGAATTTAGTTCTGGTTAACCAGACCCCAAAGCCTGTGCTCCTTACCCAAGTAATTACTTAAAAATTTACTAAAAAACAAAACGGAAAAACCCCAAAGAGATTAGTGTGAGGAGCGATCTGTGAAAGATGGACATCCTGACCGCCATGGACATGACTGTACTCGTCTCCACAATCTTCCTTCTGTTCTGGCTAAAAATGATGGTAGCAACTAATACAAATACTTACTCAGTCCTAGGCAGTTCACTGAACACTACATGCACACTAAGTCATTTATCTCTTGCCAGGTCTCAAAAAGACAAATAGTATTACTCATCCCTTTTTACAGCAAGAAACAGTCATCACAAGTATTCTGTAGTCACAATGGGGCTTGATCCACATTCAGTAAATGTGGTTCCAGAAAACAAGCTCTTATCCTCGCTGCCTCTGAAGTAGACAATCAGCGAGGATCATATGGGAAGTGGGGACAAGGGGACAAATTTATTCTTCCAGTTAGTAACACACGTTTAGAAAGTCAAGGCGATGAAGACAGTGTGATTTTGGTATATATGGGAGGACAAACAGTTGAATAGAATAGAAAGCATGAAAAGTATCCTGTGAATTCTGAAAATGTGATCTATGACAGCATGCAGTATGGTTTGGTGATGAGACAATGGACTATTTATTTAATAACTGGTATTGGGACAAATTATTCCTCTACAGGGTAAAAGAGTGGATTCCTATCTTGTATCATTCCATAAAAAAATTAATTTCAGATAAAGAATTTAAATGGGAAAGGCAACATTTAAAACCATTAGGAAAAAAATGCCTAGAAGAACATTATAGTTAATGCTAACAAAAGGCACAAGCCACCAATAATATATTAACAACTTTAATTTTGAATTGTTAACTACTTCGTTATCAGAATAAAGAAACAAAAGACTGATAGACCAACAAGGAGAAAAGATCTAAATCTCAACTGCTGGGGAAAAGCAGCATAAACAGACAAACCCAGTAAAGTACAGAATATTTAAACAGAAGCCAAGGCAAATACATGGCACTGTAACTAAAAGAGCAGTCTTCAGATCTGAGTCTGTTTACAAAAGTGGACTATATAATAGACCTAAAAGTAGTTGTGGGAAATACAACATCCTGACTGAAATCCAGATGCACATTCTCTGACCATAAGACCAAGTCATGAGCAGAAAGAAAAGAGCAACTGGAAATTTACAGCTAGAAACTTAAAAGCTGCTCTTTTGAAATAGTCAAAAATCACTAAAGACCACAATGATCTTCACAGAAGTTTTGAGCCAAATAATGAAAATGCAATGTATAAACAGCAACAGTTAACTAAAGCAAGTACAAAGAGAAACTAACAGCCTCATAGCCATAATAAGAAATATATCTAATGTTAAAAAAATTAAAAAATCCCCAACATCCACTCCTTCTACAGTGCAGGCACAGAAGGAAGACACCTTCTTCAAGATTTCAGGGAGGAAGGTGGTGTGGGAAGTCCTTCTGTATATGTGTTGCTTTTCTTGGTTAATGAATAAAGAAACTGTCTTGGCCTGTGATGGGGCAAAGGAGAAGAACTAGGCGGGGAAAACTAAACTGAATGCTGGGAGAAAAAAGGCAAAAGGAGAAGCTTATGTAGCCTTGTAAGAGACAGAAGGGAACCTTGCCAGTAAGCCACAGCCATGTGGAGATACAGATTAATAGAAATGGGTTAAATAAAGGTGTAAGAGTTAGCCAATGAGAAGCTAGAGCTAATGGGCCAAGCAGTGATTTAACTAATACAGTTTCTGTGTGATTATTTCGGGCACAAACAAGGGTCCTGCTACTGAAGGACACTTAAAAGAAAATCCCACAGCTGGAAAAGAGGCCAGAAACATGCATATATAGTATAAGAGGCCATGTCCAAGTGGGCAGGTACTTAAAGGCTACTAGAAGTAGGAATTCCTACAGCATGCTACAACAGGAAGGGATCTAATCTCAAAAAAAAAAAACCAAAAACAAAAAAAAACTCTTAAAAGAAGAGAACCAAAGAACCAAACTCTCTGGTCCGAGTCAACTGCTAGCCTAGCTTTGATCTCAAACCCCAAAAGAACACTCTGAAAGAGCGGTATAGGCAGAATTACTTAAGAGCATAAATATGTAAGCCCTAAATAAAACATAAGCAAAATAAATAATCATTATACAGTTATAGAAGTCTGAACTAAAATCAGGATTTCAAGCTTGTCTTAATAATTAACTTAAATAAGTCATTAGTGGTGGCCCATGTCTTTAATCTCTGTGCTCAAGAGGCAGAGGGAGGCAGCAATCTATGAGTTCAAGGTCAGCCTGGTCTACACAACAAGTTCCACAGCTACACAGTGAGATCCTGTGTCAAACAGCATCAAACAAACAAACAAAAAAAAAAACAACACAGCAAAAAATTACAAAGTTAAACAATTTTCTCATCTTAATTACTAAAGAAAAATTATGAAAGTTTATAAATGTTTCATTAAAAAGGGTTTTTTATAAGTGATTAATGGTCACAGTCAATTCTAAAAAAAATGAGGGAGATATATAGAGATGAAAACTTTGCATTGGTATGGATCTTAGTCTACTTATACAAATTTAAGGTTGATTTTGTTACACTAGAGATATGCATTTATACTCGTTTAAGGTATTGTGTTTGTGCAGCTCATTTAAAAATGTAATGTATAGTTAAGAAATACAGAGTAATAGTCATTTATAATAGTCAAACTTGTTTGTAGTCATGATAGTCAGGCTTTCTAGATATACAGAAATATATTTCAGGTGGATAGGTAGTCTTCAAACCTTTCAAAAATCTACAGAACATGGCATTTAAAAGGTTTTAAGAACTTAGACTTTTCTTAATAATGAGACTTATCTACTTCTGGCAACACCAAGTAATTCAGAGAGGTTGATGGTCATCTAAGAGGCTCCTTATGGAGTTTGCTAGCCATTTGGGCAAGAAACTGTGCTTGCCTGGACTGCTTTATGGCATGCTATATGAACTGGACATGCAGGACCCACAGAAAAGTGATTGCTGAACTTTCCAAAAGATGTGATGATCCTTCAGGGTTCCTACTTCACAGAAGAAACTGCCAGACATTCTGCATGACACAGAAGAAAGCAACTGACAAACTTTGTCATTACGAGGCAGAACAGATCTTCAAATTTCCTGCTTCACTGAAAAGTTTGCCAGATATTATGTATGGGCCTTGTAGGCTGAAGATGAATGTCCCTAAGTTAGAGAAGAACTTTGGGTTACTGTCCAGAAAGATTTACCTGTCAATTCTAGAGTTTTGGAAGTTGCTTACAATGCATCTCCTGTTTACTTAGGTAATATTATATCCTTTTTGGGTCTTTGAAAAGTTGAAGACAGATAGTTATAGTTTTCATTAGTTATGATAAAAGATAAATTAATATAAGTATTGCAACTGTAATTCTTGCCTGATAACTGTTTTGTATATGTAATTTTACTACGTTAAAGTTAAAACCTTCCTTTTTAATTAGACAGAAAAAAGGGAGATGATATAGGATGTACTTCTGTATATGTGTTGCTTTTATTGGCTGATGAATAAAGCTGTTTCAGCCAATGGCTTAGCAGAGTAAAGCTAGGTGGGAAATCCAAACAGAGATATGGAGACAAGAGGCGAGTCAATGAGATACCATGTAGCTGCTGAAGGAGAAAGATGCCAGCCACCATCCAGAACCTTACTGGTAGGCCACGACCTTGTGGTGATACACAGATTAATAGAAATGGGTTAATTGAAGATGTAAGAGTTAGCTAGAAATATGCCCATTGGTTAAACAGTGTTGAAATTAATATAGGTTCTGTGTGATTATTCGGGTCTGAGTGGCCAGGAAATGTGTGAGCAGTCTCTGCCTACACACATTCACTATGTTCCCTTTTAAAAGAGCCCTGCCCACTCACCCCCCCCCACACACACACTCCCCCTTTCTTCTCTTCTGCAGCTCCTGCCCCCAGGGGCTGGTCTCCCTTCTCCTTTCCCATTCCCTTTCCCTTAATAAACTCTCCATATGAACTGCTACAATGGCGTCTTTCTCTCTTGCTCAGCTTTTTTATTTTATTTTATTTTTTAAAATTACAACACCTGCTCCCATAGCCACCCCTGTTAGGGAAGAAAAAAAAGACATAAATCTTCACAAATTACTCTGCAAAATTTAAAAGACATGAAACTTAAAGATTAGTGGATAATTTGAGAATACTTCTTAGAGCTGAGAAACTGGGTTTTAAAAATGAAGGAAAGAAGCGCATCAAATAAGGCACTTTACAAAGTTCTGAAAGAAAACACAGTGCTGCATCCTATAAGCCCAAGGTTAGCAGTTTTTCAAACAACTTGGTAACTAGCAGATAATATTCGGTTAACATTTTCATAGCGCTCAGAATAATTTGCATTGATTAATACAAAAACCTCAGCAATAGACACCTCTTTGTATATATTTGGTATTCCAGAAAAACAGAACGAAACACCAATACAAGTGGTTCATTTTACCGCTGAAGTGAGAAGGAAACTGCCAGGCCTCGTTAACTGAGGGACAGACGTTCCCGCAATTGCCATAGCAACTGTCTGGCTTATCATGCTCCCAGTCTCACTGTCATAGTCATCAGGGGCTACACAAATGGGTCTTCCTCGTTGATTGTGTGTTTCTAGAAGGGAAAAAAGGAAGAAAACTTTAGGTCAGCTTACTACACATGAACTCCTCACAGGTTAGAACACCCGAAGCCAAAAATCCATGTGTAATTTTTACTCTTCCCAAACTCAACCACTAATACTCTGCATTAACTAGCAGCCTTACTGACAGCATGAGACCGGGAGCAGCGAGAAGGAGGTGCCTTCAGACTGTGTTCTGCTTTCAGAGACAATTAGTGCCACAGCGCTTTAAATGTGCTCTTGACACTTAGCTCACCTGATAGCCATGGAATAGACAGCTCTACGGTGTTACAGTACTACAGTGTGAGCCAGAACTAATTCATGCTGTGTTTTAATGCTGCATCTTATATCTAATTGTGTGTCTCTTAACTGTGAGGGCCACCATGTAAAAATAGACTCTCTATTTTTAAAATGAACTCTAACTTTTCAAAATAGATTTAAACATATTGTGGTACAAAATAGTTTTAACTATTATCTATATTTTATCATTTATTAAATATCTGACCTTTTCTTTTTTATGACATTTCTAGACTATGTAGCTTGTTTGAGTTTTTTAAAATGGTAGCAATCTTGAATTTTTTTGCAGTTGAAATCCATGTTTTCCAGACTATCAATTTTTATCAAGATTAATTTCCTCACTATCATTTTTATCATCAAAATTAATTTCTTTTTAAGTTTTTAAACATTAACTTTTTTCTATTTCAGTACTTTTTAGTGAAAACCTAAACTGATTAGTTACACAGAAAGATCTAACAGCATAAACATTTCTGCCTTCAGACCAGAAACATTTCAGTGACCCTAATCCTGGGAGGTTACAATGCCAGTCTCTTACAGACAAAGAGTTATTACCTGATAATATCAGGAACCCAGGAAATGGTTTTTACTTCATTAAAATGGAAGTATTTTAAGCTGGTTGCTAGCTTAAATACTGTACAATCTAAACTGCCTATTTAAGTACCTTCCAAACAGTCAAAGGAAAGGAAACACTACAGGTTCTAGCTTTTAGTGAGCAGCACAGTCTCAACATACTAACCTGGAACAAACAAAATTCTTTATATGCAGGTGAATATTAATTTCCATTACTCATCTCTATGAATAAAGCTGGCAATAGAAGTCAAGTGCTATTCTCTCTTAACATGCATAATACACATGCATACAAGAAAGGTGTGTTTTCTAGAAGGCAGGTATGAACTGCTATAAACTCATGGTAATTTACACTAAAATGATCTCAGGGATCTCACAATGAATCTCGTCAAATACGCAAAGGTTTCTAACAACAAAGTTAAACATAGTTATTTACAGAGTATTTTTATGGGGGTGCATTTTAAAAATAATTTTTAAATTATTTCATTTTATTTTTTATACGTCTGGGTGTTTTGTCTGCGTGTGTGTATGTACACCTCACATGTGCCTGGTGCCCAAAGAGATCAGAAGAGGGTATCGGATCACCTAGAATTTATTGGTCTTGTAACAATAGTACCATGTGAGTACTGGGAATCAAACTGGAGCCCTCTGCAGGAACAGCCAGTGCTACAATCACTGAGCCTCTAACCCCTTTATATTTTTTTAACCTTAAAAGGCATTTTCTACAACTTTTAGACAAGCTTTGAAAATTGCTTTAATTATACTAAGTACCTGTAAAATCGTACAGCTGAGGTACAGTTTCCATGATGATACCAATGAGAGGAAGGTACAACATAGCCACCCGAGCCTTTATCTGAGGGTCAGAGTACCGTGGGTCAGAGTCATGACTGGAAAGTAAGTTGTGCACCATATTGATGACTTTCTTATGCAATCCAAACAGTCTATTTGAAAAGAAGAGATGAAGAAGCAACAATGAGGTCACAGAGATTACATGTCTTCAAAACAAATAGAAAGTAATGACACTCAATCAATCTTTTTAAATTACATAACTCTGCTAGCTATATTTTTATGTGTTTCTATAAAATACTAAGTTTAAATCAAATAAAATACACAAATTTCAAAACAGTATAAAGTAAATATTGTAGGAAAAGAAAGCATTTCATCAGTTTACTTAAGAGTAAAACCAAACCCTTTGACATAACTCCTTACTAGTGTTTCCAATTGATAACGAACATAAGAGCACACTTAGTACCAGTTTCAACCAAATGTAAGCATTATTATTGTGTGTACTGAAGTAGGGGTCGCACATGTGCCATGGTGCATGTGTAGAAGTCAGGGGACAACTTTATGGTGTCAGTTTCACCTTTTCATGGGTGCTGGGGCTTAACTACGGCTGTCGGCTTGCATGGCACACACTTTACCTGTTGAGCCTTCTCACTGGCTCGGTAGTCACAATTCCAAAGCAGGTTTCAAGTAGTTTTAACTTTTGCTTCAACAAATTAGATCTTTTCACATTCATCAATAATGTATTATTTCCTCTATCTTTATTTTGTATGTGTACCTAGCACTAGTATACGCATGACTCTTTGTGTGCATGTGTGAAGCCCAAGCGTACGTGCGTATGAGTTGTAGATGCATGGAGATTAGAGGTGGATATAAGATTATGTCTTCCTTAATTGTCCTCCAATTCATTTTTTTGAGGTAAAGTCAAGATTAGCTGGACAGCGAGTTGTAGAAAGTTTCCTATCCCCACCTTTCCTGAGCTAGAATTACAGATGCATGATTTGTCTGTGAGTGCTGGGAATCCACGCTCAGATCCTCATGAGTCAACGGCAACCCCTTTACTGAAGGAACGAGCCATCTCCCCTGCCTCCATTCTTTTTTTTCTTCCCTGAAAGAAAAACCCTCAATCTGACAGGCCATATGATCAAAACGCTTGGGTGTCTTTGGCTGTCTCTAGTTTTAACTGGACTTCTTCGCTCACAAACCTCATTTAAACCCTTCAGATTTCTCTAGACTCTAATCCCTGAACTTTCAAGTACTCTAACAAGGGTTCCTGTGCTCTTCCCACACACACCTGTCGTCTTCACAGACTCTGACTATCCACCCATTCTGATCAAAGCACATCCACTCCAGCTCCTACAGCCCATGAACGGGAGCAAGCAGCAGCTTCAGTGCCTGTCCTTGCAGGAGGACTCAACAGCATGTTCTTGTCTTAGCAAAGAAGAGCCATTCTGGATTTACTGGCCAGATCTTTTAAATATGCCCATCTCTTCTAAAACAGCCTTTTCCCTTTTCCTTTTGTCTTCTTCCTTTTTTTTTTTTTTTTAATTTATGTGTTTGCGTAAATGTGATGTGTAGAGGGTGGGCCTGCAGGTCAGCAGGAGGCATAGGATCCCCTGGAGGTAGAGTTACAGCGGCTGTGTGAGGTGGGATTCCCCTCTATATGCTGTAAGTTTTATTGCCATTGGTCAATGAGTAAAGCTGGTTTGGCCAAAGGCTTAGCCAAGTAAAGCCAGGCATGAAATACAAAGAGTCAGGAAGACGCCATGTAGCTGCTCAAGAAGCAAGAGGTAACGAACCATGAGCCTCATGGTAAAATACAAAATAACAGAAATGGGTTAATTTAAGATGTAAGAGCTAGCTAGAAATACGCCAGAGACATCAATCAAACAGTCTTGTAATTAATATAGTTTCTGTGTAATTACTCAGGTCTGGGCGGCCAGGAATGAAGGCGCAGTCTCCGCCTACAGTTGTGAACCATACAGCACAGGTGCTAAGAACTGCTTTTAACATGTGAGCCATCTCTCCAACCCCCAAACGGGCCTGTCCCTGTACTTGTAAAACACTCTCTTTTTCTTTTCTTTTCTTTTCTGTCTCAGAAAAAGTTGTATTTCTCCCAGAAAGTGCTCTCCCCGTGCAGTCAGTGAATCCCATCTCCCTTCAACACTTTCAATGACCATCCTGACCAAATTCTTCCCTTGTTTCAAGCAAGCTTTTCATATTTTGAAAGCACATCTTAATTTTTATTATAGGTTTACTTATAAAGTATACATTCAAATATTGTTCAAACCACACGGGTTCATAGACGTCTCTGTGTGACACGTTTCCCCTCCGTCACATCCTCCCGAAGAAGCCAATTCCAATGCTGAGTCTTTTTATTTCACTCATCTTTGACAGCTTTGGGGCTATCTTCCCAACAAGCTCCTCCCCCACTCCCTGTCTTCCTGCACGTGTCCCATTGCACTTAACGAGCATGAACAGTTGGGGGTTCCCAGGCTTGGTTTCTGAGCTTCTGCTGGTTACATTCTCATGCCCGGACAGGCACTCCTACCCTGTCAGCAGCTGTCATATCCAGACTCCAACCTGCCTAAACTGTTTTTATGAAGTCTTTTCATGTATTTTATTATTCAATCACATTAAAGTATTAAATGTATAATCATCCAATACTCAGTGCTGATGACTGACCCCAGAGTTTTGCGTAAGTCACACAAGCATGCTCCCTCTGAGCTGATGCCCCAGCTCCTACCCCGTTCATGCTGTTTGAATTAAGATGCATCAGCTCTTGCTTCCTGATTTCTTCTTCTAGTTCCTGCCCGACATCCCTTCATGGTGGATTGTGATCTGGACATATAAATTTCCAAGTTTCATCACAGAAATAGAAAACTAGAATGACAGCTCTTTAGAACACGAGAGGATCTGTGCCTCTATTAGACTGTTTCAAGGCCAGCTTTCCTGCTATAAAGGAAGTTCATAACAAGCACATCTTTGGCCAATTACAGAACATATTAGTGCTATTCAAGGAATGATTCTTAGTGCTTAGCAAACAGATGAAGTCAAAGGACAAACACTCGCCTTAAGGATCTGGGCCAATGTATCCTGCACAGAATCTCTGTCTACATCTGTAAGAATGTAACAAAAGCATAGGACAATCTTAGGGTCATTAAGCACTGTTCTGAAATTCAACTGCTGAATCCCAAAGGTAGAAATAAACTTGTCACATTCAAGCTAAAAGGTCAGAATGGTTTCCTTAGATGAGCTGAGCCTCTAGTTTCTGAGAGCATTAGCCAAGCCCTATGACTACAGCGCAGAGCAGGAAGCACAGGAGCTGGTCGGCTCTCCAGCTCGTCCTCTAATGGAGGGGCACCCGATAGACCTCAAGGAAGCAGTTTGCAGAGAGAAAACAGACTGTGCGGCAAACAATGACCGGGACAAGGACAACGTGGCTATAATTTAGTGGGCAGCGAGAATCTCCACAGGAACACCCTGTTTTGTGAGAAGGTCTGAGAAACTACAAGCAGGAAAAGGCTATATGAAGACCCTAGATAATTCAAGTACTGCTTTGGGCAAAGGAAAATCAAGCATCAAGACCCAAATGTATGAATGAACTTGTCACATTTAAGAAACAGACAATAGCAAGGCATGGCTTTGAGGACGATTATTAAAACTCTGGGATGTATTCTAAGTGGTATTTAACTTACAGGAAAAGAGACAGGATAACTTTAAGCTATGAACATAGTTGAACAAATGCTTTTGTAGTGTGATTGAACATCTTTCGGGTATATTCCCAAGAGTGGTATTGCTGGATCCTGAGGTAGGCTGATTCCCAATTTCCTGAGAAACCGTCACACTGGGTTCCAAAGTGGTTGCACAAGTTTGCATTCCCACCAGCAATGGATGAGTGTTCCCCTTACTCCACATCCTCTACAGCACAAGCTATCATTAGTGTTTTTGATTTTAGCCATTCTAACAGGTTTAAGATGGTATCTCAAAGATGTCTTGATTTGCATTTCCCTGATAGCTAAGGAAGTTAAACATGTCCTTAAGTATCTTTTGACCATTTGAAATTCTTCTGTTGAGAAACCTCGCACTGGACTGAGCTCCCAAGGTTCAGTTGAAGAGTGGAAGGAGGGAGAGTATGAGCAAGGAAGTCAAGACCATGAAGGGTTCACCCACTGAGACAATTTGCCTGAGCTAATGGAAGTTAACCAACTCCAACTGGACTGGGAGTGAACGAGCATGGGATCGAACTAGTCCCTATGAAAGTGACTGACAGTTGGGGCAGACTGAGGGGCCAATGACAATGGCACTGGGATTTATCACTGCTGCATGTACTGGCTTTTTGGTATCCTATTCTCCTTGGATGTATACCTTGCACAATCTTGATGTAGTGGGAAGGGCCCTGCACTTTCCACAAGGCAGGGTACTTTGCCCTCTCTCAAGATTGAAGGAAGAGGGGAAAGGTGTGTGAAAGGAGTGGGAAGGGAGTGGGAGGAGGGGAGGAAGTGGGAATTTGGATTGGCATTTTTTTTAAAGTAATAAAATTTAAAAATAAGCAAGTTCATGGCATAATCTTACCCCATTTTAAAAAGACCATTCAGGCTATTTGCTATTGCATCAAAATGATTTGAGAGACACAATAAGGAAACATAATTAGTTCCAGTAGAAGCAGGGCTGAAAAGATGGGGCTGAACTTGGGTTATGAGGGCACAGGGAAGAGAAGGAAGAGGAGGAAACAAACCAGAATAAAGTTAAGGCTAAGCTGATATGCTCTTCTACTATGTAGCGCACAGGCTACGAAGTCTGACTACACAAAGAAAGACGACAGTAAACACATCATTACTCATGGGACTCAACAGAAACCTTTCCAAGAGCCAAAGATCAATACATTCTAGCTTCAAGAAGAAAAGAGTCAGTAACTAGTTCCTTCATAAGCCAAATATTATTATATATAAACCCTGCTTTAATAGAATTGATTATTGACGTGGAAAGGAACATCATTGCAGGAATTGCCCATCCTTTATATGAGACATTACTGAAATCTAGACAGCATGCATTTTCCTGTCATCCATCCTAATTCAAAGAAAACTATGCTCCCCTGGGGTTCAGAAGAAACTGACTGTCCAGTTTCAGCACCAGAGTCTAGCTAGGTTAGCCCTGTCACGTCAAATGGCCAGCTGGCATGTTCCTTTGAATCTTCAAAGAGACAACCTTTAATTAGCTCACAGCTGTCCTACTAGAGGAAGGCTGACAATAATGAACACTGCCTAGTGACACAGCTGGTATAATATCCTCATCCTGTGTGTTGTGGCAAACAATCCATGTCTGCTATAAGGTCACATGCGAGCAGAAATGAGCAAATCCTTCAGCAACCTGTGCAACTTTGGGGATGGCATCCACCAGGATAACCAGCCGAGCCCCATCAGGTCACTAGAAAGATTTATACTTGTGTGTAAAAGGGAGTCATTCCCCCTTTCCTGACAGTCATAAACAAAGACAGTATTTAATCCTAACTCAGTGGGAACCATCCTGCAGGCAGAGTAGAGCTGAATATTCTTGCACCAGAAGCAAGATGAAATTAATGAGCTGAAGACTGAGTTACACAAGAAACCTCTTCCTGCCAAATATGAGTAAATTTATTTCCTTGAAAAAGCCAATATGAAGAAGAATTTTGTTTCTTACAACTGAAGCCATCCTGCCCAAATAAACACACCGGAAACATAACTCAAAGTCCTGAGTTGTTTAGGAAAGCTGGAAGGTTTGGAAAACTGTAGAGTATCTTCTCTCCTCAAAAATGGACAGCTTTATTACTGCCTTCAAATGACATTGTCCTCTTCTGTCAAATGTAAGCCAGGAAAGCGCTTGCAGACAGAATAGGCAGACATGGCGTCTCTCTTGGCCATGTGAACTCTTCTCTCTGGACAGAGTCTACGCAAACCCCTCTCCACATGCACCTACAGAAATGCACAGTTCTGGTGAAAACTAATTCTTTAAAATATATTCCATATGTAGGTTCTCATTATTTTAAAAATATAAATCTTTCATTCGCAGACAGTCTGGCCTTTTAAAATGTATTCAGAATCAACTATGTCCCTGACATAATAACTACAGACTTTGTCTTTCATTTTTCCTTTCTTCTCTTAAGCAGATTAAACATCCACTAAAAGCCTATTTAAGGTTGTATGATTTTGTTTCCTGGACTTCTTGTATGTTGTGTAACTGCAGGATAAACTTAAGATGATTGGACCATCAAAAAAAACTATTTTTTGACCCAAATGAACCATAATACAGTTTGGGTTTCTAAATAGCTTCTTTTAAAATTAGTTTATGTGCTTGTTTGACTGTGTATTGAATGAGCACATGAATGCAGGTGTCCTTAGAAGCTAGCAGAGGTGTCAGGTCTATCAGCAGAAATTTTTAAAAGAATAGGGTAAGTTTTAAGATAAAATACTACACAGTAGGATGGCAAATTATAAATTTTTCTTATAAGGGATTAAAGAAAAACTAACCTATTTTCCTTAACTGAAAACTGCCTATTGTTATTTTAACAAACAGTCCATATACTAACATACACAATTATTTCTTATACTATTAAAAAATGTTACTGATCAAACATAATATACCATTAGTGTAGATAAATCTCAAACTCAGAGATGATTAAAAAATATAAACACCATTCATATAAAAAATAAAGTATATAAACCATAGAGCATAAAGAAGCATAAAAAAATAAAGAGACGGAAATAGTACTAAAATCCTAGCAAGATCTGTCGCACTTTCCAAAATCAAACTGATATTCTACAAGGCAAAACAGGTCTACTCACCCTTCAGCATCAGGGTCTAAAATGAGCGCGAGCTCCGTTAACACGAGGCCCGCCAGGTAGTGCTGCTGGCGGAAGGGCAAGGACAGTTCAAACATATTTGCGATCTTCTGGTCCTGCACGTTTGTGGAGAATCCAGAACTCTGTTGGGGGTAAGGTAGAACTCAACTGTTGACAGCTGCGCAACAGACACTCTACAGTGGGGCATTGCAACATGAAACGTGACCTTATTATGCCAGGGAGCCCACAGAAGAGTGACTGCTCTTATTTTAGTATGGGAGAATATGGTGACAGTCTTTATCTCTATCACCAAACATCAAAGACTGACCTAGTCTGGAGAATTCTACTTGGGGATTGCAGACCTTAGGAAGAGGATTCATGGGTGCATAAGATGAAGGCTGACTTTAGGCAAAAAGTGCTCAGGAAAGTGGCTTGTTCAAGTCATAAATTTATTTGTTTTTAAATATGCGGTGGAATCTTGCTATGTTGGGCCTTGAACTCAGCCTACAGCCTCAGCATTCCAAACAATAAAACAATTTAATTACTAAAATTAATAAACTAAAAGTTTAATTTTGCTTTTCTCATTGAAATTCCCCATTTGCTTAATTTTTTATTCTTAACCATCTATTATTCCGGTAGCCTCTGAAGGGGAGAAATGGAGGTGAACACCAATGCTATAAATGCCCTCACCCTACCATAACCATGGCACTTGTTTTCTAGAGAAATCTCAAATATCACTTAAGCCATATTTCACATGTCTTCAGAATTATCATCATATAGTAGTTTCTTCACCAAATCTCCAGAAATTGTAGTGTTAAAAAGGTTTTATCATTCAATATTCATGGCTACCCATGTATATGTATGTGTGTGTATATCTGGTTGTGTACATGAAAGTGAACAAGTTAATTCAAGAAATTCTATGATTATTCATAGGTAAATGTCATGTAGTAAAAAAGTTTCAGGAAAGGTGCCTGTTGTGGAATAATCTTTTTGTACACTGTGATGATGTGTTACTCTGGCTTAATAAAAAGCTGAACAGCCAATAGCTAGGCAGGATTTCCAGGCACAGAGGAGAAGAAGGGCAGAGACACCAGGAGACGTAGACAGAGCAAGAAGCCTGGGCATTAAAAAGTAATGATAATCGAACCACTTAAAAGAATATAGATTTAAAAATATGGTTTAAGTTATAAGAGCTAGTTAGAAACAAGCCTAAGTTATTGGCTAAGCTTTCATAATTAAAAATAAGTCTCCGGGTTGTTTTTTTGTGAGCTGGCAGCCCCCTTCTTCCCCCTCAAAAATTCCGTCTACAGTTACCTATGACTGATTTGGCTCTGGCTATTTAGCCACATCTTTGGAAGAAGACAGAAGAAAATGCTAAAGGCTACATGTGTCCATTAGGGAGGCAGAAAGATGTGGGAAGTAGGTTGGTCCAGGAGATAAACTGAAAAGATGAAATTAAAAGTTGTAGCTGGCTCTCTAATATTTCCAGTTTATGTACGTGAGGTCTAATTTTTATTTATTTATTTTTACCAAACACGTCAGATCAACCCAGTCTAGGTAACTGCACCCAAGCATTCCAAACCACAGAAATAGGATTAGGGAATGTGTAAGATCAACTCTAACATCAGACATTAGGAAGTACTATAAAAACAGCTTTCCAACTCAGAAAGAATATAGCATGTATATTTTATTAGGGGGAAGGAAAAATATTGGCTTTCTTGACACTGCAACTATAAAATTTTAATCCTTTCATCTTCAAAGAAACTATTAGCTGTGAAAGTGAAGAGGTACCCACTTCAACTTTAAATGTCCATTAATTTTTTGTAAGCAGGTCAAGTTGAGCTTGGCAGGCTGGCTTCTTTTCCCTGCTTCAAGGCATTTATAAATATAATATATAAATACAATATAAATTTAAATAGCTATTTCAGAGAAATTAACCCAAACTTGTTTTCCATATTTGCTTCAAGAAAACTCAATTTAGGAAAACATCAAAATAAATGAGTTTATTTAGGTGAGCTCACATAACTGTAAACACATACATCATGCTTTAAAACCTGGGCTCTGGAATAAAGCTTTGGTTCAAAGTCTAGCCTGACCATTTCTTACTTGCAGTGTTTCTTGTTTGGAGCTATCCAATGTGCATAATAACAGAACAATCCCCCAGCACTGCTCTTGTAATTAGATGAGCTAATACTTATAAAGCACTCATGTGGTGGTTTGAATATAAAGGGTCCCCATAGACTCACAGGGAATGACACTATTAGGAGGTGTGTCCTTATTGGAGGATGTGTGTCACTAAGGGGTGGGACTCGAGTTCTGAGGTGCTAAAGCCAGGCCCAGTGTGGCATTCTCTTCCTGTTGCCTGTCAATCTAGATGTAGAAGTCTCTGCTCATTTCCTAACACCATGCCTGCCTGCCTGCTGGCTGCTATGCTTCCCACCATGATGATAATAGACAAAACCTCTGAATGTAAGCCAGTCCCAATTAAATGTTTTCCTTTATAAGGGCTGTCATGGTCATGGTGTCTCTTCATAGCAATAGAAAGTCTAAGACAGAGTTGGTACCAGAGTGGGATATTGTTGTAATAGGCGTGACCATGCTTTTGTTTGGAGGAATGCATGCAGACTCTGGGACTTTGAATGAGAAAAGCAGTTGAATGCTTTATCTGGAACTTAATGGGCCATCCTAGGAGGAGCATAGAAGACAGTGGTGCTGAGAGTGATGTGAACTTTGGGGGCCGGGCTCAAGAGGTTTCACAGGAGAAGAATAAATATTAGTACATGGTCTAGAGACTGGACTTGTGATATTCTGGTGAAGTCTGTGGCTGCTTTCTGCCTTTGTCCAAAAGATCTGCATGAGGCAGATTGAAAAGTTTTTGCATTAATGTGTTGGCAGAGGAAATCTCAAAACAGCCTAGCATTGTCTCTGTTTTATGGTTACTATGGTCACTCTTATGCAGATCTATAAAGAAAAGAAAAAAGCTGATCAAGGAAAAATAGGAAATGTACAGTTCAAGGGGAAAGGGGCTGTGCTCAGAGAGATAACAAGGGGAAAGGGGCTGTGCTCAGAGACAACAAGGGGAAAGGGGCTGTGCTCAGAGACAACAAGGGGAAAGGGGCTGTGCTCAGAGAGACAGGCAGATTAAAGAGAAGCCTGACGTTAACCGGAGTGAAGGAACTGGTGACCAGGGCAAGATCCCACCCAACTAAACTTCCAATTTAGAAAAAGGAGTTAAAGGAAAGCTTAGGGCCAGGAGTGGAGGAGTGTGCCTTTAATCCCAGCACTCCAGAGTCAAAGGCAAGGGGTTCTCTGAGTTTGAGGTCAGCCTGGTCAACACAGGGCATTTCGGGACAGCCAAGCTTAGGCAGCGAAGGAAACCAGTGAAAATAGAAAGTTGGTGAAAATGTTTTCAAGGAGGGGCCATGTTCCAGCCCGAGAAAGCAGCAGAATCTGGCAGTTTTCACCATGTGGTTCTGGCTTTAGAGTTAGGGATAGAAGAAAGTGGTTATGGAATCTTCCTCTGCAACTAAGGAAAGCAGCTGAGGCCAGGTATATGGCAGCAATATCCCTGCGTGGAGGCCAAAAAAAGGCCACTGTGTGAGGCTGTGAAGCTGATGTATGCATTGCTTTGGAGACCCCAAGATGCTGGAGATGCCAGAGCCATGGGATACCTGCTGAGGAGAGCTGCTAACAGGGAGTGAAACCAGTCCAAGAGAAAGAAGTGCGTTGCAGTCAACAAAACTGAAAAAAGTTGGAGATCTGAAGAGTGCTTTGTTATCAGACATGGAGATGTAGAATTTGAAGTTTGCCCATCTGGTTTTCAGTCTTCATTTGGTCTAGTATTTCCTCACTCTGCCCCCTCTCCTCCCTTCTGGAATGATAATGTATAACCTGTGCCACTGTATGTTATAAATACATCATCTGCTTTTTCATTTTGATTTTACAGAGGACTGCAGGGGATACACTGAAAGAGACTGCATGAGTCTCAGAAGAGATTTTGATATTTAGACTTTTAAATATTGTTGAGACTATAACCATAGACTATGGGAACTTTTGAAGTTTGGACTAAATGCATCTTGCATTATGATATGGCTATAAGCCTATGGGGGCCAGGGAATGGAATGTGATGGTTTGAATAAAAATGGTCCCCATAGGCTCACAGAGAGTGGAACCATTAGGAGGTGTGGCCTTGTTGGAGGACGTGTTTTACTAAGGGGTGGGCTTTGAGTTCTCAGGTGCTCAAATGAAGCCCAATGTGGCATTCTCTTCTGGCTGCCTGCCAATCTGGAATTCTCTGCTCATTCTCTTGCACCATGTCTGCCTGTGCAATGCCATATTTCCCACCTAGATGACAATGGACTAAACCTCTGAACTGTAAGCCAGTGCCAATTAAAAGCTTTCCTTTATAAGAGTTGCCATGGTCATGGTATCTCTTCACAACAATAGAAACCCTCACAAAGACAATCCAGAAATGAGCCTATTACCTAACTAATCATCAAATAACACATTATGATTTTTCCACCCATTGTTTTCAATCCTTTTTTGTAAGTATGAACATAGGTATGTCTTCACATTTAGCATACCTGAGATGTTGCAGAAGAAACAGAAGGTGACGGAGATGCAGGTGGGGTGAGCAAGCTGCAGGGTAAGTTTAATGTCACATAGTGCTCGTGGCTGCAGATAATTCGCAGGAAGTCCAACCTCAAGGACACCAGCACACTTGGATTTGGCAGTGAATAGAGCTTTGATGCCACCTTGGAAGGATTACATAAATAAGAGAACACAATGATACATTTTTTCCTCCCATAGCAATAGAAGTTTGGGACTTTGTGGCTCACAGGACAACATCCTCTTTCTGAAAATCATAGCAAACACTATCAACATGGAACTTGCGAGACCTACAGTACAAATCCACTTGACTAACCTTAAGTCACATTATCTTATTGCCAATATAGCATTAATATCTCCCCTTCTCAAAAATGTACTTTATGAAGGAAAAGCATACTTCAAAGAAAGATTTCTTTTAAACATTTATGTTTAATAAATTTATAATTGTCTATCTTTGCCAACTATATCACAGGCTACTTGGGGAGACATACTGTAAGCTGACTGAATAGCATCCTTTGAGTCAACCTCAATGTTTGACAAGTGCAGGAGGTCATTAAAACAGAATAAGGTTTTTTTGTTGTTGTTGTTGTCATTGTTTTTTTGAGACAGGGTTTCATTATGTAGCTTTGACTGTCCTGAAACCCACTACATAGACCACGCTGGCCTCAAACTCACAGAGACCTGTCTGCCTCTGCCTCCTGAGTGTTGGGACTAAAGGTGTGCATCATAATGTCTGGCTCAGAATAAATTTTGATAGTAATAAAATTTATATTTTGGGGGAAAAATAGTGTTTTGTAAATATCTCTGAGCCAGTGCCCATGCATAGGTAATTTCAATGACTATAAAAGAAAAGAAATAAAAATATCCAATTAAACAGGTCTTTAAAATTTTAAAGATTATATTCTCAAATAGAATTGTATGAAATTTTTGTTTTATGTGGATGAGTGTTTCGCCTGTTTTTATGGTTCTGTAGCATGTACATGCCTGGCACCCACAGAAATCAGATACCCCAGAATTGGATTTCAGACTGTTGTGAACTGCCATGTGGATGTTGAGAATTAAATCCAGGTCATCAAGGAGAACAGTGAGTGCTCTTAACCACTGAACTACCTCTCTAGCACCCTAGAATTATTGACCAACAGCTCTTCAAAACTAATCGATGGGCCAGTTAGGAAGGGTTTCATAAGTTAACTCCCAAATCCCATGGATTCAACTTCTCAATACTTCTGAGATAAAACTGACAATTTATTTTTTAAGGCTTCCTTCGTTAAAAATAACACTGGAGTCAATTCACTGTTTATAGAGGGGCCAATTTAGAGACAAAAATCAGTATTTCCCAAAAGGTATCACATTAATAATTAGCTAATAACATTTACAAAACGTAACTTGCTGCCTGTGGACAAGGTCTAGGGTGTTTGTAGTTTACAAATGGCAAGGTAATAAATTACATTTTGAATGTCAGTAACCATCTGATCATGAGTTCAAAGTCTACTGTTTAAACTTAAAGACCACTCAAAAGCAGGCACAATGGTTCACATTCTTAACCCTAGGATGTGAGAGGTAGACCAGAGTTCAAGGCCACCCTCAGCTACATGGTAAATTTGGAGATGTCCTGGGCTATATGATACCCTATCTCAAATAAACAAATAATACCCAGGATGGGAAAAGTTCAGTTAACTATGCACTCAACATAAACGCTGTACTTGCACAGCATTCAAAGGCTGCATTCTATCACTGATTATCTGACTATCTGTTAATGAGAAGGAAGAAAAACTGAGTGGGGTAAATTAGCTGTTCTGGGCTCTGCTTGCCATAGTCCTAGTAAAACACATTCAATATACTTTCACCACAGTATTATCAACACATAACTCTGTGCTACTTTTTCATTTTAATAACAAAATATGAATGTGTTCTTGAAGCTCCAGTCCTGGACAAAGCTACCCCAATATTTCAGTTACTTGATTACTAATTAAGTATTACCTGTTTGTAGCAGGACTTTATAAGACTAAAGACAAATCCTCTGTCCATAACAGACAACAAATCATTAAGAAAGAAGGCAAGGCTTGTATTCAGTCTCTCGACCATTTCTGTGTCCTAGGAAACAGAACATAAGCAATGACGATGATGACAGTGAAGAGAAGCGTGACAGTTCTCTCTCACCATAAGACGCATCAAAGGACGGCCGTCCTCACCTTCTGAAATCGTGTCACGACATCACCAGCGATTGTGCTAACTAGAGCGGCAATGTCATCCATGAAACGTTCTGGGAAGCGGGTTTTCCTTGGAGCGTCCAGCTTATCGTTAAAGTACAAGTGGTGCACCATGCTCTTTACCTGCAAAAGAGTGCACACTGTGGGGTTTGGCTTTATTTTATGCCAGCAATTTATAATACAACCCAGATCACCTTTGGGTTCTCAATCCTGTCTCAGCCTCTCAGCGATGAGATCACACCTGTGCTCTACCATCTGGCTGATTTCTTAGTTTTAAGCAAATCACAACGCTCTAAATATTCTGGTTATTTTTTAAATATACCATGTAATTTAACAAGTGACTGAAATATATTTTCATTTCTCAATGTTTTGAAAATGTTCCTTATTTTATGCCAATGAAATGTCAAACATAGTAAAACCTTCCCACTTCAGCCTCATAAATTATCCAACAAAAGAAAAAATAATCAGTGTATGTTAATGAGAAAAAATTCACAGTGTAAGGACAATTTTAATAAAAAGTTTAAAGACTCATTCACTTTTTTTCATTTCACTGTTCCTAAACCAGAAATTTTCAATGGTTAGAAACGCTGTCTTCACTGTACTATCATCAATATCTATTACATAAGATATTAGTTAATAAACCTGTGGGGGGGGTTTTCTATTTCAAATATAGGTAACAGTCAATGCTGAGAATGACTATTCTAAAAGCAACTTTTATTTCCTTCTCTTTTGTCCTCCTCTCTCCTTCTCCTTCCCTGTACTCAATTTCTTTTGCTGTGCTTTATTTCTTATTTATTAAATATTATTTTGTCAGAAGAAAATAGTCCCATGATCTATGCTTTCTAGTACTAAGGGAGAAAACAAATAGAAAGGTCCCTAGTGCCAGAATGCCTGGACATGAATTACAGTGCTGCTCCCTACACTGTGTATACTCAGAAAACTTACACAGCCTCTTGGAGCACAGTCACTGGCTAAGCACTCACTGCTTTGTTCAGTAACAGGCATGAGTGCATATAAGTATAGCCATGCTTTCTATGACAGGAATATTAATTGGTTTGTAGTATCATTTACTGAATTAAACAAAAAGTTTTTATAATTGGCTGTAACTAGTATTTCCCTATGTGTTGTTCACCTATAATAATAACAGTAAATATTTATAAAGCTCTAAAATAATTGTTACACAATCAATGGCATTGCCTTTATTAACTTGCACAGACTAGCAAAGAATGTCACAAATTCCCTTGATAAGTATCCAAGAAAAACAAGACAAAATCAAAACCAGAGAATAAATGAACCTCTTATAATTTCACCTATATTGTGCTGGTGTCCATATTGTATAGGGCAAACACAGAAATGCAATTTCTAAGATAAAAGGAAAATGAGCTGATACAAAATTCCTTACTGAGTTAGAAAGTATTAAAGTTTGCTCACCATCAACTCAAAAAAGAACCAGGCTTGCTGCAAAGCTGATTCCCGAACGCTGCCACTGCAAACAACCCACTGCAAAGCCAGCTCCTCGTGAAAAAGCTATCCAGAAGTAAATTCAAGGTTATTACCAAAGTGAAATCTGCTGGTGACGTAAACCAAGTGATAATGCATGTACAATGAGGCATCATGAGAATAAGCGGAAGAGGCACATGAATCTGGAGGATGCAGGGGAGACACCCATTAACGAAACGACTACTTATGTATGAAGACAGTGTGATGTGTTCAAAGCTGACAAATTACATGTTATCTTGGAGTAAAATGTAATTTTAAAAGAACAGGCAGGAAACAACTTCCTAAATTGCACTTGCAAACCAAAAACTAGACCAAAACCTCATAGCTACAAATTGCATTTTGTTTTTATTTTGAATACGTATTTGAACATATAATACACTCAACTTTGCTGGTACAATTTAGGAAATACCATTAAAAATTTAAACTTTTCTATGTGCTATTACGTTTCATGTGTTTAAGATGTATTTTTACAAAGCAAAAACCCTTAAATGGATATGCATACAAAGCACTTGCAAAGTAGCATAGGTCACTATGAGGACTAGCAGGGCTGTGCGAAGGGGCAAGCCAGCAGCGCTTACTAAGAGTGATAACTTTTCTAACTCATCTTCCTTTCCCTGGAGATTTAAAACAAAACAGAAGCAGTTACAGAAACAGAATTAAGAGTTGACACATTTTTCTGGTATTAAAATTTGATTATCTAATATGAATTACTAAATTCTAGTCAATTCTAGTCAAAGACAGAAACATCACCTTATGTAAACAAGTCCTCAATGACAGTGCTATGCCCCAAAAGGCACCAGACAAGCACTGCTTGTTCAAAGGTAACTTTAGACACACCAAAATTATTTTAATAACTCAAATTGGTTGTGCAAAGAAACTTTACATGTTTTCACCTGTTGGAATTACTTTCCCCCTCTATGAACTGTCTTCTTATGAATCTACCTTTTTAGTTGGTAAGCGTCCCGTTAATGTTTGTAAGAAACTTGACGTCTCTGTGTGCGAAGACATACGATTACAACTTCGATCCATAGCCTATGGAGTGGAGACGAATGGATGGCGAGATAACATTAACACCGCAGAGAAGACTTTGAAGTTCAAGGACTACGTTTCAACCATTTGTATTATTTCTGATTTCATTATGTTATTTTGAACTGCTTTAAAAGCAAGTATGAACATTACTTCTATGTTTTTAGTCTTTTAGATGAATTACCTTAATGATTTTAACACATAGAGTGCTGCAAAGGATGAAACTTATCTGTGTAACCTACACATGCACAGATCTAGTGAAAACATACAAGAAGAAAAAACATACTTCTCAACTGGTGTCTGAAAAAAAGAAATCAAGAATTTCGTACTTAATAAGGAAAATTAAACATAGAAAGTTTACTTTTTTCTATTAAAAATACCATTTAAGTTTATCATAAGTAATATCTAATATAAATCAGTTATAGTCTTAAACAGAAATTGGGTTTTTTTTTAGGAGTAAGAGAATTGTCATTCAAAACCAATACACAAGTAAGAAGTATATTTTCATAAATCATGCAGTCAGTTATCAAGCAACTAATCTTAAATTACATGTTATAATTGTAAAAAATTTCATACTTTGCAACACAGTACAAATTCAATGGAGTTTTCTTTCTAGCATTTATTTTGAAAACATGCATACTGTACACTTCAGATTTATTTATATTTAACTACCAGTCTTTCTACTTGGTGATTATGACAAAGAGATAAGGTCAAGCGTCACAGGAAACAATATATTTACTTTACAGCAAATGGAAAACTGTTGATTGTATTCTATGTAAAAATTTCCTACTAAGGATGTACAAGGCCTGAATAGATCCTATTATAAAACTATCAATGCATCATCAGCAGGCACAGAGACACTGATACGGTGTGTACAGAGTAAGCAGGAGAAGACAGAAAAGTATTATCGGTGCAACTGGTGGGATTCATGCATAGTGGTTGGGAAATGTGCTAAATAAAAATACACACTTATAATGATTAAAAAACAGCAAGCCACTGAAATCACAGCATGTACTAAAAGGTAATGTTCTAAAGGGAAACATCAGCAGCCAATAAAGAAACCTATAATGTAAACACCACCTGTGTTGATTCTGCACTTGGACTGGGGTTGGACCCCCATGGGGCAGCTTTTGGAGCAGTGTTAACCCAGGAATTGGAGCGGTCTAAACCCTAAGCACACAATGGAGAGCAGTTGGAAAGGAGAGAAATGTTACATGGTACATGCTATGAATTATTCCTAAAGAAATTCAGCCCTCCCAATGCAAAATGTTCTTTATTAGTACTGTTAAAGCAATCAAAAACCCTCAGGTACATAGAGAATATTAGTTCATTCACATTATCTTATCATATATAATTTTTTTTAAAAAAAAGAATATTAAGCATAGCATTTAAAGATCATTTCAATGTAAAGTGATTGCTCCAAAGTGAAAACCACAGAACACTTTATAGCATCACCCTCAAAATGCTTCTTAAATATGGTACAAATTCTCAGCTGAACTAAGACTGGGGATAGGGGTCACCACTCTTTGCTAAAAGACCTTAACTTCACTGCGTTCCTCACTAGCTTAAAGTTACTACGCAGCAAGAACCCTACCGTCATTTGCCCTTGCCTCTCTTTTCTTTTAGAGAATAGAAAACATTTAAAAAAATATTATGCAAATGAACAGCTAAATTTATTCCTTTCTACTCACAGTGAACTGGAGCTGTGCTCCTTTTAATTACTTTGTCATTAGACATAATAGTGTGCTATCCTATATAAGTATTATAAGGAAAACATGTATCTCTCTAAGAATTATATCTTCATCATCACTGGCATTAAATTTAAGTGTTAGTAACTACTAATAAATATACCAGAAGTGACATACTTTTTTTCTGAAAGAGATTACTGATTTCTGGTGAAGTTAGTTGAGGCTTGACTTCAACTTCCCAAGCCTAATAGACCATCAGACTCATGTAAAAATGCTTTATAAAACTCAGATTCTGTGCTCGACCTCTCAACTTCCTGACTTCAAACTCAACTAATGGCAGAGAACTGCTAAATGGAGTTGGAGCAAGTTCTAACAGATGTTTGCAGGATTTAAGGGCATAATTACAGATATAACCCAAAGCGATCTGATTAAAAATACTAAAGCAGAGAATATACTAGAACTAGAAACTACCAATGTTAAGACTGCTTGGGAAAAAAAAAATTATTGGCACAGTGGTAACCAGTTCTATTGAGACAGCAGGCTCCTTAGGAAGATTCCCAGCAGCAAAAGCAAATGTGCTGGTCCCACCATAAAACAGAATAGATGAAGGTAAGGCCTATTCAGAAGTACATTTTTTAACATCTAAGAGAAGTTTTAAAAAGGAAGCAAAAGAAAGGAAAAATAACCACTGCTTGGAGTTTTGACTTTAGGGGCAGTATTTTCTCTACTCTCTTTCCTTCCGACACACAGAGCAGCTGAAGAGATGAATGTGAGCGTGTGAATGAAATGGACCCCACAGGCTCGTGAGGAGCAGCTTATTGGGTGTGACTTAGGTGGAGGGAGGGTCTCGCTGGGGGTCGGTATTGTTGTTTCAGATGATCAAGTCAGGCCTAACGCCTCACTCTCTCTTCCTGTTGCCTGCTAATCAAGATGTAGAACTCTCAGCTACCTCTCCAAGACTATGCCTGCCTGAATGTCACCATGCTAAACCTCTGAAATATAAGCCAGTCCTAATTAAATGTTTTCCTTTATAAATGTTGCCAATGTCACGGTGTCTCTTTACAGCAATAAAAACCCTAACTAATTTTCCTTCATTTTTGACACTATCAAAGATGGGAGTTAAGGTTCATATACAGGCTGTCTTGCTTACTAATTTAAAAGTCTAAAACAAATGACTTTTTTTAAACTGTTTCTCATCCACAAAATAGAAATAACAAGTCTTCTCTTGTTTTAAGAAAAGTCAAAGTGTGATGTCCTAAAAATGACAAATACCAGAAGTCATTTATACAAAGATTTTCTAGAGACTGAAATTTTGTCTTTGGATTAGTTATTTTTTGATGAGTATAAGTATACTGTTTGCTCAAATATATGTACAACCTTGTTTAATAATTTCTTCTTAAAATCATTTTATGGTAATCTCAACATCAGGTTAAAATACCAGTTTGCTGCCAGTTATATTTCACATACAACACTGATGCTCTGACCAGTTACAATCAAAACATAATTAAAGACATGTAGTCAGTTAGTTTGTGAAGCAAATAACTTTCACATTTCAAGTGTTATAAAACTGAATTATATATAAAAATGTAACAATCCTTAAACAAATTCATTACAGAGAGATACTAATGTAACATCTTTCCAGGCCTCCAAGAAACAAGGAAAAGGTAAAAAGCACCCAGTTGCCTAAGGCTAGTACTATTTTTGGTCTTAGCTTGTAGGTGGACAACCCTTTGAAAGGTGAAGCGGAACTTGACGAGCTATTCTTGATGGGTACTCAGGCAGGAAGATAGGAATTCTGCAGGAAGCAGACAGTGAGAGCCTTGCTTGTGAGGTCTCGGGATAACATGAACTCTGTCAGGATTTGAGCTAGGAGGGGCATGCATGCATATTCTGGTCAAGAATGAGGTTCCATTTAGCCTATGTCCTGAGAACCTGAGCAAAGCTGAAGCTAAAGATAATGGACTAATTTTTCATGTGGCACCGGATATCTCACGCAGGAGCGATGAGATGGTGATAAGAAAGCAGTTGTGTGGCACTAGGACAATAGGAAAGACATCCTGACCCCTCAGAGGCTCCATCTTGTGGAAACAGAAAATCATTTAAAGAAAAAAGCTTAAGCTGGTGGGTTCCCTGATCATTGAAAGTAATTGTCTAGTAAAGTGTATCCCTGGGGTCAGCAAACTGAAGCTGAGTGTGTCCCAGGAACCCAGACTACATCTTGAAGTGACAGTATACCTTGGCAGCGCAAACCACCTGACCCTGCTTTTCAAAGCATAAAAGTTGCAAGACAGAGAAGATCATGGAAAGCAACTGATGGCAAACTATATACAACAGCGTTGGAGTCCATAGAGGAGGCCCTGAAAGGCCATTGTGCAAAGCTAAAAAGATAAAGCCTAAGTTTCAATGAAGACCTCAATTGGATATTGGAGATGCCAAAATCATGAATTAAGGAGAACGGTGAACATGGAGCTGACCTAGGAGAGAATCTAAGTGTTTCAAGGGCAGCAGATATGGAGGGGTGGAGTTACTCAAGCCTTTTGGAATCCAGCTGACTATATTACAAGCCATAGAAGCCAGACATGGGGCTGCAAGATTTGGTCGTTGCCCAGGTAGAGTCTGGTTTTGCTTTGGTGCTACTGTTTCTTGCTATATCCCTGTTCTTCCATTTGGGGAAGGGAGTCTTTATTTCATGTCATTATATATTGGAAGTATTTAACCTGTGTGTGTTTGTTTGCTTGCTTTGTTTTTAGTGAGAGATTTGGAATTTAAATGGTAGGAACTGTTCATCACTATCAGGATTTATAAAGATAGAATAAACACATTTTATATTATAACTTGGTCACAAGCCTCCAGTGCTAAGGGGTAGCTAGGTACAGCTTAAAAGTGATTTGTTGAGGGCCCAACTGACAATGGGCGAACTTGTGATGATTAATATTAGTTATTTACTTTACAGAATCTAGACTTGCGTGGGAGAAGGCCCTCTGGGCATACCTGTGGGGGAACTGTCTAGATTACACTAAATGGTATGCAAAGGCCTACATTAATTGTAAGCAGGACCATTCTCTGGGCATAAGATCCTAAATTATATAAAATGGAGAAGATGAGTTGAGACCAGCACGCAATCACCCCTCGACTTCTATATCAAAGGTACAAGCTGGCCAGCTCGCAAAATTCATGTCACTGTGATTCCCCTGACACAATGAACCACAACCTGGAAGTGTGAACTAAATAAAGTAAATGCTTCCTCCACCCAGGTGTTTTCTCACTGCAACAGGAAAAGACACTAAACACTGGCTATACAAGAATTAAACAAGAATCTTAGGCAGACCTCACTGGGAAGAGTCCTTCTAAGTAAAATCTTACATGATCTGAGAGAGCTGGCCATAGAAGGATGCAGCAATGATACAATCTAACTTAATTTCTGTGTACCTTAATTTTTAAAGCAACACTCTGAATGTTATGTTGTGAACAGAAGAAAGTAACAGAAGGTAAAGGAACATCTCAGGGCTACCACATGAACTCAGGGAGACCTGCTGACACCTCAAACTAAGATGGTGGTGATGATAAGAAATCTTATGAAAAGCCTTCAGTTCGACCTCCAGCACAGGAAAAACAGAAAATAAAGTGAACCAACAGAAAACAGCGAGGCTCTCCTTTAACGTATGTGCAATCTGAAAGAGGATTTAGAAAAACAGTTAAGTGGAATTCCTGAGAGGGATCTGAGGAATGATTTACCTAGCATTTATAAATGTCCTGAATAAAAAGAGACTTGCAAAATAAGGGATTATCAGAAAAGGAAGAACTCAGATAAGAATATGAAAAGATAGAAACAGTTAATAAAAAAAAACCACTAAGACTGAGAAGCCAAGTAAACTAAATGAAAGAAAAAGAAGCATTTGTGTCAAAGATACTGGCAGGACTAGAGATTTGACTCAGAGAAAGGCCCTGAATTGGGTTCCCAGCATCCAGACAGCTCAAAACTGCCTGTAATTCCACCCAGCTCTAGGAAATTTGATGTTCTTATCTGGCCTCCACAAATACCTGCATATACATGCAGACATCCATACACAGAAACATACACAAATACATAATTTAAAATAAAAAAAGAATTAAAGACACTGGCACATAAACCAAGTTTGGATGCATAACTACTGGCTTTAGCAAGGTGGAGACCATCTTACTGTAACAAGTGCAGTTTGGGGGAGAGACAGTAGGAAAGTTAATTGAAGACAGTAAAGGAACTGAAGACACAAAGTACACAAAGTAAAAGAAGCCAAGATACAAAGGATAAGGGGCTCTACTTTAAGAGACAGCAGAGATGGCATTACTGCACGTATCTTTAATCCAAACACTGGCTCCAGGAACACCTCCCCACCCCACTCCCTGCTAAAAAGGTGCCAGAAAACAGCGTAGAAAAAGGTAGTAGCAGAAGCACTACAGAGAATTTTGAAAGTGAGAAATAACACACCTGTCTGCAGATGAAAATGATTCAATACAGAGGAAACCACTGGTAAGGCAGGAAAAGAGATCAAAGAACTCCAAGACTGGGAATCCTGAGTAGGTGAGAAAAGGAGATGGACAGGAAAAATAAGAAGAAGCTGAGGACTGAGAACAAGGAGCTTCGCCTCCCCCAGAAGATTAAGCAGTAGGTAGTAGCAGGCAGACATGATGACCAGCATCCATGAGAGGAAAGTATTAGGCGGTTTGTGGCAATAAACTACGGAAGAAGGAACTAGTGAAAAGAGCACAAAATGACTAGCTGACAGCAGTAAGGAAATTTCAGATGAGGCTAGCTGCATGTGGTAGTTAGAAAGAAAATGGCGTCACAGGCTCATGTGACCATGCTGAAGTAAATGCCAGCCAGCCCCAATTAAACGCTTTCTTTTATAAAAGTTGCTGTGGTCATGGTGTCTTCACAGCAATAGAACTCTAACAAGGACACCAGCAATTTTCAAAACATGGAAGAGGCAGTCAGTTGGTTTTAATGATGGTTTCAAGTTTGAGAAGAAAACAGAATTGAGATTTGATTGTGAAAAGAATATATACTGGCTGGTCCTGACTAGTTAGGCTCACTGGTTAGGAGGAAGAAAGAATGGTAAGACACTCATCTCTCTCTCCTCCCAGAAAAAAACAAAGTAAGATTAATGATGAGAAGCTGAAAGGAAGGGGAAATCACTGCAGGTGGGACACTAGAAAGAAAACAGAAAATGGTCAGACAACAAAAAGCGTGAAACTGAAATCATGAAGACTAAGTTATTGGTACTGAAATACCTAAGGTAAGAAAGACCATGACAGAGATACAAGACAGTATCTCTAAAGAAGGGGTCACTGAATCACCTGGACAATTTAATAAGAACAAATAAAGACTAGGCATACACAAAAATTTAGACACTTCACATTTTATGAGATAAAAGTATGTTATTAACATTAGGGGAATATATGCAAGTAATTATAATTTTTCCACCAAAGAAAAAAATGTAAAAATACTTAAAATAAAATTTAATTAAATCTGGGTTGGCAGCACATACCTGTTATCACAACACTTGGGAGGCTGAAGCAAGAGGATCAGGAGTTCAAAGCCAGCCTTGGCCACATAATGAGAATGTCTCAAAAGAAAAAAAAAATTAATTAAGGCAAAATTAAGCTATTACAAGACAAATTTTTATGCTGTGATGACCTTTCTCTAAAAAAGAAATTAGTATACACACACACATATATGTATACTAATTTCATATAAATATGTATATATAGACTGTTACTACATTTCATTTAATGACCTGTAAAAGAGCAAACCCATTAATTAATATTGTTCCTTGCTCTAAATCTTGGAAATTATATAACAAATATATAAAGAGTAATTGTTATATGAGGCACAATGTAAGTCCTATAAAAATTAAAGATTTTTTAAGGTAGTATCTTGAGGGATATGGTTACTATAGCCTTTGGACAATAAACATCTGTAGTTCACAAATGGGTCTTAGTCTACTACAGAACTATACTTTGTAGTATGAGTGCTAAGTACTGCCCCTATTAAACAAGAAACAATTGAGGATAAAACAAGACTAAAAATCTTGAGTACTGGGGCTGGAGAGATGGCTCAGAGGTTAAGAGCATTGCCTGCTCTTCCAAAGGTCCTGAGTTCAATTCCCAGCAACCACATGGTGGCTCACAACCATCTGTAATGAGGTCTGGTGCCCCCTTCTGGTCTGCAGGCATACACACAGACAGAATATTGTATACATCATAAATAAATTAAAAAAAAACTTGAGTACTTTACTAAAATAAAACTCAGAGTTAACTTTGAGTTTTTTGTTTGTTTGTTCATTTTTAGGTTTGGTTTGATTTGGTTTGTGGAGACAGGGTTTCTCTGTGTAATAGTCCTGGCTGCCCTGGAACTTGCTTTGTAGATCAGGCTGGCCTCAAACTCAAAGAGATCCACCTGCCTCTGCCTCCTGAGTGCTGAGATTAAAAGCATGCACCACCACTACAAGGTCTATTTTTGTGTTTTATGCATATAAAGGTAATTTTTCTGATTATTTTTGTGTAATAATAATGGAGGCCCTGAATAAAGTACAGGTGGGTCTTCTATAACCGAGATGGCCTCTCTCTTGTCTAGCATAATTACTAACCATTGTTACATAATCACACTTCTCTAATTCTAGTGCAGTACACACAGGTTCATAGGAAATGCAGCTCTATTATCAACCAAGGCCAGAAACTATTCTGGATGCTTTTCTGAAGGAGGAACGCCCACTTGAACTCAATGACAGTGTTTCTTGAACACATCAGTCACACAGGTCCCTCCTCAGGTTATAGTGTAAAGATAAGAATTTTTCACATGATTAGATATGAAACAAGTTATAAGTGATGATTTATCCTAAGCAATTTTTAGAATTTGGCTGATTTTTTAAATGCACAATGTATAACCCAGTTTATAACAGAGAACATATTTAATAGAAATATGAAAAATATTTACTGATAGAATAGAATATAAACTTCTTGCTTATTTCTAACTCAAGTAAAACAGAAAACAATTCCTTGCTTATTCTGAACTCAAATACATCTTAAAATTAAGAATACATTAAATACTTGAATAACTGTTATAAACAGATAGCAATGTATACCTTACTGCCAATAATGGACCGAACTTCATCATCTGGTGATGTGGGAGTACCAGATATATCTGGATTACTGTTGCTAAGGCTTCGTGAACGATTTAAGTTAAGGCTTGCAGGTCTCACTGCAGACCTGGCCATTGTGGCATAATGCACTGATCCTCCCAAACCCCCAGGACCTAGAGATGTAAATAAGAAACACATAATTAATAAGAGAAAACCAGGAAAGGACCAAAAGAAATAATTGAACACTTTACAAAACCCCACAAAAACTATGCATTGCTTTGGTTTCTAAATAAAAATTAACACAGGTTGTCCTTTGGGAAAAAAATTGGAAATAAAAACACTCAAGAACCAGTGACAGCTATATGAAGCTCTACTTTGTAACAGCTGATACAAACCATATTAATTATATGTTAAGATCACTCTCTTAAATGTTTCTATATTATATGAACAATAAAAAATAAACTGAATAAGAAACACTGCTCTTACTCAAACACATTAGTGGCAGGACCCAAAAATGCAGAAGCTGACACCTTCTCTCCCCGTTTGCCTACACTTCCGGCTCTGCCCCTTGATATATGGTCATATATAGGGGCATCCAATTTATTACCAACATCACTTAAATGAAAGTATGTCTTTATTTATCTTCATAAGCAATTTGTTAAAAATAACCAAATGGCATCTTTGTTTTACAATCACATAAAACAAACAAACCTAAAGATAAATCTAAGAGTCTAGGTTATAAAAAAAAAAAGGCAAAGAATTCTTTTGTCGAAATAAAATTAAGCATTTTATCTTCTTTCAAACATGTTCCATAGGCCGGGTGGTGGTGGCGCATGCCTTTAATCCCAGCACTCGGGAGGCAGAGGCAGGCGGATCTCTGTGAGTTCAAGGCCAGCCTGGTCTACAAGAGCTAGTTCCAGGATAGGCACCAAAAACTACAGAGAAACCCTGTCTCAAAAAAAAAAAAAAATCGTTTGATGTTCCAAACAAACAAAAATACCCGGTAATTATATTCAATGATCTATATCTTTCTGTGTATGTGTACACACATGTGTATACTATAAAAGTGTTTGTGTATGTGTGTTTGTGTGTGCACGCATGCATACCTGCACGAGTGTGGAAGCCAGATATCAACCTGAGCTGTCTGCTTCACTTGCCCGTCCCCTTAGATTGTGGAGACAGGGTCTCTCAATCTGACATTCACAGATTCACAGATTCGTTTTCTTATGGAATTAGAAATGTACAGACCACGTGTGGCTTAACATGGGTTCTGAGCCCAAACTCAGGTCCTCAGGCTTGCATGACAAGCATTTTATGGAGAAAGCCATCTCCCCAGCTCCATTTGAAGAATATTTTTAAATGTCTTATTGAAAGTGACACAAATCTGACAGCTAACTAATGAGTATACTTTTGCTTAATTACTTTTTCTTAATCACGAACCAAACAAAAAGGCAGAAGCAGTAGCATTCTGGGTGTTCTATTCTGGGTAGAGCACTATGACTCTCAAGTTACATAGCTAAAATCAAGATAGTAAATTACAGGTCAGGATAAGAGACAAATGCTCACCTTTCAACACGAACAACAAAAATTCTAGGCTAAAGCTTAAACCAATACCATTGCCAATAGCTGAAAGGGAGCACGTACCATCATCACCAGGGATGAGTGATTGCTTAGACAGCAAACAGATAAGCAGTTTCAAAGGTTAAACAATAAACTAACAAACCAAATGGAAAATCCAAACTCAAACATCCCTCACAAACACCACTATCATCGACATCATATGAAAGACAAGTAACTAACTGGGTCTTTAATATTCAGAAAGCTTATGTTATTTTACTGGTCATGAAGAAATTGGAAAATTTTCTAGACAATCATTTTTATTTTAATATAGACCTTATAGGTAGGGCTAATAGAAAATTATTAGTCTACCATGTATCTCCCTAAATGTCCAAATATACACTAGAAATGACAAATAAAATATTCTATTAATTTTAAGAAGAAATAATAAAATGCTTTCAGAGATGGGTGAAGTGATTGTCAATGTTCATTTTCAATTATTAATTTAACCAAGCCCTCCAACTCAACCTAAAGCTGTATATATAATGATGCTTTAAAATAAAACATAACCATCAATGACCAACTCTGTGCGTGCTCCTTATCAGAGAGAAAATAAATGCTGTGAGCGTGTCAATCACGCCACAGACTACACAACTACCTCAGTCTTGGCATGAATACACCACGAAGGGCAGTAAGGGAATAAAATACCTGGTGATGGGGAGTTAGGATAAGTATTGGGCAGGCGGAACACATAATAGATGTACGATGCGAGAAGGTTGTTTCTCCCATGCTGGTCATGATTTCCTTCTAAGTTTTTGTGAAGTCGATTTATAATAGATGCCATAGCTTCAAAAGATGCTTGCCCTAGATTAACTTTTCAGAAAGAAGAAAATGTTTTAATGCTTTAATGTTTTTAAATTTGCAGTTGCACAAAAAGAAGGTTCTGTCCCTTTACAAATGCTGCAAGAAGAATAAGATACAGCAAGGGTGTAAAAATAATAGACAGATTTTGGTACTTTGTAACATTTGACAAGAATTCTTGAAAACAAAGGGAAAAATAACATATTTTATGAATTTAATGTGAAAACTGTATGGGTTAGATTAGTTAAAATTAAACACTGTTCGACAGATACACATTATCTTGATGTAATACATTTCACACAGAGAAATCTATCTCATATACAAACTTGAGAATTAACTTTTCATTTTAAAGATGACTCTGAAAATCTAAAGAGCATACAATAAGCATATATTACTTTTAAAGAAATTTAAAATAACAATGAAAATAAATCATTAAAACCAGTAATAGGAAAAGACGACAGTGGATAAGCAACTTGATTGAAATGACTGAACCTATAAAAGGATTAGAAGGGAAGGGCTAGAAAAACAGAAAGATGCAGAACACTTAAAATGATAAAGAACACACCTACTCCATCTCCATGTTGATACACCTCAAGAACATTTCAAAAACAGGGAATTCTGACAACATATTGGAGAACTAGGTAAACCAAGTAGACATCTGAATAAGGGTGTCAGTTCTGTGATTTACTTAAGCAGGACAGAAAATCATGGACAGATAAATGAAGCCAACTAAGTTTCCAGAAGGTGAAATCATCGAGTGAAATGGCTATTGATAAGATTAAAGAATATGTACTGAGCTAAAAGGACAGAGAGAATCTTGAAAGGGTTGAGCAGCCTCCTGTCTGCTGGTGAGCTTCTTTTCTTTTTTCCCTCATAGTGGCTGCTCCAAATCAGCAGAATCCTTTTCAAAACCAGCTCCAGGGTAAGAGAGATGACTTAAAAGTTAAGAGCTTTGACCACTCTTCCAAAGAACCAGACTCAATTTCCACCACCCACATGGTGGCTCACAACTATCTGTGACTACAGTTCCGGGGGACCTGAGTTCTCTTCTCGCCTCCCTTGGGTACCAGGCATACATGAGGCATACACACACACATTTGCTGTCTTTCTACTGTGTGTGCCAGGGTATCTGACCCATGAGCTTCCAATGAGTCCCATTTCTCCATCTCCCACTTCCCCATAGTAATTGTGCATTGCAGACACTCACAACACTTTCACAGTTGCTATATGTACACCCATTAAAACATATCCCCTGCCCCTACATAGTATGTCTTTAACGGTGAAATGTAGTCGTATTGCTTCCATAATTACAGCAAGATCTTTCAAAGGCTAATGTTTGCTATGGAATAATTTTCTGGTTTCAGAAAGTGTGGCAGGAAATTTCTACTATTATTCCATGTTTCCCATATCAGCTCTACCTTGTAGTACATTCCTTCCAAGTCTTCACATAACTTCCTAAGATCTTGTGTCTGTGCATGAATGTGGTTTCTTCTCCTTAAGCAGGACACAAGACACACTCCTATTCATCTCTGAGTGTCTGACTCAAGAACTCCCCCCACTTACAAGTGTCCCTAAAAGAACACATATTGTGAACAGACACCTCCTTAGCACCACCAGCTACCAAAACATTAATAAAAAAGCAGCTTGTATCTTTTGGGCTCAATTTCTTCCCCAGATTTTATTTGGAAAAGGGTGGATATGAGAAACAATTCTTTTTTTGGAGTACAAAAGAGAATAATAGAGTGATTCTGAGAAAACAGAATAGAGGAAAATGTAGAATGGATACACTGTAAGCTCTATAAAATGCAAAAGGATTGTCTATGGACCACTGTTTTTAACAATGAGAACTTAGTAGCAGAGACCAAGCTTTGGACAATGTCTATGAGTATCAGATTCATCATAAGTGCTTAATACATCTTTGGTGATTGACTATTAATTTAATTTGATAGTTTGATTAAAAGTCTATAAAAATATGTTATGCTTTTCTGGAACATACAAGTCAGCAGCACCTTCCCACCTCTTCCCACTGCAAACACAGCAAAAGAAATCATGTTTGTTTGTTTTTTTAAATTTAAGTTAGAAATGCAAAATTTTAATTTTGTAATTCATCCCAAGTAAACTTAATTACCTATTTGGCCAGCAATCACAGGAGGTCTAACAACTAAAAGTATTAGTTTATCAAGCAGAAGATGAAGAAACCGGACTACTGGTTCCAGCTGTGAGGAATTTAAGGCTGAAATGCTACTCTTCAGTTCATTTTCCAAGTTGTTTTCCATGATCCGCATATCCCCAATTCGGACTGGGAACATGTGTTCATCCAGAGCATTGACAAGAGCAAAGAATTTGTCAAGGTAAGGATCCTAAAACAAAGAACAAACACAGAACTAAACAATTCTAACCATGTTAATTACCAAACCCGCAAGAACTGGAGAACATCAATATCTCATATTAATTGGTAATGCAGAAAAGCACATAAAAGTATATATAAACAATTATTCCAATCTAATATATGCCTTCCTACTCATCATTCTAAAACAGCCATCTCAAATACCATTTGGTATTTAATTCCTAATTCTATCAGGAATTTAACACTCAATAAAAATACTCAAGGAATCTTTCAGAGTGATGGAGGATATGTCATTTTTGGTTTGAGTTAATTTTTGGAGTTCGATCCTCGTGGCAGATACCTAGTAACCTGCGTCTATAACTAACTTACTGTCTCTTAGCTCCTAGTCTACCTTCCTTGTTATATCATGCAAGACAGGAGCTAGATCCTTCCACCCATGCTTCTCCCTCATCAGCTGCAGTCTGTAGGGATGATGACACGTCAGACTAATCCTTATTCTTCTAGTGGAGGCTGGACTGCACGGACGTGCGCCACAGAAGGCTGAGCTCCATGCTCCTCCAGCAGTATCCTCTCCAGACTCCGTCAGTTGTCAGGAGCTTGCTTCGGACTTCTTGATTATTCTCCGTCTGCTATTTATCGTTATCATAAAATTCTTTTAACATTCATTTAATAGCAAATCATCTTTAATATTTTAGCAAGTCTGTATTTTAAGTATTCTCCATTCAAATTGCTGGTGAATTTGCTTCCTAACTGAACCTTTATGCTGCTATTCAGTGTCCCTCCTTTTCACTACTAACACAGTACAGAACCTGGAAAAAAGAATCTCTAAAGCCTTTCCACCTGAGATACCTGGTCTGTCAGAATTAAAATGAGCCAGCAACAGCTTTGCTACTTGGTTTTACCACGTACCAGAAATGAAGAGAAGGAAAAAAATCCCTAATTGTTCAAAATACATCAATGGCATTTAAAGGTTAGAGTATTCAGTGGTAGTTAATGAAAAAAATGTCTAAACCTACGTTTTTAACTAACATATATTCCTAAAGTCAGGAAAGACAACAGAGCTGACATAAATAACAGGTTCAATTCATTTAAGTGAAATTTGATTATTAAAAACAGTAAAGCTCACTTGTGTATGAATGGAAGAAACAGCAACAACTTCAACATTAAATACTCCCTTGTGGTTATCTACCCACTTCATACCAGGTAAAGGAACCTGCAAGAAACCAAGTACAACAATCACACACTTGCAAATGGATTATGAACTCATCAAGCTAAAGTCTAAACCTAAAGGACTAAAAATCCTGTGAAAATATCTACTTTGATTTATTCTTCGGGAATTCTATACATATATACAATGTATTTTGATTATATCTACCTCCTATTTCCTCCTTCCACCTTCCCCTGGGGCCCTTCAATACAAGTGTGTGTGTGTGTGTGTGTGTGTGTGTGTGTGTGTGTGTGTTGAATTTCTTTTGTTGCACACAGCTAAGATCCTGGGTAGAATTAACAAATCGAACATGAAGACTTTGAAAATTGGAATAAAGAACAGATAGGCTGGCAAACTTTGCATACAAGTACTAATAAAGCAAGTTTCTTGTTTCATTTGAGCCTTATATATCCAAGGTTGGGTCTGAAAGAAAGAGAAAAAGAGAGAACTCTACTCAATCAGCATTACTGTGAGGTGGTGGAACCTAGGTGACATGTCACTGTGGACATGCTCCAAATATCCCATGTTTCAGGATCCTCCCCAACTCTTCTGCTTCTGTCGCAAGTGAAGAACTCTGCTCTCCCATCCTTAGAATGCCATGATGTTCTGCCTTCCCATAACTTCAGAGCAGCACAGCCATGCAAACTACAAGTCATAGTAATAGTTACTTCTTTTATATCCTTTGTTTCAGCTATGTGCCACAATGATATAAAACTGACCCACTCTACCTTGGGAGTGGTACCCCAAGAAAATAATGCTTATGGGTTCATGGTGAGAAATACATGTATTTAAAGGAAAATAGTTAAGAAATTAAGAAGATGAAGAGTAATAAAGCTAGATTTAAACACATACACAAACACACACACACACATTTTAAGAGCTTTAACAATGATTACCAAGTAAATTAAATAAATAGTTTAGCATAAAAATTAGTTTCTTAGTACTGAAACATAGTTACATATAACTCACATTAAGATCTAATAAAACAGTAAAGTTTAAACTCATCAAATGGGCAAGGGCTTTTGCGCAATGGCGGTACACTTGTTTAGAATGTAAAAAGCCCTGGGAACAGGAGCGCAGACATGGAAAGCAACAATTAATAAATGGAACCTCCTGAAACTGAAAAGGTTCTGTAAAGCAAAGGACACGGTCAACAAGACAAAACAGCACCCTACAGAATGTGGAAAGATCTTCACCACCCCTACATTGGATAGAGGACTGATCTCCAAAATATACAAAGAACTCAAGAAACTTGACATCAAAAGAACAAACAATCCAATTTAAAAAAATAGGGTACAGATCTAAACAGAGAACTCTCAATAGACGAACCTCAAAGAGCTGAAAGATACCTAAGAAATCTCAACATCTTTAGCCATCAGAAAAATGCAAATCAAAACAACTCTGATATTCCATCTTATACCCCTCAGAATGGCCAAGATCAAAAACACTGAAGACAACTTATGCTGGAGAGTATGTAGGATAAGGGGAACACTCCTCCATTGCTGGTAGGAGTGCAAACTTGTACAGCTACTTCGGAAATCAGTATAGTGATATCCCAGAAAATTAGGAAACAATCTACCTCAAGACATAGCAATACCACTTTTGAGTATATACCCAAAGGAAGTTCAATTATACCATAAGGGCATGTGCTCAACTATGTTCATAGTAGCATTATTTGTAATAGCCAGATTCTGGAAACAACCTAGATGTCCCTCAACCAAAGAACGGATAAAGAAAACATGATACATTTGCACAATGGAGTACTACTCGGTGATAAAAAGAACAATAGCATCTTGAAAATTGCAGGCAAATGGATGGATCTAGAAAAAAAATACTGAGTGAGGTAATGTAGACCCAGAAAGACAAATATAATATGTACTCATTCACAAATGACATAAAGTAAAGAAAAACCAGCCTATAATCCACAATCCCAGAGAATTTAGAGAACAATGAGGACACTAAGAGAGACATATATGAATCTAAATGGGAAGGAGAAAAAGACAAAATCTCCTAAATAAACTGGGAGCATGGGGATAATGGGAGAGGGTAGAAGGGGAGGGGAAAGAAAGGGAGAGGAGCAGAGAAAAATGTATAACGTAATAAAAATAATAAAAAGGGGGAGGGGAAAGCCCTGGGTACCACACTCAGCATAGGAAGGTGGGAATGGAGGGGAACAAGCAGGCAGAGAGGCAGAGAGGCAGGTTGAATCTCAGGCCTGTGATCCGCATATCTGTACTAGCAAGGCTGAGGCAGAGGGGTCACAACATGATGAGGACAGCGTGGACTACATATCAAGATCCTGTCTACCCCCACCACAACCAAAGGAATACAGAGGCTTCTGATTCTATGTATAGAGACTCAAAGTGCATTCGACCTTAGCCAGGAAAAAGAGTTCAAGTAAAATCAAAAATATACAAAATTGCAGTAAACAATGATTAAGAGTTTTCCTTACTTCAGTCACTATAAGCACTGAAACTAACACTACATATGATTCTTAAGGTTTTTTTTTTTTGCAAAATTAGTATTCAAAGTATTAGGCATCATTATATTTTCAAGCAGAATTCGTTTTGGTTTTTCTCCACCTCCCTCCCTTGCATTGGCCCCTCAGCCAGCTCCTTTCCACTTCTGTATGTCTTCCTGTCCACTCCCTCACTCCCTCCTGCTCTCCTCACCAATTCTCTTTCCCCTCTGAGGCCTTAAGCTTTAACCTATATTTACTCCCATTGAAATGCACATATACATATATGTTCTTTCTAAACCATCTGTATATCAGAGAGAACACTTGGAGCTTATCCTTCTGAGTTTGGCTTATCTTAAGAAATATGCTTTCCAGAGTCTTTACATTAAGGATATTCCAAGATGGCCTAAAACTCCAGATCCTCCAGTCTCTGCCTCCTTCTGCAAATCCTACTGGCCTGTGCCACCAGAACAAGCACAGCTGTCGGGTGGTCAGGTGAGGGTGACCCAACCCTGATGTTATAAGCAAAAGCGAGCATTACTCGTGAGACATGTAAAGACAAATGCCTGAGACAGGAGGAGGAGCTGACCCTGGGGCCATATATAAGAGCAGGAAGGCTGTCCCTATCCCTTACCAGGTACAGCACTCAGGGAGAGTGGACCCTGAACCTAGCCTGGGTAAGACAATAGAGCTGTCCCTAATGGTACTGGTGTAGGAGAGCCAACCCTGAGGCCATGAAAGCAGAACACACACACCCACACACACCCCACCCTTCATTCATTGTTTCAAGAGGTAAATTAGCCCAGGCAAAACAGAGAGAATTGACTGGCACACCAATCCTACCGCTGCCCAGGCCCAGAATCAGGGTTATGACCTGGCCCGCCCCAACATCCACCCCATCTATGATCTGCTGGAGCACTTGAAGGGGCCCGACCAGCAGACCCAAAGCTGCAGGATCTCCACAATACAGAGTAACAATAGAAAATACAAGAAGAGGCCCAGTGAGGGCCCAGCATCAATAGTATAGTGGAAACCAGATGCCTTGGATCAGACTCCTTGCAATGAACACTTGCAAGTAAAGATATATGAACAAAGGGGTTGACTTGTGACCCACCGTACCACACTGCAGCCTCTGTGACAGAAATTTTTCATATTTCCCCTTTTTCTCTTAAATTTTGTTTTATTGGGGGGGTTTGCAGGGTGGAGGGAGAATGTGAAGGGGTGGAGGGAGAATGTGAAGGGGTGGGAAAATGAATGGGGATCAAGATACAAGATGTAAAAGACACAGAATAAGTAAAAAGAAAGTTTAAAAGGCAGGATCTATAGTTGTTTATTATCACACTTTTTTAAAAGTTTAGCATATCATGAATTCTAGCATACAAGGTAGTAGGTTTCACTATGGCACCTTCATACATATATTCCATTATAGAACTTTTATCCTTATTTTTTTAATTTTTTTATTTATTGTTATATGTATGGGTATCTCACTTGCATGCACATCTGTGCATCATATGTGCACAGTGCCCATGGAGGCCAGAAGAGCATCTGATCCCCTGGGACAACAGTTAACTGGCATGTGGGTGCTGAGAACCAATCCTGGGTCCTTTGGAAGAGAAGCCACCGCTCTTAACCACTGGTTAATCCAATGCTCCAATCCCAGAACTTTTATTCTTGATTCTCGGTTCAGGTATCAGTTACCCACACTATGCACTGTTAGCATGTTCTTATATGAACATATGTACCATAGCTCCTACAAGAAAACCATTGGCTGTCCTTCAGAAACTGATCATGCACATGCAAATTATCTAGTAAAAACAAATCTGTAACTTCCATCAAAATACACTTTCTTATAAAAAAAACTTCCTTTGAAATAGCTTTGTCTAAAACAATAGCAAAAACAAAAGAGTACAAGGTATTTACTCTTAGGAAAAAGGCCATGCTTCTGCATAGCAGAGCCATGTGTGTTTCCCATGCTGTGTTCATTTCAGAGATGCTCACCCACTGACTTAAGTACCAGTGCAAACACAGGAATCCTACCCTCATGAAAGCTATCCTGTACAGACAAGAAACAGATAAACATGAACAGTCAATGGCAAAAGTAAGAGGAGGAAAGAGATGAAGTAAGCACGGCAAGTGGCAGAGGCCTCGAGTAGAATAGTCTCTGCAGAGATCTCTGAGTGACTGATGAAATGAAAAGCAGGCAGGGGAGCACAGCCCTGCCAGTGCAGCGGAGTGCAAAGCCTGGGCTGGAGACTCACTCATCTTGCCTGTGGAAGCACCTCAGTTCTGTGTAATGCTGAGGGTAGAGTAAGTGAAAGAATGTGGTAAGAGATGAGGGCAGAGCAACAGCCTGGTGGGTTGTTTATACATGTCCATCTATTTAAAAGACTTCCTGTTACAGTCTATAAACAAATGCCATGAGGAGGAAACGGCGCAGCTCAGATTAATGTTCACAGCCGGCCAGTAAAGAGCACTGAGGGATTCACTAATCACCATGGAATGGTTACTTCAGGAGGCAGTGTGGTTTGTGAACAGAAGGTGTTGATTCTTCATAAGACTTTTCTGAGTGAGACAAGAAGCAGAGACAGGTAAAGTTGCACTATCTGCCCTTAGACAGACCACAGACCATATCATGTGAGCTGTTAGTCTTTGGTACAGAAGGAATGGGAAGTAGGTTCTGACAGTTGATTTTGCTCAAGATGATCCAACAAAGAAGAGTTCAATGAAAACAAGCTGGAGTAGACTGTCCACAGTGTGTCCTGGAGATCCCGGGCACTTCAGAAGGCACCGTGCAGGGCTAGCATATCAAGAAGACCTACAAGTAGCTTCTCTTTAAGCTCACACTACATTTAGAGAGCAAAGGACTTGAAAGAACAGACTGTATGGATTAAAACAGATTTAAGATGTTTCAGGGACTTTGGGTGGCAGGGAATGTGACACAGGAGAAAAGCTGTAGAAAATAAAGAGCAAGGACAGAACTTAGTAGGACTGTGCTTAACTATGCATTTGACAAGATCGTCTATGGCCCGGTGACATTATGAAATAGAAAATGCCAGTGGAAAGGAAGTCTAGAAAGAACTCACACTGGTTATTCTAGATCCAAAACACCAGCTTTGAGACTAAATATATGAATAAATAACTGCAACCTAGCAGGCGGTGGTGGCGCATGCCTTTAATCCCAGCACTCAGGAGACAGAAGCAAGGGAATCTCTGAGTTCAAGGCCGGCCTGGTCTATAGTGTAAGTTCTATGCCAGTCAGGGCTACTACACAGAGAAACTTTGTCTGGGGTAGGAGGGATGAAGAGTAAGAAAAAGAAAACAAAAAGTACTGCAATCTGTTTAAAGTGTCATTATTACAGGACACAAAACATAAAAATGAGAAGGCTTCTTTTTATACACTATGTGAACAATTTAGATCTCACACTGGTTTATACAAGTTCAACAAAGATATAAGCATTGCTGTGTATATTCCTGGAAAGTGAGACAACAGATTTTCTCTTTTGCAATAGCAACTATAACATGTGAAAATAAAACACTTCATTTTAATATAATTACATTAAAAACATAGAAGAATTTCAAGTGTTAGTTATCACTTAAATAATCAAATGATTTAATATTTGTTTTTAAAGATTTTATTTGTATTTTTATTTATGTACATGTATCTGCTTGTCTGTCTACAAGTTTATATGTGCAAGCATGAGTAGGTGTGGTCAGGGTCCAGAAGAGGATGTTGGGTCCCATAGAGTTGGAGCTACAGGCAGTTGCAAGCCTCCTGGTTTGTGTGTTGAGAATATGGGTTCTCTGCAAGAGCAGCAAGTGCTCTGACTGCTGAGCCATCAGCCAGCCTCTACATTATTTGTACATTTATGATTTTTCCCTCAAAATCATTGAAAAGATGAAACATTATATATCTGTAATGATACAGATTATAACATTTTTTTCAAAATATTTTAACAGGTAACTTTTCTTAGCCACTAATTTAACTATGTATTTCAAAAATTATCAGTTAAGCCAGTAAGATGGCACAGTGGGGTGAAGGTTCTTGTTGAAGCCTGATAACATGAGTTTGAGCCTTGGATTTTACAAGGTGGAAGAAAAAAACTGACTCTAGAAAGTTGTCCTCTGACCTCCACATATGTGTGGTGAAATTCACATGTGCATATGTGTGAGCTCATAATATAATAAATAAATAAATGTTAATTTTTCTGAATTATCAAGGCTGGGAAGATGGCTCAGTTGGTGAAATGTTTGTCAGGCAAGTGTGAGGACCCGAGTTCTCTACTCCACTACCCACACACGCACTCAGGCACAGCAACCCCTACTCATTCCAGTATGAGGGGAGGGTGGGTAGCAAGAGGATATCGGAGGCTTACGTGCTAATCAAATCAGATAAACTGGGGACCTCCAGGTTCAATAAAAGGCCCTGCTCAAAAACAAATTTTAAAAAAAATTAACAAATGATTGAGGAAGACACCAATGTTTACTTCTGGTCTAGCTATGTACAAATACATATACATACAAATATACCACACATATAAGCACTATGCAGCCTGGGCTAGCTTCAAACCTGTGTCAATCCTCCGGTCTCAGTCACTTAAGAGTTAGCTTGCAACCACAACTAGCTAAAAGTGTCAAAGTTTTAGAAAGAAAAATTCCTAATTATCAAGGAAAACACCATTACTTCATTACATACATTCACATAGAAAAAACAGAAAAAGTTTTGTTTGGGAAACATTGTTATGTTTGTTTGGTTCTTTTATCTTTTTTCTTTCAGTCTGGAGATCTGAACAAGCAGAGATGCACTGACCTCAGGAGAGAGCACTGAATAAGCCTGGGGTGGTTTCTCCAATGACACGGGTAGGCAGAACTGCCCAGTCTTCAGCCGTCCATTCTGCAGCATTGGTATCCACTTTAAACGAAAGAGACACTGTCTGTTACAGAAATCACAGTGTGGACAGTCTGCTTTAAGAATGCGACACAACCCAAATTTTTCACATATCAACAATGGGCCTTCAGCATTCCATTTCCCTGATGGTATTTAATTAATGAAGATTCCCAAACTATGACTATTTTAACATGAAATATTTAGTATGGGGCCTTATTATTCAAGGAAGAGCCAGTTCTAGAAAAGGCTACAAAATAAATCAATTTAAAAACAGTAGTTGTAAGGTAAATAGAAAAACCCATGAATGCTAGGGGGAAAGTAAGAACATAATTTATTGGGGCTGTAGAGACGGCTCAGCGGTTAAGAGCATTGCCTGCTCTTCCAAAGGTCTTGAGTTCAATTCCTAGCAACCACATGGTGGCTTACAACCATTTGTAATGAGGTCTGGTGCCCTCTTTGGGTCAGCAGACAGAATATTGTATACATAATAAGTAAGTAAATATTTAAAAAAAAAAAGAAAGGACATTTTGAAAAAAAATATAATTTATTTCCTTACAGTGACCATAATTCTTGTCTCAAACATAGGAGACAAAATTACTGAATCAACTATAAATTCCATTTTTTGAGCTGGATAAACTACATAATAAAATTGTGTGATGACACCTCATGCCGGCTTTCACTGTGCTTTAACTTTGGCAATTTGACCATAATTTAAAAAAAAAAATGTCCAAAGGCTTTAATTTCTTGTCTATGGGTTTCTTTTATTTGCCTTCATTCAAATCATTCTATTAAATCTATTATGTTTACACTGCATTGTTAGGAAAACACTCCTACTCAGAAAATCATCACGTAAACCTTAATGAAGTTAACTAGCTAGACACCGGTGAGCATCTGTTATGAGGACGCTTCCTTGCAAGTGTGAGTTTAGGCATTACAGATAATCAAACAGGCAGTACTCAAACAACAGAAAACATTCACTGAATACTAAATTTATAAATGTTTTATTATGCATAAGATTCCTTACTATAAACATTAACAGGAAGACTTACTGTGTATCCGACTGGGGTCTCAAGAGGCGTGTTCTGTTTCTGCTGACAGCTAACATGATAAAAGGTAAAGAGCAAGTGGTGGTGGTCGGTTAGAGTGGCAGGGAGTTTAACCTTGACTTCTTCATGGAAATCAGGAGACCTTCATACAAGAAATCAAAGAAAAAACAAAAAATCAATAGTCAGTAATTTGTTCAAATGAATAACTATTACATTTGCTTATCTGAATGATCTTAAGATTAACTTTTAGGTTCATGCACTATTTTTCTTCTACTCCAGATTATTTTTTTATTGTTCCCAATTTCTAAATGATTAACTTCTTCTTCCAGATGAAGGAGCTAACACTGTTTCTGAAGTTGTTCATCATATTTTTATTAATGAGCTAAGGCACTCTACTATTAGAAAATTCATTAATGATCACTGCCTAGGTGCTACGATCTTCTCATGCTTGTGCTGTACTACATTTATGACCCAAATCTGGCGCACACTGCATAGAAAAGTCAAAGGAGTATTGCAGGTACACACTTTCAAGCCATATCACAGGAAAACACCTCCCTTTTGTGGGAGTACAATCACCCTTTGGAAGGGGGTATCTTTAAAGATACCTTAACACTAAAGTTAGGCTCTCTGTGGAATGTTTTCTCTCAAGTGTTCCATCGTTAAAGGAGTAAATGTTAGCAAACAGACTACTGCTGACACAAGAAAACAAAGTCACAATCAGAGAAAGTCCACAAATTGTACTTATCCAAAAGCATAAGAGTGCCCCTAATCGTTACACTAATACAGAGGATGCCATGCTTGATGGTCCTGATGCTTCATCTCAACAGGAAGGGTGTGGTCTCAAGGGGCACTTTAATAGACTCATAGTTGTTTTTTCATAAAACAAATAAAAAGCAAGGAACTCAGTGCAGGTATCTCAATTCTCCATTCTCGGCATCTTTCTGAATTATACCAATGGAAATACAGCTAAGTCACATGGTTCCAAACACCTTTAAAATGAAGGTTGTCCTTCCTGCCAGGTAAGTTTCTGCCTCAGATGTCAATCAGTCAATTTTCTTCCTGTCCAAATAAAACTCAAAACTACATTAACAGGTGTGGATTTGATCACAGATATATTAAGTGGAACAAGGACTTAATTAATGATAACAAGAAAGAGCTAATGCTAGCTGAAAATCTGATGACTGGCTGAACATTTTAAAAGGTGTGTATCTTATTACTAAGTTCACCATCAATGAAATATAAAAACTTAATTTATAAACAATGTCAGACGATATTGTCATTTTAATTCCACTAATACTTAATAATAATAATAATGACCCAACCAAACCGAGAAACTTTCAGAAATGGTTACTTTTATAGAAATATATCTCCTGGTATATGGTGTTTGGGTTAATTTCTTTGAGAAATCACATTATGTAGGAATTACTGATGGTTTCTCATATTTATGCTACATGGTTTTTTTGTGGTTGTTTTAAATATAAGTAAGACAACAATACCCTTAAAGTTGTATAACTTAGTAGGAATATGAATGGACACAGATGTCAAAAGGTACACTGTAAAACAAGGGTTGGCAAATAGTAACAGGCCAAGCCCAGTCCATTACCTGTTCTAGAGAGACTGAAGATAATGAATGGGCTTCATATTTTTAAATGGTTTTCAAGAATCAAAATAATAACAATAATCATTTATTTCTTAATATGAAATTCAAATTTAAGTGTTCATAATAAAGTTTTATTAGAACACAAACACACCATGTTACTGTAACAGTACTTACTGACTATGGTGCTTTTGTCCTATAGTGGCAGAATTCATTGGCTGCAAGAGATATGGTATGTGGCCATAGGCTTGGAACATATACTGCCTAGTTCTTTGGAGAAAATGTTTGCTAACTCTTGATGTAAAGTACATAAGGTTAACACTTCAAGAACAAAGTTAAACAAATTATTTCAAGTTTGAGATCAGAATAAGATATTTGATATAGGCCTAAAAAAGTATATAGAGTTTAGTAAACACAGTTCTAAGAAAGGTCCAGAAACAGATGGCACAAAAGACAGAAAGAAGAGTTTTAAGACTTAAAAGCTTGATTAGCCATCAGATAACAGAAGTAAAAGATAAAAGACGTCCAATTCTGAACCAGAGAAATAGTGGTATCCTCATTGAAAATAAGAGTCATGAAGACAAACATGGAAACCAAGAAGGGAGGACACAAAATCTTGTCCATCAATGGAAAGATGTTTGAGTACAAATGGTCAGGACTAGAAAGGATTTGGAAGCGTTCTGTATAAATGTTCAAGCAGAAGTGCTGTCACTGAATGTAGCAGAGAGACACACATAGGATCACTCAAGGGGAGTCTAGAGAGACTAAGAACTATGAGCGAAGTTTTAGTATTTTGTGGGAACTGCCTATACTTTAAAAAATCATTATAGATAGAAAAATCTCAAGAAGCAGACAGAAACTGAAATGTGTACCAGAGAAGAGAAGGAAGGAAGGAGACCACGAAAGCACACAAAGCCCCAAGGACAGACAGCGTTTGCTATGCGTGAAGATGAGATTCACTCTGGGTATAGATGGAGCCAGGAAACAACTGTGATGGGCAAGGCAGGAGCTGGCCATACCTGGAAGAAGTGGAACAAGTAGGGGCAGACGTGAGTGAGTCACACTGAGCAGGGCAGGACCACTGCTGTGACTGACAGAGAAAGAAAGGCAAACAAGTGTGGAGGGAATCTAAGGCAGTGAGCAGAGCAGTTATGTTGGACATAAATGTCAAAAATATACCTCAAGTTTTACATCCATAATCAGTAAGCTAGAAATGCAGAAGAAAGACAAACTGCAGGAAACCCCTGCAGCTGTTTCATGAGAGAAAAAGTACAAAGTAAAACCAGACCAAAACGATCACAAGAAGACTGTAAAAGAGAGGCTACCAGAAGATAAACAAATGATTGTAGCCCCAACATGAAATACAATAGCACAGCTCTGCAACAGCCAACCCAGCAGGACAATTTCGTCATTTCCTTCTTTAACCACCACCTCTCCCACCCACCCCACACACACACATAAAAAAGAAAATAAAAGTTCTCCAAGGTTAGCAATTCCCTATAGAAGTAAAACTAGAGAGCCCCTAAACCAAAGGACGGTGGCATGTTGGACCCATCACTACTTCAATGGGCTTGAACACGGTAGAGCTCAACAAAATGAAAGTGTCTAGGAAAAACAATAATCAAAGATCAAAGGATCAGAGGCCATAATGTTAATCAATAACCATACAGGAAGAAATAGAATTTTTTTAAAAAGATGCTTTTATTTTTTTATAAAGCATTACATTTGAGACTTCTGCAAAGAAGAACTGTGAATCTACAGACAGAAAATTGTCATTGTGATGTCAGCTGTGAATTTGGCACATTCAGTGCAGCAAAGCATTTGGTAAACATAGTAATGTGAGTGCTAACAATGCCACTAAGAAGTGAGTAACTTTGAAAGAAATATTGTAATTCAGTACCTGTTATGATATACTACGGCTGTATAGGCTTCCTTTGAAAACTCTGAACAGCTAGATTTACCAAAGATTACCTGTAACAAATAACAGCATGTTGAAACTTGGTTGTAATAAATGCTGGATGTTTCATATCTATGTAAGAATTTGTATGCTTTAATAACTACTTGAGAAAATGGGCTAAATTGGCCCAGTGAAGAACAATGTGCCTACTTAACGATCTTTAAAAGCTTAACTGCTCAGCTACAGATTTTTCAGTGATAGACCCATCTGACATTCAACCATTCAGAAAGCTTCTATAATTACATCTCTATCCACTGAGTAATAAGATACATTTTTCTCCTCTTCCTCTCCCCACTTTTTTGAGACAGGGCTTCGGTAACCCCACATGTAGTTGAGGATGGCTTTGACTCTAGTGCTGAGATTTTCGGCATGTGCCACCACACCTAGTTTTATGCACCTCGGCTTCATGCATGCTAGGCAAGGTTTCTAGCAACTGAACCACAGCATCAGCCCTCTTTCCTTTTTCTTAAAAAATCTAAATATTCTGGGTATATCATTTTGAATTTATAATAAGAAAATTACTAAAGCATGCTGGTATAAATATACTTTACAGAGTGGTGGTAAAACATGAGAGCCATTCTCAAGGTCAAATACCGGTTGTTTATAAATGCTATAAAAGACTTTTAGGTCATGCTGCGTATCTTTTACATCCTGGACAGCCTGCAAGGTACTTCATAATGGACGTGCTTCATTTTGGACTTGGGTATTGTATTATCTTTAAAATTCACCACATTAAAAAAATGTAGGGTGCATACACAGAAATCTTAGTGGTAAAGCTACTGAGCCAGGAACACAGGTTAATTGAAGACTGCTGTCAATGTCACTAGTCTGACTACTATTAACAGTACAGTCAAGAAGCGGACAGACTGAGCGCTGTAAATCTGGCAGCTATCTTTACACATGCAGGTCAGCACATGTCTATCACAAACTGAACCAACTCAGTTTATCCCTCTGTAAGGGAGCTAATCAGTGTTTGTTTCTTTTTCTGACATTTTAAGCCGGTGCTTCTATTTTAAAGGAACAACAAGTACAGAAATATTTACTCCTTTTGATAATGTTCCAATTCCTTAGTATGTTTCTTTTTATTTTATTCTTACTTTAATTTGAGATGGGATCCTACTATGTAGCCCAGGTTGGACTTGAATTTGAAATGTAGCTCAAGCTGATTTTAAACTCTTGATTTTCCCTTATCAGATTTCCCAAGTACTGGGATTAAAGACAAGCACCACCAAACCTAGTTACCTTAACATACTTTTATAGAATTTTATTTTAGTGCCATAATTACAAACTTTTACAGTTTTGTCATACTAACAATAATATAATCAAATATTTATATGAAGATTCCCTGAATAGTCATATTTCAAAAACATAAACATATGCATTATGGCTATACATATACATATATTTTCATAGCATCCATTTACACTAACATAAAAAATATATTTGTATATAAATAATAATGTACAGATGAAAGGAACACAGCACCTATTTCCTTTAGAAGCTATCTCTTTTCACAAAGCAAAATATTTATCTATGCAACAAGAATAAAACAAGGTAGAGTATGTTCCATTGTGATCACTGGCATGTATTTTAGTCCCTGAGCATCACAGGTTGAGCAATAATTAAGAGGCAAGCACTATGATAAGCATCAAGATGCAGATATAAATAAGACGAGGTCCCTGCCCTCAAGGAGCTCACAATCTAATGCATACAATGAATAACCATGCAACCATACTATGAAAGAAAATGCTGTAACATCAGAGAGGGAGGGATCTAACTGCCAGTACAGGTGGGATGTACCCATTGCTATGTGGAAGAAGCCAGAAATATGTTAAGACATAGGATACTAATAAGTAAACAATGCAACATTCATTGACATATACAACATCTTTCATAAAGCTCAAACACACAATTCATGGAGTATCTGCTTTTACATTATGTTACCTAAATTAAAACAAAATATTCATTTAGCAGAAATAAGGATCTAATAAAGGATATGTTAATTTCAAGCCTTAGAAATAAATTCCATACCTATTCAACAAATATTTATTCAACTCAACATGTTATATGTAACAATCTAAAAGAACTGGCACAAGAGAATACAAAGATGAATAATTTGTGTTCACTGATGACAAGGAGATACTACAAGTGGATACAACTGAGGCAGCAGGAAAGAAGAAAACTCTAAAGAACTTAATTAAAAGACAGATTTGGAAGGATAACATAAGGCCCATGAACAATGCACCCATGCTCAGCTAAGCATTCTCATTACACTAACACTGTCTGAGGCTAAATCTGCCATAGCATATGCCCATTCTGTTTCCAACTTCAATTGCCCCAAATTCATCAGCAATGGCAAATTTTGGTAGTCCAGAATCACTGCAGGCTAGCCACAAAATACTCCTAACTCGTCTACATCTCCCCTGACTCCCGGCTGGCTTCACTGTACTCATCATTCTCAGGGAGTCCCGGACCTTCCTCGCTCCAGTACCCTGATGCACTGCCATTCCCATTTCTCTCTAGGACCAGACCCTCTTCATAAGCTGCTCGCTTGTCATCTGTTAGTCATCCTCTCCCACCTTTTCATCTGACTCTATATGGCTTCCAATAACACATCAGAATTCTCAACATTTGGTAAAAATCTTAATCACTTGATGAGAATTTTTTAAATTGCTACTTAGTTTAAAAGTCACAGAGGTGAGTTAATGACAGTGAGATTCAGCCTGGGCAGTGGGAGTTTTACCTATTTCCTAGATGGATCTAATGTGTACCCAAGATGGTCAGTTTTCTTGACAAAGTTGGAAAGAGTCACATATATTATTCTCCAGGATCCATCTGCAAATGACAACATCACATCCTACCTCCCTCACCTGCCATTCATCCTGGGAGGCGGGTCACTGAGGAAAATCAGATCACAAGAGACAAAAGAAAAGGAAAGTGGCCTGCTCTTTGAGAGCAGTTCCTAGATGGACTTGGCTGCAGTCTCTCACTGCAGTACGTTCTCTAGATTATAGATTTATTCATCTTTGCATCTCTAGAGTGCTTAACATAAGCTAAGTACTCATAAGTAATTAGAATTAAGCATATTACTATATTAAGGAAGTTTCACAGTTAGAAATTTGGTTTAAGGGATCACATTAAATTCCAGTTTACAGCTGCCGGTCAGTGATACTACACAAAGCAAAAGCTTCAGCTATTTCAATAAAGTATGAAAAAAAAGAAACAATAAAGAATGTTTCTTACCGGCATTGCATTACTTGGATCTTCTCCGTACATAAACTGGACTTTGACTGTGATGTTTCTGGCAGAACCTTGACGATTGGCAAAATTAAGACTTTGAGGGTAAATGTAGAGAAGATTTCTGTAAAACCAAAAAGTGTGAAGTTATATTGAGTGCATACCAAATACTGCTGTGTGTAGAAGTTATAGTGAATACTTATCTAAGACTACTGTATGTCTTTCACTAAATATCACAAAAGAAACATGCAAAAATACTCAATTACTATTTGCCAATGCCTGTGCTATTTTCATGTACTTGATCCCTAAAGCAACATCCAAATATACCCTGATTTTACAGACAAATTAAAACCCAGAAAGTTAACTGTTTTTCATATGCAATGATTAAAATCAAGGTGGAAGACAGATAATAAACCAGCCAGGCTACAAACATTCTCTTTCCTGTATAAGAAGCTTCTGAGAATTAAGTATGAGCCAAAATATTATCAAGAATTTAAGACAGTTCTAATTCTATTTATCTCCTCCAAACAGAAACAAACAAGGCAGACTTCACAAATGTGTTTTTGATATGAATCTGATCAAGATCTTTTGAAGAACAAATTGACACATTATCAATCAAAACTATATTAAAGAAACTGGAGTAACAGCTCATTAGTAAAGTGCTGGTCATGCAAACAAGAGGACCTCAGTTCAAGCTCCAGAACCCACCAAAAGGTGGAGACATGCCTGGAATACCAGCACAGGGCAGGCAGTGACAGGAGGCCCTCAGGGGCCTGCCACTCTATCATTTGAGCCCTAGGTTCAGTGTGAAATCCTGTCTCAAAAAATAAGTTAGACATCAAATGATGAAGACACCCAAAGTTGACCTCTGGCCTCCAAGGACAAACATGTACACATACACTTGAACATATACATGCATACACAAACGAATATATATACATACATACATATGTATGTATATTATAATACAAAAGATACAATCACCAGGTAGTTACTATAAAATTATTATAATCTACCCGATGTGTATTAGATATCTTTCCAGTTCACAACTGTACATCTTATACAATTTAATAGTTCCTGCTGTCAACATAAAGATGAAAAACCAAAGTCACATGAATAAAGGGCTAAAAAAATGAAAGTTATTTTATGTGAAGATCATCACATAGGGCTGATGATCAAAAATTTAATAACAATAAGACCCTGAAAACCAATTGATAGGTTAATGGAAACAGGTCTGAGGTTTTTAGGGAGGAGTATGGCAGTATATAACTTCATTTTTTTTCCCTGAGCAGGGTTTCTCTGTAGCTTTGGATCCTGTCCTGGAACTCTCTGTAGACCAGGCTGGCCTCCAACTCACAGAAATCCACCTGTCTCTGCCTCCTGAGTGCTGGGATTAAAGGTGTATACCACCACTGGCCAGCACTAGTATTTAACTTTTTAATGGACATATCTTTTTTTAAGATTTATTTATTATGTATACAGTGTTCTGCCTGTGTTTATATCTGCGTGCCAGAAGAGGACACCAGATCTCATTATAGATGGTTGAGAGCTACTGTGGTTGCTGGGATTTGAACTCAGGACTTCTAAAGAGCAGCCAGTGCTCTTTACTTCTAAGCCATCACTTTTATAAACAAGAATAATTAAAATGTACTATAAAACATAAACTGTTCATCACAATGTTAAGCATCCCAAATAAAACAAAAGTTTAAAAATTCCCAAGTCTGAACATTTTGAAAAGAAATGTTATTCCCTCTGAGAACCTCTAAATTTTTTAAATTTACTTTTTTATTTTTTTGAGATAGGATCTTACTATGTATCCCTGGCTGGCTTGAAACTCCCTATGTAGAACAGGCTGACCTCAAACACACAGAAATCTATCTACCTCTGTCTCTGTTTCAAGTGTGGAGCACCATGCCTGATTTTTTTTTTAAGTGAAGCTTTCTAAGTGTCATATCACAAGTCTAATGGTTGAATGTATACGTGTTCTTTAATATACTAAACAATACGTTATTTCAAATATTACATAAATTTACTCCACACACAACGTGTATGTCTCATAAATGAATTCCATTCTTAGATTTGGGTTCCAGTCTCCAGGACATTTCATACTCAAATAACTACTCAAATAATTAAAGAATTTCAAAATATCGAACAGTTGTAGTTTCAAGTATTTTGGTGAAAGGATATTAAATCTATGATGGACTGATTAATTAAATCACGGTAACAAAAACGTGAAGGGATACTATGGGATCACTTGACAACGTGTAGCACTATTTATTGATATGGGAAGTGATGCCTAAAAGTATGACGGATGAAGGAACAAGTGGAACAAGGATACTAGACTGGGGGAGGGGTACAGTGGCATTATCATGTTTATGAAAAATTCAGTGTAGTAACTTGTGTTGTGGAATGACAGGGAAAGGAAAGGCAAAAAAAGAGAAGGGAGATAAAATTGTATTTCTAAATTACTAATATTGGTGATCTTAGTTTTATCTATCTATCTATCTATCTATCTATCTATCTACCTACCTACCTACCTACCTACCTACCTACCTACCTACCTATCTATGGCATTTCTCAGACAAGGTTTCTCTGTGCAGCCCTGGCTAACCTGGAAGTAACTCTGTAAACCAGGCTGACCTGAAACTCACAGGAACCTCTGCCTCACAAGTGCTAGGATTAAAGGTGTGCGCCACCACTATCTGGTTTATTTTCATATCTTTCTACTTTAAATTTTTTCCTTGGTGAAAAACAATAAAACTTTCAATGATAAAGGATAGGAATGACTTTGACAGAAAGCAACCATGAATATTAATGAAATAGAAAACAGTACTCAAAATATGACAAGTATACAGCTGTTAATTAACAAAAATGAGAAATCAAAGATGAGTACAACTAGTTAACTATAATATTTATTGATCGCCCCATAAACATTATATAGGATGTTAAGCAATGGGAAGTCAAAGAATTGAACTGATGACTGAGATGGTTCAGCAGGGAAACACACTTGCTGAGGCATGGTCAGAGCCCTATATGGGCTGCCCCTGAGTACAATAAAGTGGGCATTCTAGGTACTCTTGTATCAAGGATGACCCATGTCCCCTAGTCTCTGTATGCCTGTGTATGTGTGTTTTTAAGTCTCCAGGACAGTTCCCGGCTCACATACTGTCCTGTAGTGAAGGAATTTCTTAGCATAAATTACAAAAAAATCATAAAAGACATACATTTTTTAACTTCTCACAGAAAGTAGTACCATAAAAACAGGTGGAGGAAAAAATGACAAATGGAAAAAACACTATCTGAAACATATGTAAAAGAGTATTCTTAAAATTACTCAGAAAGAAACAAACCGTATAAAAAGGCACATGTGCAGGTAATTTCCAAAGACAGGAACATAGATGCTAAGCAAAACAAGCTAGATATTGTTGGGGAATCTTATTTTAAGGTATGTGACTTCTGTTTATGTTGCATTTGTTTAACTCTGGAAAGCTGTGATTCTTTGCCTGTCTAAACACCTATGGTCCTAATAAAGAGCTGAACGGCAAATAGCAAGTCAGGAGCAAGGATAGACGGGGCTGGCAGGCATAGAGTATAAACAGAAGTATATTATAGAGTATAAATAGAAGAACTGAGAGGAAGGGCGAGAGAACAAGGGGAGGAGGACGTCAGGGACCAGTCACCCAGCCAGTCACGGAATAAGAAGGAAAGTAGGATACACAGAAGGAAGAAAGACAAGAGCTCAGAGGGAAAAGGTAGATGAAAGACTTTAAGAAAAGCTGGCAAGAAATAAGCCACGCCAAGGCCAGGCGAGTATAAGAAAGAATAAGCCTCCGTGTGTGATTTATTTGGGAGCTGGGTAGTGCTCTACCCCACAAAAGGGGAAAAGAGAGAGAGAGAAAGAGAGAGAGAGAGAGAGAGAGAGAGAGAGAGAGAGAGAGCCAAAAAGCCAAGAAAGAGTAAGAGCAAAATCACCACCAACAAGATGTATATATGCCCATTAGATTGAGCAAAATTGTCTTTTTCATGGAAAGTATACTGGTACATATGTGAAGAAGAATCTCAGGAAAGCAATCATAACTTACAAGTCTGTACCTACAAAATATAATCCCCATAAATACAGACTATACTTTTTATGTAAACTTTTTATAAAGCTGAAAATATCTTTTGATCACTAACAGGCATGATTAAACTAAAGTGTCTATAAATAGGAACCAACATAAATAGAAAATTGTTGAGTCCTTAAAAAGACATGGAGATATCACACTTTTAATCTCAATACTTTGGAGGCTGAGGCAGGAGGATTGGGAGTTCAAGATCAGCCTAGAGCATATAACAAGATTGTCTCAATAGAAAAGAAAACAAAAGCTACAAGCAACCTATCATGTTAAATCTAAAGTTATTTCTACATAAAGAAATTCTGAAAGAAGGTGGTCATGGGCCACTAGAAGTGTATATGACATGAACAACATGTTCTGATTTCTGTTAGAATATATATACTTAGCTTGTTATTCAAAAAATCTGGTATAGTTGATAATAATAGAAGAGTCAAATTCTTCATTTTTATAGGTTTTTAAATACCCAAGTTTGCAAAAAATAAAATCCAACAAACTATGCAGCCCGAGTTGATGAGCGTGCATAGACACACACACACAGCTTTGGCTCAGTAGCTGAGCACTCACCTTGAATATGTGAGGCATATTCATTTTACAGTGAGAACTCAACTGTAAAAACATTGCCCTATACTCTGGATCATAATATGATAGCTTCATTTGCTGTTTTTCAGCTTTCTGGGCTAGCAAAATGCTATACAACACTCTCCTGGTACTAAGCAGCGCTAGTAAACTGAGGCCCTTACTCAGACACACAGTAACTATAATACAGAGGTGCAGCACTATGACGGTTCAGCAGGTTAGCTGTGTTAGATGCATTTGCTGCTTATAGAATTCTCAGAGAGGAACCTAACCATAAGTCAAAGATATCCACATATGTAGCCCACTCTGTATTTCTTTAAAAACAGAGTGTCATTTGTCCTGTCTAGTCTAGAAATTTCTATATAAATAAACCGGATGATTGTGATCTCCAGTCTCCACCTCCCAAGTCTTACTCTACAGGAGTGTACCAGCA